CTCGGTCAAATTTGTAGCGAGTGCAAGAAAAGTGAAATTAAGAAAAACGCAATTTATTAAATTTTCCACGGCCAAAACTTGATTTTAACCGCTTGATTGTGTTCACAAAGGCTGAAAACATACAATCGAGTGATAAATTCAGGTCGCGCACGTTTAAATTTGAAGCGAAGGCAAGAAAAGTGAAATTAAGAAAAACGCAATTTATTAAATTTTCCACGGCCAAAACTTGATTTTAACCGCTTGATTGTGTTCAAAAAGGCTGAAAACATACAATCGAGTGATAAATTCAGGTCGCGCTCGGTCAAATTTGTAGCGAGTGCAAGAAAAGTGAAATTAAGAAAAACGCAATTTATTAAATTTTCCACGGCCAAAACTTGATTTTAACCGCTTGATTGTGTTCAAAAAGGCTGAAAACATACAATCGAGTGATAAATTCAGGTCGCGCTCGGTCAAATTTGTAGCGAGTGCAAGAAAAGTGAAATTAAGAAAAACGCAATTTATTAAATTTTCCACGGCCAAAACTTGATTTTAACCGCTTGATTGTGTTCACAAAGGCTGAAAACATACAATCGAGTGATAAATTCAGGTCGCGCACGTTTAAATTTGAAGCGAAGGCAAGAAAAGTGAAATTAAGAAAAACGCAATTTATTAAATTTTCCATGGCCAAAACTTGATTTTAACGGCTTAATTGTGTTCACAAAGGCTGAAAACATACAATCGAGTGATAAATTCAGGTCGCGCACGTTTAAATTTGAAGCGAAGGCAAGAAAAGTGAAATTAAGAAAAACGCAATTTATTAAATTTTCCACGGCCAAAACTTGATTTTAACCGCTTGATTGTGTTCACAAAGGCTGAAAACATACAATCGAGTGATAAATTCAGGTCGCGCACGTTTAAATTTGAAGCGAAGGCAAGAAAAGTGAAATTAAGAAAAACGCAATTTATTAAATTTTCCACGGCCAAAACTTGATTTTAACCGCTTGATTGTGTTCACAAAGGCTGAAAACATACAATCGAGTGATAAATTCAGGTCGCGCACGTTTAAATTTGAAGCGAAGGCAAGAAAAGTGAAATTAAGAAAAACGCAATTTATTAAATTTTCCATGGCCAAAACTTGATTTTAACGGCTTAATTGTGTTCACAAAGGCTGAAAACATACAATCGAGTGATAAATTCAGGTCGCGCACGTTTAAATTTGAAGCGAAGGCAAGAAAAGTGAAATTAAGAAAAACGCAATTTATTAAATTTTCCATGGCCAAAACTTGATTTTAACGGCTTAATTGTGTTCACAAAGGCTGAAAACATACAATCGAGTGATAAATTCAGGTCGCGCACGTTTAAATTTGAAGCGAAGGCAAGAAAAGTGAAATTAAGAAAAACGCAATTTATTAAATTTTCCATGGCCAAAACTTGATTTTAACGGCTTAATTGTGTTCACAAAGGCTGAAAACATACAATCGAGTGATAAATTCAGGTCGCGCACGTTTAAATTTGAAGCGAAGGCAAGAAAAGTGAAATTAAGAAAAACGCAATTTATTAAATTTTCCATGGCCAAAACTTGATTTTAACCGCTTAATTGTGTTCACAAAGGCTGAAAACATACAATCGAGTGATAAATTCAGGTCGCGCACGATTAAATTTGAAGCGAAGGCAAGAAAAGTGAAATTAAGAAAAACGCAATTTATTAAATTTTCCACGGCCAAAACTTGATTTTAACCGCTTGATTGTGTTCAAAAAGGCTGAAAACATACAATCGAGTGATAAATTCAGGTCGCGCTCGGTCAAATTTGTAGCGAGTGCAAGAAAAGTGAAATTAAGAAAAACGCAATTTATTAAATTTTCCACGGCCAAAACTTGATTTTAACCGCTTGATTGTGTTCAAAAAGGCTGAAAACATACAATCGAGTGATAAATTCAGGTCGCGCACGTTTAAATTTGAAGCGAAGGCAAGAAAAGTGAAATTAAGAAAAACGCAATTTATTAAATTTTCCATGGCCAAAACTTGATTTTAACGGCTTAATTGTGTTCACAAAGGCTGAAAACATACAATCGAGTGATAAATTCAGGTCGCGCTCGGTCAAATTTGTAGCGAGTGCAAGAAAAGTGAAATTAAGAAAAACGCAATTTATTAAATTTTCCACGGCCAAAACTTGATTTTAACCGCTTAATTGTGTTGGCAAAGGCTGAAAACATACAATCGAGTGATAAATTCAGGTCGCGCACGTTTAAATTTGAAGCGAAGGCAAGAAAAGTGAAATTAAGAAAAACGCAATTTATTAAATTTTCCATGGCCAAAACTTGATTTTAACGGCTTAATTGTGTTCACAAAGGCTGAAAACATACAATCGAGTGATAAATTCAGGTCGCGCTCGGTCAAATTTGTAGCGAGTGCAAGAAAAGTGAAATTAAGAAAAACGCAATTTATTAAATTTTCCACGGCCAAAACTTGATTTTAACCGCTTGATTGTGTTCACAAAGGCTGAAAACATACAATCGAGTGATAAATTCAGGTCGCGCACGTTTAAATTTGAAGCGAAGGCAAGAAAAGTGAAATTAAGAAAAACGCAATTTATTAAATTTTCCATGGCCAAAACTTGATTTTAACCGCTTGATTGTGTTCACAAAGGCTGAAAACATACAATCGAGTGATAAATTCAGGTCGCGCACGATTAAATTTGAAGCGATCGAAAGCAAGAAAATGGTAACTGAGGTCATGTAGAAGAGAGCGCCAAAAGCGGATACAAAACAGTACCAAAATCGAATTAAATAGTTACAAGGAGAGCATTTCATTTTTTTAATTGAAAACTTTAAATTTAATGATATTATGTCATTGCTTTTTATTTCAGCAAAGCTATATTACAAGAAATTTATGCAACTTCAATACTGGACGCTTTTTTTATCTCCCATTTGAAAACAATTAATACTACTCAGAAAAAAAGCTACACTTAATCAAATATCTTAGCTGCCCATCGAAATCAAGCAATTGAACCAATGCAAAATCTAGTCAGTTCAAGAGTGGCCAAATTGAAAGACATTCATTAGGCTTCAGTAAAAAAATCACCGATGCAGGTCTGTGTTTAAGCTGCCGCTGAAACAGACCATTAAAATTGCACCAGACTCAAATGCGAGGTCAGTCTCCAGAGACCACCGAAACCAACTTCCTGAGAAAAGCCTACCAGCTAGACATGGTACGGAATCGATTCGCACCCTGTAAAGGTGGATTTGGCCCCAAAATCTATATAATTCAGAACTATATAAACTTTTTTTTCTTGTCCTGCAGGACCATCGTAGTAATCCACTGTATTTGGGAATCAATCACAGCGGAACAACAAACCACATCAAGTGGAATGAGTTGCAGAAGATCAAATACGAGGGCAAAATGTTCATTATCCATCTGGTCTGCAATGACGATCCAAGAAAGAAGCTTATAACAATACGAGATAAACTTGTTTACAGAAATTATCAAAAAAAAAAGTTTATATTTGGTTAATATAAATTCATTAAAAAGTTCATTTTCTTTAATTTTTTACACTAATTTTCTTACAATTAGATAAATTTTCAGAATACTTTTATATTGATTAAATTTTTTTTTAATGGGTAAAATTAATTTGGTAACCTTTATAATTAAATATTTTAGTGTTTATAAAAATCAGTCATATGGATTGCATGAAAAGTATAAAATATTTATTCTTCTAAGATGATCAAGCGTTTTTTCTGTCTTTTGTGAACATAAAATAAAAATATTATACTTTTTTATGACACTTGATATTCAAATACACATTATTAAGAAAATGAAAAACTTAAATAATTCTTTTATTCCATTTGGAATGGGTGTTAAATTAAAAAAAAATAATAATAATTTTAATTCCATAGAAGCGCACCGTCAGCTTCAAATGTCCATCTAGTTCAGCATGTACACGTTTAGCGTTGTGCGGTGGAGTAAATATTGTTCTTCACGTGAGTTTACTATTTCACAGCGCACTTTTTTATAACTTTTGATTAGTTATCAGGTTGCAATCGTCATCAGAAGCACCGGCTGTCGCGTCTGGTGGTGGTTTGCTCTTGTGGGTTAAGAGTTCTTTTCTTCATAATTTACATCACAAATGCAATTGGCAATGTAATATTTTTAATCTTATTTTGCTATATTCATGCAACTTAATATCAAATAAAGAATACATAACTAAGTTAATAATTAGGACTATTGGGAGTGGAAAATTTCAAGATGTTTTTAATTAGATAAATTATTTGCAATTAGCCTTTTATAAATTAGGCAATCTTTCTAAATTGCATGCAATAAATTATTTTGTATGTTAAAGAAGTAATCTGATTTCATCTACACTATTTCATTTCGTAATATTCTTATTCCACCCAAAACACATAACCTTTATATTTTTAACGCTTTAAGCAAAAGAACAGCTACAGCGCCAACATTCATATCCAGTCGTCACTATCAGCTACAGATACTTTAATTGCACAGATCATATTTCATTAAAGCTCTAATTTCTTATCGCTGTGTGCACATTTGGCAGGTATAAAAATTTGATCATATATATGCATTTTCAAAGTTGTGCGCGTCAAATAAGATTGCAGCGGTCCAGTGGCTAAGTGGAGTATGCTCTTGCCCTCCATCCCGGAGATTGTGGGTTCGATTCCCACTCCAGGCGGATTTTTCTCGGGGGAACCTGAGTGATTTCTCATGCTGGGACTGCGAGTGAAGGGTTGAAAGTCGGCCGGGGGCCGCAGGATTTCGTGTTGAGAAGGGTGTTTGCATTGCACCCTAGTTGTACGCAAAAGCGTTTAATACAAAATCCTTTTTTTTTACAGCAGAAGAAACTTATTCCTTCAAGAGCGCAGTGTCCTTGATTTGTTTTGTAAAAATTAATTAATCAAAAGTTAAAATATTTTGCAGAAATTTTAGGTTTTCTGGGGCTAGATGTTCTCTTAATTTTTCGCAAGTCAAAAATAAAACACACCCCACACAATTTTTTTTCTTCCCCCCCCCCCACACATTTTGTTAGTTCCAAAAGCATCAACAGTGATTTTTATATAATTTTTTACAGAAATAAAACAACAATTATATAGTTCCAAAACACTGAAATTATCATCATATCCATCCAATCAGATCGAAGGTGCTGAAACAAAATTTTTTACGCTTTTATAAATTAAACCATTCTATATCTATAATACCAATTTCTTATTCTACAAAAGATGAAACTTAAATATTATAATTTGAAAATATATAATTTATAATTTACCTTCAATGGACAATTGAAACAAAGGCTTCTGTTGACTGCGTCGATAGGCAAAACTGCCCTTGATAAAAACTGACAGGCTTCTAAAAACAGTTTGCAAAATACGATTTCAATATTGCAGATAAGAGCATCAAAAGTAAAATACAAACCTTTTATAATTGAAAAAAGGTGGCTGCGACAGATCAAGTGGCAAAAGATGACGGCGAGTGCAAGAGTCAACAGAGGCTTTGAACTGGAAACTGGCAGCACCCGGCGAAAAACACTACGGAGAGAAAAAAAATAAATTACGTTTGTTGATTTTTACTTAACAAAATTAGTGTTCAATTAAATCATTACATATAATATTCGAAAGTTTCAACTCACCAATGGTGTGTAGAGCACTTTGAGCATGTTGGAGTAATTTGCCTTTTATAAAGTTGTATCTTCTTACTAATAGAGGCTGCTTTTAACCTGCGTGAAGGGTGAACGAGCCATTTGTTGGGTGGCCGTCGAGTGAGTGGAGACAGAAGAGGGCTACGTTGGCGCCTAGCTGATGCAGTGGTCGATGACCTCCTTGGCGTCCACAGTAGCTCGATTGGTCTCGGCCAGGCCTCAAGCAGATCCGGCTGCTGGTGCTTCCTCTGTGAACGAAAGAAAATTTTGGTTAAGAATTTGATGATAAAAATGGTTCAGAAGGATCTCTTTACCTTTCCATGCTCCATTCGCTTGCAACTCCATTCTCTCTCATTTGCTTGCAAGTCAAAGAGGTGTCTGTGGGGAAAAAAGTAATAATTTTAGTTATTATAATTCAAAGTTCAAGAATTTAATTATCTATTTTTTAATAAGTATATTCTTTTCTAGCAATTGTTTAAAAGTGTCAAAAATTATTCTATAATTAAGTTTTTAATAAAGAAGGTATAATTACTAAAAACATTTAACTCATATTATTAAATGAAACAAACCTTTTAAAAATCTCCAGATTGTCACACAGGTCAGCAGAGATTCACATTTTGGTCACAGGCTTGCACCTCCTGGTCGCTCTGAAGTCAGAAAAAAGAGGCAAAGCAACACAAAATGTCCTCATAAAAATTCAAGAGAAGTGGCAGAAGAAAAAATGAGTTGAGGTCGGAGCACCTCGAGCAACGCAGCGTCCGTTGGCGGTTGGACGGCGCCTTGCCCGAGCCTCGAAGGTCCACGAAGGCGCGTCGGAAGCAAACTTCCCCCGCGCCACCCTGGCAGGGCTGCACCAGGGGTGGACCAAAGTGGAGGGGGTTGAGAATGGATTCATTTACCTGAAGCACATCCGGAATCCAAACGTTGACCCCAGGAGGCCCAGGAATTCGGCTGTAAAAAACAAAGTTGAAAAACAACGTCCACAGGGTTGAAAAGAAGCACTCACCTTTTGTAAAAATGGACTTCAATCAATTTCTTACAAAGACGTTAAAAAGAGAGATAAATAAAAAGCAAAAAGTTTTTATCTTTTAAATTACGTAATAATATTTATGTAAGTATATCAAATAATATTAAATCATATAATTATAATAGACAATCTGTAGTCTTAACATTAATTCAAAATGAAAGAGCTATTTACATATCAATTGTGTCAGGCTTAAAACACAATTTGGCGCGCACAAGGAACACTCTCAACTCGGGGTAAAAAATTCTCTTGAGTAAAAAAAAAGAAGCACCTCTGTGAGCCCCGCGAGAAATCGGCCTTGAGTGCCACGAGTTGGCTGGTGAGTTTCTGTTGCACGACATAGGCCGTGCTTACCCGGCCCAACCAACCTTCTGCGCTGTTGATCCTTCTTTCGTAGAGCGAAACGGGTACTCCACTAGGTCATTCCCAGGATCCTAAACTTCTGCAAAGGATCCCAGGCCTCAGCTTTTCCACCGAATTCGCGCGCAGAGCGCGGGGAGCAAGTGCCGACCCCTCGAGGAATGCGACTAGTTGTTCTGCCCAACTGTCACTCTGTCTCATTTTAAGTCAAAGGATAAAAAAAGCAGAGGTGCTTGAAAACAAAAAAAAAATGGGAAGAAAACTCTACAATTGGAATTCGGAAAAGGAGTTTTGAGTGTTTAGTCTTGTAGAAGGCGCCATCGGTTTTCGATACAAATTCTTGTGTGTTATGTTCATCGGGTGCGAACAGGTTTTATTTTACATGTATGTTTTTTATGTGTCGATAAATATCTGCGCCCCAAAGTGAGGTCGGTGAGGCAAAACAATTGATTCGTCGAAAAATGTTATCAATTTGGCAGCGCAAAAAAAAATTAAATGTGTATTGCAAAATTTAGGCCGCGATTAATGCTTGTGAAATTCATAGTGTAAAAATGCAGACACAGTTTGATGCTTGTGTCTCTACTGAAAGCAAATATTGAAAATCATTCTTTGATGATTCGACAAGATAATAATATGAAATTTTATGTACAAGGCATTGAATTAAATAAAAAAGGCGGTCCAAGTGTGACCACTCAAAAAATAGCAAGGCAACAATATGCTCAAGCGTCTCTCAAACATTTTTACAAGGATTGGCAAATTCTGCAGAATGCAGAGACTCGGGTTGGACGGATTTGGTTGAACAGACAGATATTGGTGTGCTTTTCTCCTCTGGTTCGTTTCGTACACCGTACATGTGATGCTCGGTGTGTCTTGCTCCGCCTCCAGGTCAGCCGGATGTCTTGGGCAGGTCCACGGCCGAGTGCGCCTCAGTCCTCATCCAGCTCCTCTCACCAGCTCACCCAGTAAAACTACTACTCCCTACTACGGCCTCAATTTGCAAAATAAAAAAAAAACTGAAGCTAACTTTAACTGGCTACGACACGCAAGGGACTGATTCTATTTCTTTTAGCAATTAATGGGGGCAGCCGCCGGGGTTGCAGTTAAGTGCCGAAGCCAGACAAACAAAAATCTCTAAGTGGAATTATTGGAAAATACATGAGAGAAGGTGGCGGCGTGTTTGCCAAAATCACTCGCCACAATTTAGAAGGTGTCAAAGCGACTCTTGCAAAGGGACAAAATTCAATGTTCAGAGGGGTCACTTGCAACCAATATCCACCCTGCGGTTGTGGAATTCTTCTTTTCCACAACCCTGCACAGCACTTTGGACATAAGGATGTCCACCCACCCCGCACAACCTCTCGCAGACACACAATTAGAAGGAGACTCGTGCAAATAATTATCTCCTCTCTCTGTCTCTCTCTCCAGAAGACTCGGGGTTGTGCAAAACTTGCTGCCACATTTGAACAGTTTTACTGGCTGTGCTTGCGGGTTCCTCTCCGCATTTTCACTTTAGGTTTTTTGTCATCTAACATGACGGAACAAAATTATAAAAATTCTCAAAAAGAGCAAGTGGCTTTCCAGGGTAAATTATTGGTGTGTGAAAAAATTGTGGGCTTCTTTGTTTCAAAGACGGATTCAGAATTAAAACTAGAAGATTTTTGCTCTTTACTTCATCAAATTGTAAAGCTGATTTTCCTACCATAAACTTTGTTAAATTCCATATTTCAATCTGGAGTAATTAATGGAAAGACTAATCCCTGCTCGGAGGGAATTAAACGCGTCACTGCACCTCTCGGATGTGCATCTCGGTCCTGCCTAAACTAACTTGGCGAAATTCATTGTCACATTATTAATATTACAGAAGTTCAATCATTGCGGCTTTCAATTTTTTTTCGCCATTAAAAGAACTAGAATTTAGGTACTCATTTGCAAAAAAAAATTGTCTACTTTTTTCCGTCCGTGGTAAACAACTGTAAACAGAAACTTTTTTATTTGAATGTCTGACATGTTCAGAATTTTGGCTCATTTTCTCCAGATTTTTTCTTATTTATTTAGTTAAATAGATTCAATCCTTTGATTGGAAGTCTTTGTATCAAAACATGACAACAAATTGTCATTTAAAAATTTAATCTACTCGGAGCCTCACGAAATCTCTTTCCCACTCACATAATTCTTGGTGGAAATTGCTGCTGCCTGGCTCAGACAGAAAACTTGAAGAACGGTCAGTCCGCAGTCCCCCTTCCACTTTGGTGCTCATTCGAATGAGTTCAAGTGAAGAAAATCTCATTGCCATTGAAAAAATTTGGTTTTAATTTCTAATTGAATTTAACTTTATTTTTCATTTTTGGAGAAAGATTTAGATTTAATTGCAATGTTTAACTTATTCACAAGTTGATTCAAATTATTGATTTATGACAAACTTGTCAAACAAAATATTAATTTCTCCAAGAAAACTGAAACTTTTATTACTAATTGTTTATTGAAGGCAATTTGCTTGCAACTTTGAAAAATACTGGCATGTATTTCCTACTTTCCGATGAACTATTTCTGGCGTTTTCTTCCCACCAGACAATTATGCAGGCGAAATTAATTCTGATCTTATTCGTCGTTCTCTCGGTGCAGGATCGAGAGGGGCCGCAGATGTAGCAGACCTGACTGCTACCGCTCGTCATTCCCAAGAGGGATGCTCGGTTGATTCAATTCAGATGAAACTATTGCTCTGGGCAATTTCCAAATTTCTCTTTCGATGCCAGTGTTGATGATAATTTTTTTTAAGCTAGTTAAATTTGATTTTAATTTTGAACTTTGCACTAGAGACAAAAACATTACATTTTTATTATTTCTATAGTTAGAAGTTAATTTTTCTAATTATTTATATGCTAAAAATATTGGCCAAACCAGGACTTGCAGAGGGTTAAGAATATTCTTGTTGGAGAATATCAAGTTACAGGATCAAGCCTTTCTTTGGCTTCGCAGTTTCTGGACCATTCTGGTCTTCATTGGTGCACGGAACGCTCGCATGCACTTTTGGTTGACAAAATTTCCTCGCGGGCTGGTGACTTCTAGTCATTTTCCTTCAAACGCAGTCCGTCGAACGGAACAGATATCTTTAAAATTTTCAAATGTTAAAAAAAAAGAATAATTCTGTTTTGAATTTCGCAGTTTCTTGACCATTCTGGTCTTCGCAGGTGCAAGTTATTTGCATGCACTTTTCGCTGATGAATTTCCTCTGAATCCACAGAGGGTCGCAGGCTGGTGACTTCGGAGATGAGTTTTGCACCTCAATTTTAATTGATTTTGAATTCATGCAGTCGGTTGAACAAACAGAAATATTTCACATTTGATTAATAACAATAATTGTTTGCAAAATAGCTTTGTGCTTGAAACTAGTTACTTTAATTTTTATCTCCTTTGGTGATCAATTTTTTGATGCAAAATCTACTATAATAGAATTAATTTGGATCACTTTTGAAATTAAAACGTAGCGATTAACTTTGGTCAAGGAAGTTTCATTTATCTCTCTTTGCAATAATTAAAAGAGCATTTTATCAACAAATTTCAAATTGATTTCTATCTTTTATGTGGTCATAAATTTTCTCTCTTTTCTTCAGAGTGTCGGGAAACTTTCTGCAATTTATTTGCGAATCCTTCACTGTCATTTCATCTCAAAACTTCACTCCTATTTTTCCAGAAGCACTTGCAAGAAAATTCACATTAATTTAAACTTATTTTGCTTGGGAAGGAAAAATCTAAAAAAATTTAGGTTTCCTCAAAACTAAAATTGGAGAGAAGTGAATTAATTTATTTTGTTTGCTTTGTCAGTAGAATTAGCCCTTCAGCCTGAACACTCTTTTGAAGTGACCAATACAAATTATATCAGTTTGGTGTGCCAACGTAGAATTTTCGAAACGTTTGTCGCAGGTGATTTGGTCACGGAATTTCTTTCGAATTGAAAATAATTTTATCCATCATCTCCAATGAAATAAAATTTGCAGATTTTCTCATCAATTTCATACGACGATCATCTCATCTCGGTTAATAAAAGCAATTTTGCTTCTCCTTTCAACTTCTTCCATTTTTCCTAACATTTTGGTTTTTACTCCAACCAAAAAGCTCGAGACCTTTCCCTACTTTTAATAACTTGGTTCGTCACGTTGATTATACGTTCTCAATTGTTATCGCCGGTTATCACTAGAAACCGCTGCGAATTTGCTCCTTGTCTCCAACTACATTCTGTTGTAGCTAAATTTGCCAAACATATTTGACTTTTTTTCGGTGAAATTGCGCCAAGGTTGTGTGTGTTTGCAAATTCCACAAGATAGATGATTATTTTCAGACGATAAAAACTGTTTTCAGCTTTACAATCAAAATTAAAATTTGGTCAATTCAGGTTTTCTATCCCTAATTTTCATCACGACGGAAAAATTTTAGAAACTGGTTTCCAGTGTTGCTGTTTCTTTACTGTTTTTTTTTTTTATTTAATTATTTTCTTTTGCAAGAGCACACAAATATACAAGAACAGTATTTGCTAACAAAAAGAGCAAAATTAGTAAAATTATACCTTCTCAGTTTTTATTATTTTTTTTGTCGAGAAATGTAATCGCCGGCAAAATTTTCACTCCATTTCTTTAGAAACACCCAGAGTGATTTCAAATAAGCGCATTAGCTTATTGGCTTTTCTTCGCATGTAAATAAAAAATAACTATGTCGTTGTTTTCTATAATCTGTGGTTCTGGATAAAATAAGGGCCAGTCCGGGCTTGCATTTCTTCAGATGCATTATTTCTTTCCTCGCATTTTGTCCGCAGTAATTTGTTAACGACGGAGATCACCTTTGGTTGCAGATGAGCATAATTTTCATTTCCATGCCGCAGATTCAATTTTGAGCGACATTCTAAATTTCTGTAGATTTCTTTCGTCGACATTTTTAATTATAAGGGTCAGGCCGGGGGAAAGTCTTGTCGGCCGGCCGGCTGGCCTGTGCTCTTTATTAGAGGTGCACGGCGCCAATCAATCTAATTTTTTTTTCAATTTTTTTTATTCAAAATTATTGCTGTTGATTAGATAATATTCCATTTTTCTGTATGCACGTTTAAAAAAAAATCAATGCGTCAAAGCGCGTTCTATCAGCACATTAATTTCGCAGAGCAAAATAATTTATGCCATTATTGGTGACATCATTTTTATCGGAGCACATTTATTTGCAATTCACGATGACCTTTTGAGTGTAAATTTCATACACTTCGAATAATTTTCCCTAATTTTCTTTCCTAACAAGTGTCCTTCTCACAAGGACTTGCTACAATTTCTAAACTCCACTTTGGTGGATTCAGGGCGGCGGGCGAATTATCACAGACGCTTCTTTTGTGGGCAATAAAAATTTTTGCAATTCTGATATTTTGATGACGATGCAACCGTTGTTAAATTTTAACAATCGCAGATTCCTCGTGTGCTGAGTAAAGCTGAAAGAATAATTCTCTTTTCTCAAATCGACGAGTTTCAGAAACAAATCTCTGCAGGAGAAAAATCTAGATGTGCAAAAAGCGCCACATCCTTGGCAAAAATTTAAATCTTTTGGCACCGGAAAAAAAAACGTGTGAAACACATGTAATCAAAATTTCACATTCGGCGAATCTCTAAATTTCCAAAAGTGGAATCTCTGAAATTGATATTTCGCTTAATCTGTGCCTAACAAATTGAGCTGACTTGCCAAAAAATAATAAAATTATTCAACTTGTTTTAATTTCCAAAAGTGGAAATATCAGTGTTGATATTAATTTTAAGCTCCACCAGTTCTGAACATTGAATTGGCGAGCCCGGAAATAATTAATTTCTATTTTTTTTAAACCCTTTGTTCGCCCGCCGCCCTTTTCTCCGGTTCTCCGAGCGCCCCAAAGCGATGGCGCGGGCTTTGGGTGCGCACGTCGGAACGAGTCCCTCGAGGCTGCGTTTCGCCCAGCCGGGGCCCCGACGGCCCCCGGGCGGCAGCGGGACAACGACGGAGTGGGCGCCGCGCCCCCGTTCCTTCCGCACTGTCGTCATCAGCCGAAAGGGGGTGACCGTGTTTGGCGAGTCACCCGGAATCCAACCCAAGGCCAACAACGGCGTCGTCGACCGACGGATCTCGCCGCGTCCAAGGTTGTAAGGCCGCACCCCGTACTCGCGTCCGAGGCTCCTTCGCGGCGCTGCGCTCGGATTTACGTGCATGCCCGTCCATCCAGACGTTAAGTCTGACTCGTGCTGCTGCACCCAGTGCTGGCGACGCCCCACCACCAGCCCAAACACCACTTGCCCCGGCACCACCACGTGCACCGTCACCATCACATGCACCACCACCACCACCACCAACCCTGCCACATGCACCAGAAAAGCAGAGATAGAATTGGAAGAGTGATTTTTTTAATACATCTTTTTTAAATGAATGTCTTTCTTCAATCAATGGCGAATAAATAAATTTTTTTTTATATTATTCCAATTTTTGGAATCTTATTTTTATAAATTATTATTTTTTTAATAATTACTAATTTTTTCAAGTAATTAATTCTTTTAAATTAGTTGTCTTTCTAAATCAATTATCTCTTTAATTAATTTCTTTTTTCAAATTAGTGAAGGAAGTGTGGAGGAGTCGAACATACAGCCTGGCCGTGATTGTTGAAATAATTAAAAAGAAGATTCGCGCGTCAGGGTTGGGCCCTGACTTTGAGAAGCCCACCTTAGCCACTCAGGTCGGGCGGACTGCGGCGCGGGAACCGCATCCGCTACTCGCAGTCCATGGACGCATTTTTATAATCACGGCTGAGAAAGACAAAAAACTGTTCGGCCCCAATTAAAATTACGTGTGGTGAGAAGATTGTATTTAACACAAAATCTGCTTGTCACAAAATACTTGTCGAAAAAAAAGATAATGAAAAATTGAAATATAAATTGAGTTTGTTTCTTTTTCACCAAATTGAAAAATATGAAAATAATATAAATATAAATAAATAAATGTAAAAAAATATATAATGATATATTTAAAACAAAAACATAAAAAAACAAACAATAGAAAAATATGCATGCAAAACATATGATGATAAAACAGTTTGCATGCAAAAACCAAAACCCAGCCGACCCAAGGGGTGCATTAAGCATGCTTGACGCCGCCGGTGCAGCGAGTCAGAAGTCGACTTTCGCGCGGATCGGGTTCCACCTCCTCGGCGGCGCACAACCGGCGCGAGTCATCCGCTAGTGCAATGGCATCCTCGGGGTTTTCTGGGGCCGCCTCCTCTTCCGCCAGATCCAATGCCGGCCTCAACCCATCGGCCAAGGGTTGTAAACCGACCACCCCGCCAGTCGCCCCCGATCGCCTCGTCCCACTGAAGGGTGCGGGCGCCGCGTCCACTCTGTCGCCGCCCCCCTCCCGCCCGGGGGTCGTCGGGTCCCTGGCTGGACTCGCACCGAGACCTTCCCAGGGTCGTCGTACATGACGACCCTGGAAAGGTCCAGGTGCCCGCCCCGAATTACCCGGTCGAACGTGCGCGGAGTCGAGGCCCTTCGAGGGCGCGCCGAGGGCGAAGAGAATGTCAGAAACACACTGGGGATCGCTACCCCCACAAATTGATGAAAAATAAAATAAAAAAACTTTGGCTGAAGAAAACAGAAAAACGAAGGAATTTTTTGGGCTAGGCGGCCGAATGAAAGGCAAGACTGCGACCCTGTCTTCGAAAAGGAACGGCCGCAATCTTGCCTTTCATTCGGTCGCCGAGCCAAAAAATATGACTTTTCATCTTTTTTCTTCAGCCAAAGATTTTTTTATTTTTATTTTTCGCAGTTCTTTGGATCAAGCCTCTCGATCGCCTTGTGATTGACCAATCAATCAAATAATTATGCAGCTGAATTGGTAAGAAGTGAATTTCCATTTTCGAGGAACAAACGAAATACTAATCTCAGATTATTCGACACACTTTTAGGTTACTTATCTTGGCGCTCTCGTGTGGATCGATAAGTATTTGATTGCAAATTGGAGCCATAAAGTACTCAAAAAAGAGGATTTAGAGAGAGTATTCATCGATGACCGAAATCGTTGAAGTCCTCCGAGTCACTCCCCCACCTCTTGTGCAGAGGTTCGTATTAATAAATATTAAAATAATAATAATTGATTAATTATTATTCATACAATAATAATAAATTAATTACTAAATATTTGAATAAAATGAATTAATTAGTTAATAATTATTTAAGTAATAATAATTAATCAATAAAATAGGTGTCCGTATCAAACGCAAATATTTCTCATCTCCAGGTGGAGAATTGCCCAAAATCGAATGGGCAGATGAGCCCTCAGCGCAGTACTGGGCAATTCCAGATTTTCGCAGTCCTTTATATTTTCGCCGTCGTAATATTTATTCGTTTCTGACATTCTGACGCCTTTTTTCGCCCCAGCCGCGTCTTCGAAGGGACCATGGCACCGCCGGCCTCTGCGGGCGCCACTGCGAGTGGCGCCCGCGGGGGCCGGCGACGCCAAATCCTCCGCGGGGGCGCTCGCTCAACACGGTGGACCTGACGCACCCGTTTGACCTGGGCCCGCGTGCCCCCCTTCACCCCGCCAGGACGTTCGCTCGAGGAATCTCCAAAGCCGGAGATTCCGAGAGCGAGCGTCGAGGCGCGACAAAGAGGGCAGGCCCACGTCAAAGGGGTGCGTCGGAACCACCGTGTTGAGCGCGCAACCCCGCAGAGACCCCGACTGCCCAAACGAGACGTCCGAGAAGGGAGGGTGCCCTTTTCCGAACACCTCCCCCGCACGTCTCTAGCCCTGCCGATCGTTTCGGGGACATGGGGCGCCTGGTCACTTTTCACGACGCAACCCGCTCGACCTCGCTAATAGTTTTTTCCGCAAGTGCCAATTTTGCTGGGGCACATTTTGGCGCGATTTTCTCCATAAATTTAAGGTCGAGCGGCTCTTCGCAGACCCAGAGTGTCCAACCTTTTCCAATTCAGCCAAGTCAGTCATTGCTGAATAATTGAAGCAGCACTCCATGTGCCGTAGAAATCATTTCGTGAACGGTTATTACTGATGTGCGAATTTTTCCTCATTTTATTACCTATCGGACGATTCGGGATAAAAAAAATCAACGTTTCTCGCAATTCAAATCAGGATTCTTGTAAGTCTCGCAGATTTCCCTACATCCAGTTGGACACTCTGGCTGATTTCGTTATATTTTTTGCTCGAAGTAAAATAAAAATTAATTGATGCGCCAAAGAAACGCTCGCAGATGGCCAAGTTAGGCGATGCAGTGAAAAATCACCGCAAGCGATTCCTCAAAAATATCACTGTCAGTATCACAGGTTTATCACTTTCCTGTTGCATTTCGGAATAAATTTCCAACAGAATGTATCGCAGGTTCTCTCTCGGCAGGAGAGAAAAATATCACAGCCAATTGCTTTGGATTTGTTTGCCGAGCGCCGATTCTTCTGCTGCAGCTTTTCCATTTTTTACAAGTGACCAGGCGACCAGGAGAACCGTCCCTAATTTCCTTTCCTAATTGCCTAATTTTTCTACTGTGGCCCGGACCAGCCCCATGACGACGTCTGCCGGAACCAACAACTCGCAGTTTTTTACCAGTTTTATTAACAATGAGCATTTTTTCATTCGCACCCGGATTTCTAGATAGACCGCGACACCTCTGACTCCTGATCTCAATAATCGCAAATGACTATTTCACGACGGCGCAAATTTTCTTATTTATGTGGAATTTTGGATTGAGTTAATTACAAGTTCCAATTCTCACTGTTTTCAAAGAATTTCTTTCGTCCTCAATATTGGCAGGAACCAAATTTAAGCCACCACGAAAATTAAATTTTTTCACACAACTCTAAATAACTTTTCACATCGCAGCACATGAATGAGCTTAGCACTATTTCAGCGAAGAAGTTTGTTGGCCATTATGGCTGGGAGGCAGAGGCGCGCTTAAATTTCGACGAACAAGATTCTGGTCTCGATATATTATAATATAATCTCAGTCATTGAGATTTTTTTATCGCAATTTGAGTGTTTTCGTAGCAGAGTTTGCAGAGGTCGGCGTGTAATTCATACACTATTCTTGTTAAATTACAAGCAGTGAAAATAAACTTCAGTGGTTATTTCAATTGCTCGAGTTAAATTCTATTTTTTTTCTTTGCTAACAACAGGCAACGAGCAATTATTTCAATTTTTGCTCAATTTTTTTTTTAATTTAATGATTATTTTCTCTTTATAGAGTCGATGATCTTGAAATAAACGGAGACAATCCTGAACATCTGGTAATTCTTAGAGCTTCTAGGTAATTGCTCCTAACTATGACAAATCACCATTTCTAATATTCATGCTTATTTTTCTTTTTCCAACGGTGATAATTTCAATTGATCGTGCTTCATTCTATTTTTCTTTTCTAAAAACAGGCAACGAGCAATTCATTCAATGTTTCCATATTTTATATAAATTGATGATTTTTCCTTTGTTTATAGAATTGATATTCTTGACATAAAATAGAGACTTTCCTAAACATCTGGTATTATTTGGATGTTCTAGATAATTTCTCCAGTCCAACAAAAAAAAACACCAAGCCATTTTTTGTTATAATAATAATTATTTTGGAGTTTGATTTCTATACTAAAATTGTAGCATTAAATCGCATCACTAACTATTTTTTTCTAGATCACGAAGCAGTGAGTGAACTGAATATTCATTTTGTTTTTCCGAGTATTAATTTTGCTTTCAGACTTCCTTCTTATCAGTTTCGGTCTCGCAAATCACTTGTACTTGCAGGTTTATTCAATTTTTTTTAAATAAACTACGTTATTTCTCGATTTGGGCACAACTTATAAAAAATAAAAATTTTTATCTTAAAAAATTTTATTTCCTCTCAAAAAGATGATACTGTAAAACATGTCTGGTGCCATTTGAAACAAATTTGTTGACAAAACAACTCTGATTCCTAAATATTGCATTTTATTTTTGCAAATATATATAAATGTAAATTTCTTTTCAGGCTCAAGAGCCTGAGTGAAAAGCGCATTATTTCAACGCTTGAAACGCTTCTTTTGAGGTCGTCGTACGTTCGAGTCCGAAAAAGCACTTTCGGATGAAAGGCGATCCACCTTCTTTCAGTCCCAATTCTGTTTTCATTGAAAAAAATCCAATCGGTAGTCAAGCATTGATTGCTGGTTCGGTAATTCATTATCAATCTTCAACTATATCGCAGCTAGTCAGACTTTGCTCGCAGAATTAACGTTGAGTTTTGCTAAATATTATTTTTTTTTTTTTGCGTCATTTGGCGCAGCTACTTTACTGCCCAGGCACCTTTGTTCAAATATTTGTCAGAATTAAGAGCATTTTATTATTTCTACTTTCATTTGTAAAGCGCATTTACAGTAATTTTAATTAAAAACGGCTTCAATTTCTCAGCAAATTCAAGAGAGTTGAACAAAAATAGCAAAAGAGTGCCGAGCTTCTCTCTGTTGTTCATTGGCCGCTTTGCATCAAACGTGGGCCCTACGATCAAGGCAAGCGCGACTAATGTCCAACTGAGGCAAAGGAAATGATTGTTTTTTCACCCACCCTCCCTCAGAGTTTTTTGTTTCTGAAATCAAACTCCACTCATTGAAAACTTTGAAAACGAGTGACCTCTGCAAAACTGCAAACAGGCGGGCTGCAAAATACGCAATTTTAAGTTTCCTTCGTGTGACTATAAAAATTAGTGAAATTTGTTCTGTTTCTTTCGTTCCATTTTCAACTGCATGAGTCACGCAGCAAGTCCCGGTGTTGGCGGAATTTTTTTTTTTTTTTTTTTTATAAAATATTGCAAATTCCTTAATAAACAAATATTTAAATTTTTTATAACAAAAACTACGCAAGCTTTAGAATAAACTTTTTCCAATGGCAATTTTTTCAATGGCAATCAAGTTTTCGTTGCAAATAAAACAATAAATTAATCTACCTTATAAGCAAATGAGTATACAGAAAATTTTTAATCGTAGTTTCAATTTTCCCTAATAATGAACGAGCTTTTTGCCTATTACAAATGCGGATTGCATTTGCAGTTTAAAAAAAATCATCAAAAGACACAGAGGATTAATAAAAATCTTCCTCAGTCTTATTTCCACGCCATACTAAATTATATTAATTTTTCCGAAATTGGCCTGTTAATGGTTCTCCAAAATTGTAAGCAAAAGTGGTATATTTGGTTCGATTTGCCAAAAAAACCTTTAAAAAAAGCACCATATTGAACTACCGAGTCTTGATAAAAACTATACGCAAAACGCCACTTGCTTACGTCTCTTCTCTTCAAAGCCGCAATGAGAAAAAATTATCAAGAGCAAAAATTATCAAGATAAATCAAATAGATCAAAATAAATATGCTACGGACGCGACTTGACGCAAAAACCACATGGCCTAATTGAAAATTTTTAAAGTTTTGCATCGGCATCTTAGATTTTGCACGATATCATATAGCCGTTTGACTTGAGTCAGAATCAGAAGCCCCACTTAAACCTAGTTGCAAGTGACGGAAGGGAAGTTAATTAAAATCGCCGTGACACCAACGAAATTGTTTAGAGCAATTTTAACAAACCTGATTTAACTGTTTTTTTCTGTTTCTTTTTTGATTGTTTGGGATGTATAAAAATTGAAACAAAAAAATTGAGTCCTTAGAGGGAGCACCCATCTGGGTGGATAAGCATAATAAAATGGGCAGATTCAGACGTTTGACTAAATATTGAAGAGAAAAATATTAGTTTTCGATATAATACGATAAAATAAAATGATCTTCCACGCAAAACAGACGAGCGATGAAAGTAAAAAATTAGAGTTGGTACTCACCAATGGTGGGCGCCTCAGTTGGAGTAAACGAAGGTGGCAAGGTTGGCGTTTCTCTCGAGGCAGTGGTGGATTTTTGCCTTCGCCACCTTCGCTGCAGCCCTCGTGGATCTTCGAGTTCCAAGAACAGGAGGAGCGCTCCAGTCACGCCTCGGGCGCCGTGGAATCAGAGGGTTGGCCGCAGGTGCAGGGGCAGGTGGAGGATTGACGTCAGCAGGAGCAGCCACATGTTGTGGCAAGACATTGGCAGGAGCAGCGACAGGTTGTTGTAAGACGTTTGCATGTGGAGCAGGAAAGAAGATTGCAGGTGGTGCCGGAATTGCTGCAGTCATGGGTGCAGGGGCGACTTTCACAAAAAGCTCGTGGATTTTCTGCGTAGCCGACTGGGCAGCTGCTCTTGAAGATCTCCGAGGTGTGTAAGGCGCGGCCTGCTGGCGCTGCTTCCTGGCCTTGCCAACTTTCACAGGCCCTGGTGCAGCCAAAGGGGCTGGCGCGACCAGAATTTGGGCGGCGGGCGCTGGAGCCACAAAAAGAGGTGCCAGCACCTGTGCAGCAGGGGCTTGATGCAAGCCAGGAGCCGGAGCCACAACAGGGGCCTGGGCCAAAGCAGGTGCTGGAGCTACGTGAGGCACGTGAGCTGCGGAGGCTTGAAGGAATGGTGCTGCTGCGTTAGCGGCGGCAGCGACAGCAGCGACCAGTTGAGGTGACACAGATGCAGCAAAGTTTCCAGGGGCAGCACCAGTAGAAGCAGCTGCATTAGAGGATGATGGAGCAGCTTGGTCATCGGCGGCAGCCAAGTCCTCGACAGACAAAGCTGCGGGACTGGACGGAGCGGGTGACAAGTGTGCAGAAGATGGTCCTGGCAAAGGAGCATGCGAAGATGGAGCTGGGGAGTCTTGGTGAGGCATGTCTAAAGCTGGCGCAGCACGTCTTGCAGCGACCTGGGGGACATACGCAAACATGGACCAACTCATTGATGACCAGTCGTCTTTTTTGGCAGGTTTAGGAAGCACTTTCGGCTTCTTTCGTGCGGGCATCTTGCGACGCACCTTCGATCCACTTGCCTCATCCTCACTCGTAGCCTTTCTCTTTCGACTGCCCTTCTGCAACTGTAAAAAATTATAACTTTAAAAAGCAGTCTCTCAATCTAAAGCCAAACGGCAAAACTTTTCACTGACTGTTTATAATATTTGGGTCCTTTGTTAACTTTGGGTTAAAAAATTGTTGGTAAATAAATAGATTTTGACAAGTATTTCTATTAAAAAAAAAATAATAATAATATTTTCCTTTAGAAGAATTAAAACAAATTAAGTTGGTTTGCGCAAAAAAAAGGAAATTGTTGCTGAAGACAAAATTTAAAGAAATGTTTTATATGAACTTGTAACAAAGAGCCGCAGATTAGTTTTGATTAACGCTTGGTATTAGCAAAATCTGAATTTAATCAGAAGAAATTGAAACAAAGTGCTTAGTTTTCAGGAAAAAAAACTGCTAAGGAAATTGCGACTGGCCAGTCCACAAAAGTTGCAAAGGCAGGAGGCCACTGCACTGCAATATGGGACAATGATTTGCAGAACAAACCCAGGACAGGAATTTGACTAAAATTTAAAACCAGTCCAGGGTTTATTTCTTTCGGTGCCGTCAAAACATGATAAATACAGTTATTTACCTTGATCGAAGGTTTCTCAGACTCGTCGTCACGATCCTCGTCGCTCGAGTCCGAGGGCACGCATTCTTGCGGAAACTCACGGCCGTGACCGGGCAAGGATGACAAGTTGCAAGCAGTCAGGATCTTGACCAGCTCTATCTTAACCTGTGGAGGAATATTCAGGGAGTTGCATCTTTGGCCTGTTTCATCTATATCATCGGATTCAACATACGGGCTTGTAGGGTCAGACTGCAAAAAACACGGGATTGTGAATAAGTGCATCAAATTTAACTAAAAAAAATCCACTCACTCTGGGACAGAAAAAGCCGAATCTTCTATGTGAAAGTGTTGACCGGAACGTATGTTTCTCAAGCATCTGAAATGGAAAATTACAAAGTTGGTCAGTCAAATATTTAATACTTGCATACCAGTTTGTTCCCAATTTTTAATTTAGGTAAAATGCAGCAGGTTAGGTGGGTGTAGAAGAATAAAATGAATTTGATAGATAGCGTCTTCTATTGGTCCAAGGAGAGGTTATCTTATTGTAATGCAGTATGTATTTAGTTTATTTAACTATCATTAAAGATCCGAATTACTATTGGATAGATTTCTGCTGAGCGTAAAATTTTATTGTGGAATATTTTGTTAAAGAATAATAGAAATTAAATTGATGAAAAAAAGGCTGCTATTATTGGTTTCTGTTCGGAAGAGAGAGCATGAATTTCATAAAAATTATGAAGGATTGGAAATAATCATTGAAATACAGTTATTAACTCTCTCAAATTGAAATGTAATTAAGAGGAATTGAAATTGTACGTAAACAATACTGAAACTCGCAAACTCAGCAAAGAATCACTTGTGAAATCAATTCATATACAATTTATTTATTAAATAATGGTTTCAAAAAGTTAAGTGGATATTTGATATTGTTATTTCAAGCAGAATTACACGAACAAAATGTTGTCCGAAGTTGAAGTAGAAATAACGAATTTAGTTATTAAAATTGAGCTCCGCCAGGATATCCATCCAGGAATTTCATGAAAAATAAATAACATTTTCTTCATCATATCTGGGCACTCACTGGGCAGCAATCTCACCACTCTAATTTTTTCTCGCGGCTTTCGATCTTCGTTTCCATGAACCTGCGGCTCGTGAAAATTGTGTGCTCGCACTCTCCGCTCTCATTCTTACACTCTTACTCCCATGCCTTCAATAAAACTTATGTTTTGCAAATAAGTAATTTAAAAAATTTTTAATATTGTTTCATCTTTATATTCATTTAAAATAAAATCACAAATCATAAAAGTTTTATGCCAAACGTCGCCAAACGTAAAATCAAATATTTCAATCTAAACGTATTCTCGAATTTCCTTTGCACTCTAGGTTCACTATTCAAAAATTTAGCCCAGGAAATAATTTTTTTTTTATTTAAATGTAAAATCTTTTTAATTATTTGAAAATAAAATACCCCTTTCATAAGTGAGCGTGAGTATGATAAAATGCTGACGATTGAAGGTTCACGGTTCTCTGTAGTAACCATATTTCTTAGTATCAGGGAAAATTATTGTGCTGATATTTAATTTGGCATCAGCCTGCATGCGCACTGCAATTTAAAAATCTCAAACAGAGTTGATAATTTCATCTTTTACTTATACTCTTGACCATTTTGAACGAATTAAGGATTGAAGCAGGGGGCTTTGGAAAATTAAATTTAGTTATAAGCCCATTGATAGATAAATAAGAATTTCAAAAATATGTGGTGTTAATTTAAAAATTATCCTCTAAATTTTTGTATTAAACTCTAAGGCGCAAAACTTGGACAATAAATTTCAAGGATTAAGAAATGCGCACTTGCACACTCTTCGGTTTCATTGTGTGAAAATTTCAAGTATCGTCTTTGTACTGCAACACAGTTTGGTCAAGCATAACGCTGATCAATAATTATAAAGATGAGCAGCAAAAAAAAAATATAATTTATAAAATGTTTTATTATAAATAACGATTTCATTATAATAAAAAAATAAAATTTGTAATTTAAAAAAACAATAATAATAATAATAAAACTATTAAAATATAATAATAAAAATGTATGTATTTAAAAAAAATTAAACTTTTTAGAATAATATGTAATTAATTTTATATAAAAATATAACAAAATTTAATTTCTAACACACATTAAAGACTTGATTTATTTAGTACTTATTAACTGGAAGCATTTTATAGCTCCATTGCACACTGGCATCGGTGGTACTCAGCAAAAGTTTTGTAAAAATATGATCAATTATAATATACTTTATCTGAAAAAACACATTGTGAGGGGAATTTTGAACGGTAAAGCATCCTAATAACGTAGAATTGGATGTTTTTAGTTTTTGGCTTCCCCTGTAAAATTTCCTTCGCTGCAGTTAACCCCCGACCTTAACTTGCCACGCACAGTAGACCCTTCTACCCGCGGCATCCAGCATGCAGTTAACCCCAGCTGCCGCTGCCACAGCGAATATGAAACTTTAAAAGATTTTTATATCTTTTCTTATATAGATTCTTTTAAACAAAGATTGTGTTTTCAGAGACAAACAGTGAAATTGGAGGAGAGGAACTTTAAACAGCTAAGATAAAATTTTAAAATTATCGTCAGCGTCTTTGAATACTCGAGCACAGGGTATTGAGTGTGAGGCCGGAAAGTCAACCCCCTATATGATAGTCAAGAGAGGAAAGATTACTTACCGTATTGCAAAGAAACTTGGAGAGGCCTCCTTCATCAGCAATCAGACGTTCAGCTGCAGCTACATCGGCTTTGTAGTCATCATATGTCACAAACCGCCTCTGTTGAAAAAAAAATTAACAATTTTAGTCACAAATGAAAGTTATAAAAATAAATCTTTTAAGGAAATTAAGCACTGTTTCAAGGGTTTGCCAGCTAACCTGACAAAGTGAATTTGGACGCGGGAGGCCAGGAGGCACTGATAAAAAGTTAAATAAAATCCGAAACTTACTGTGGGTGGACCGTACTGCTTGGAGAGGTCAGCAACTGTTTCGTCGAGCGGCTTGGTCCTCCAGCCTTCACCACCAGAAACAACATCAAGGAACTGAAGGCCAAGCGCTTTTCCAGCTTCACTGCAGCCTTCAAACGTGGGGAATGCACCGTAACGTTGGACGATGTCCTTAAACAGTTGAGCAGCCACGCACATCTCCGGTGGGGCGTACCCAGGCGAAATCTGGAGCCACTGTGTAAATAGAGCTACCTTTGTAGCCGGGTCTCTCGCCAGCAGACATGCTAGCTCCAGGAGTGCACTTCCTTCTTGACGACTTGAATAATCCCCAGGCCCACTACTAAACGCCTTAATCATTCGATCTAAGGTTTCCTCAAGGGCAATGTCACGCCACTGAGCATCGGGGGCCTGAGAGCAAATATGTCTTTATAGTGAACAATTTGATTCTTGGTTATAATTTACCTCGGCATATAGCACAGGCAAGCACAAAACCAGCTCGTCGTATGACATCTTGCTGAACACAGCCAGAACAACATCATTTGTTTGCGCCATTTTACCTGCGTAAAACAAACAAAAATCATGTTTAAAACGTTTTCATCATTTAAGCATTTCAATAAACACATACATTCCGTCACTCTTTAAGAACAATAAAATTCATGTAGCAAAGAGTAATTGACATCAGAGAAATTATAAATGTAAATTGAAATAGGAAAACTTTTATCCAATGTACAGGAACTTTGGATTGTAAAATTAAATTCATCATTCATCAAATCTCGTTAGATTTCTGACAACACTTGCGCATTTCATTTTGATTTCAAAACCCAATGCAGAAATTGATTGATTTAATTAATTTGATATATCATGTAACTGAAATCTTTCAGAAAAAAATTCAGGCAAATAAATGCGGAACCAAAGCCGCTGTAATATGGATTGGCAAGATTGAGTGCAGCGGCCGAACCGAGAAATAATAGGTAATTATGAAAGTGGCAATTCTCTCAAGACGAAATAATGGGCGTTGTGGCTAAAATACTTTGATTTCTACTTAGGTGACTCAAAAGGCATTTTTAAAACCCTGACAGTGCAGGTATCAATCAGCAGCTGCTAGGGTCAAATTAAATGCCGAATGAGTGCGTGCCGACCTGATTTTGTCGGTCATTCGGCTACAAAAAAAAATGCATTGAGACTAAAAAGTTTGGTCAAAACGCGATCTGCCTCGGATGTTTTTTTTAAGGGCGCATGCATAAAACATGATTAAACTCAAACATAAAATTTATGTAAATTAATATTTTTATGATTATATTATACTTAAAATATCAAAGGTTCAATATCAAATTGATATTTAATCTATTCAAATTCTATATTTTAATAGCTAAATATTTAATTTATTTGATGACTTGATCTTTGATAATAGGTAGTTGAGAAAGTAAAATTCGCAGAGCGGTTGGTAGAATTTTCCAAATATACCGCATACTTTATATTGGCTTTGTGAATAGATATTAAAAAAAAAGTAGTTTATAACAAAGATTTAGGCGAAAATTATTGTCGTGTGAATAATTACACATTTCAGTTGAATTAATATATTAATTGTAAAAGTTAACCTGTTTTCGGCATGTTTGGCTGACTTGACGATTTTGATCAAAATTAAGTTAATCAGACCTCGTAGGTCATTTTGCAAGGCAAGAGTGAGAAGGAAACTTGCCTTTACCGCGCGGGTCTTTGCCTGCGAGAGCCGCTCTGCCGAGTCATTTTCTTCTTACGCTGCATTTTGGCCGCTTTTCGGCTACTCTGGGGTGAAATTGGGCTCAATTGTGACTCTAGCATTTTGTCAACAAGGAAAGCCATGACCAACGCCATGACTTATCATAATTTTATTGGGCGTGTCCGTTTGTCTTCGTGGAGGAAAGCGGGAACGAGTTTAGCAACCCGACAAAGTTGCGCCAAAGGAATTAATCAATTTATTGCTCTGATTGAAAGTTCTAGAAATTTGACGGTAGGAAAGATTGTATTTCAAGAATATTTGAAGCGTGAGGAAAATCGGTGTTATTTTTTTTTTTTTTTTGTTTTTGAACGGAACAGCTATGAGCATAAACACGCGCCGGCGTTTGCTAGTCGCTTCGCGCGGCTCTCCCTCGGCTGCTGCACTCGCTGGCGCGCTCGATTCAGTTTGCGACGTTTCCGCAAATTTGATGTTTTATTAGTTAGCTTTGATATAAATCTTACAAGTTTTCAGCATTGGCGGCCATCGAAAGTAATTTTTTTTAATTACAATTCATAAGTAATTCGCGATAAAAATATTTATCTGGAGCCAAGTTTACGTTTTCGTGAGAATTGTTATTTTGATTTTTAAATTAGAAAAAATTTAAAAAATGCTAACCAGAAAATTATAGCTAATTAAATTCTCTAGAATTTCTTTAAAACTTTTTGTTGTGATTATTTTTCCATGATAGGCTGAGTTTGTCATTGAAAACATTTTTTTCATATTTATTTCTGAGATAGCCAATAAATAGGAAATTTAATTTTAATCCTCGGACTCAATTTCCATCTAAATGTGTTGAGCCGTGTTGAAGTGAGGGTGTATGGATTAAAACTTGCTAATCGGCCTCGAAGGCAGTTTTAGGTGGCATCCGTTAGTACTGTTTAATTTAAAAAACGACAACAAATTTTGAAGAAATTTGAATTCTAGGGTTAAATTAAATTTCTAATTGATTGGCTTTCTTGGGAAAAATCGAAAAAACAAATATTTTTCAACGAGAAAAAGTAATATTTTGTCTTTGATCATCCCGTTGGAGAATTGACCTTCCAGATAAATGATAAAAATAAAAAGTCTGATTTAGTTGTTTAACAAGACCAAAAACGCCATGTCAGCCATAAATAGGTCAATTTTGGATTTTCGTAACAATTTTTATGTTTTGCAACTTTTACATTTTAGTCATTTTATTATGTAAGAAACAATAAGATAAATACAATTGAATTGACCCTAACAGATTTTTTTTTTTATAATTTATTTCAAAATTTTTCACTGATTTATTAATGAGAAATTAAAAATATTTTATGATAATTTGTGCCACGCGGCTATCGAGTAGGTTGCTCTTAAAAAAATATTCTTGTTCAAGACTTTTTGGACAACTGACGAGCGAAGAGCATGACAAGGCGGAGCACATTATCTCGGTGTAATAATTAATACATTATTTGCAAGTGGCTCAATATTTGCATAGATTATGCACTGTTGTTATCATTTTTATTTTGTCAAGATGCACTCGCCCGTCTAGACTTTTGCATACTCCACACATAAAAATCATCATAAATCGTCATAATGTAATCAAGTCATACACTCAAAAAAAAAATCTCAAATAGACCCGTTTACGGCATGTATGGCTGACCTGGCGTTTTCGGCCGAGTTAAACATGTAAATTAGACTTAATTATGAGCCTCGTAGGTCAATTTGAACAGGGAGAACGACGAAGGGAACGTACCTTTCCGGCGGCGAGTCAGACTGGCCTGGGAGCGGCTCTCCCGAATCAGTTAGACTCGCTACGCTGCTGCGCCGACTGCAGTGCTCCTTCTCACGTTGCATTTCGGCCGATTTTTTTGCTTTTTCGGGCCGAATTTGGGCTTAATCTTGACCCCGACGAGACACGATGCACTTGGTAAACAAATAAAGCCATTACTAATCATATTTGGGCGTCCCGAGGGAATTAATTAATATCTCGCTCTGATTGAAAGTTTTTTTAATTTTGGCGATCGAGAAGCTTATATTTCTAGAATAATTAAGGCATGAGGAAAATCGCGGTGTTATTTATTTTTTAATCCGAGCAGCCGTTGTCGCGCTGTGAGCATAAATAAATACGCGCCGGCCTCTGCTTGTCGCTTCGCTCGACTCTCTATCGCTCGACTGCTGCACTCGCGGCGGAGAGCGGCGCGCTCGATTCATTAGACGTTTGCGCGAATTTTTTGTTTTATTAGTAAGCGTTGAGATAAATCGTTCAAATTTTCAGCATTGGTAGAAAACAAACTGAAATAATTTTTTATTTTTAATTCTTAAAAAAATATTCATCTGGAGCAAAGTTATTAACGTTTCCGCGAGAAGTTTGTTTTTTTAATTTTTAAATTAGAGGGAAAATTTTAAAAATACAAACCCTAACAGAAAATTGAAGCTAATTAAATTCTCTACAATTAATTATGTAAACGTTTTGTTGTCAAAATTTTTTTTATTTGCCAACGGGATGACCAAAGTCAAAACATTACTTTTTCTTAATGAAAAAATTTTTTTGGATTTGTTCTGAGATAGCCAATCGATTGGAAATTTAATTTTGACCTAAGAACTTTAAATTTCATCAAAATATATTAAGCCGTTTTGAAACAAGAGCGTATGGACTAAAACCTGCTAATCGGCCCCGACGGCACTTTCAGGTGGCATCAGTTAGTACTTTGTGATTTCAAAACGGCTTAATATATTTTGATGAAATTGAGTTCTTAGGTCAAAATTAAATTTCCAATCGATTGGCTGTCTCAGAAAAAATCCAAAAAAAATTTTTCAATAAGAAAAAGTAATGTTTTGACTTTGGTCATCCCGTTGGCAAATAAAAAAAATTTTGACAACAAAACGTTTACTATATTAATTGTAGAGAATTTAATTAGCTACAATTTTCTGTTAGGGTTTGTATTTTTAAAATTTTCCCTCTAATTTAAAAATTAAAAAAACAAACTTCTCGCGGAAACGTTAATAACTTTGCTCCAGATGAATATTTTTTTAAGAATTAAAAATAAAAAATTATTTCAGTTTGTTTTCTACCAATGCTGAAAATTTGAACGATTTATCTCAACGCTTGCTAATAAAATAAAAAATTCGCGCAAACGTCTAATGAATCGAGCGCGCCGCTCTCCGCCGCGAGTGCAGCAGTCGAGCGATAGAGAGTCGAGCGAAGCGACAAGCAGAGGCCGGCGCGTATTTATTTATGCTCACAGCGCGACAACGGCTGCTCGGATTAAAAAATAAATAACACCGCGATTTTCCTCATGCCTTAATTATTCTAGAAATATAAGCTTCTCGGTCGCCAAAATTAAAAAACTTTCAATCAGAGCGAGATATTAATTAATTCCCTCGGGACAACTTTGTCGGGTTGCTAAACTCGTTCTCGCTTTTCTCCCACATGACAATCGGACACGCCCAAATATGATTAGTAATGGCTTTCTTTGTTTACCAAGTGCATCGTGTCTCGTCGAGGTCAAGATTGAGCCCAAATTCGGCCCGAAAAAGCCAAAAATCGGCCGAAATGCAACGTGAGAAGGAGCACTGCAGTCGGCGCAGCAGCGTAGCGAGTCTTAACTGATTCGGGAGAGCCGCTCCCAGGCCAGTCTGACTCGCCGCCGGAAAGGTACGTTCCCTTCATCGTTCTCCCTGTTCAAATTGACCTACGAGGCTCATAATTAAGTCTAATTTACATGTTTAACTCGGCCGAAAACGCCAGGTCAGCCATACATGCCGTAAACGGGTCTATTTGAGATTTTTTTTTTTTAGTGTAACGGTGTGCGAATTTAACGCCCGGCGACCACAGAAAGGCAGAAAGAGGCCGCAGCGGCCGTCGATTTGATCAGCCCAAGTGGGGAAGCGAGAGCAACAGGACTTCGTGACAAAGCCGCCAGTCCTCGGTAACTACTTAATTAATGGTAGCCAAATGGCTGAAAAGATTGGGTTCTTCAAAATTCGTCAGTTCTGGCAGCCGGCGATTGTTCCCGACAGGGTTTCTGCATTTCCGCAGCCTTATTTAATTTACTGATTGCAATCGAGTTAAAAACTGGTTAAACTAGTTATAAAAATTCTCATGAATTTACCAAATTCTCCCAGAGAAATACTTGCTCTTATTCTACCTTTATCGATATCTTAAACACGTGTTATTCGCTTATGGAGAAAAGTAACATTATTTTACCCTTAACAGTATCACGTTAATACGATGTTAATGTGAGTCTGAATGGTACTATTAGGACAGAATAATACGTCTTTAAGTCTAGCAGGTATAGGTCCGTAGCGTTGCTAGGTACCTCTTAAAAACGTCTTATTTTACCATTATTTGGTACTTCTTATACTATTATGGGCCCTCACGGCCACTCATATTATTCTAGTATTCTAGCTTATTTGCTGACGTCACTCATTTGGTGACGTCACATCAGGGAATAAATTTGCATAAATCAGAGTAATAAGTTTTCTACAATGATTTTGTTTATTGTTAAATCAACCATCAAATCACAAATAATTATCACAAATTTTTGAGAAGAAATTGGCACTCAAGGAGACAATTATGGAAATGAAGAAAATGGGCTTAGTCCTCATTGAAAAAATTATTTCTTTTATTTTTTATTGTTTTTGTACTTTTTTAGTGAGCTCCGTTTTTGCTCATGAAATAGGGTCGCAGACTGTGACCAAAACTGATAGAGACTTTGTTTATGATAAAATCAATTTTTACAAGGAGGACTAAGCCCGTTTTCTTCACTTGCTTCCAATTATCACAAAAACAGAATAAGAATTAGCACACAAAGTTGCAAAGTTGTTAAGAAGAAGATATTCGCACTTATATCTCTAAATACATAAGACTCTCACCTTCAAGAATAAACAATGATTTATTTAATTTTCTTACTAGTGCAAAATTAAGAAAAATAAAGCGCAAAATAATAAAATTATGAACATGTTACAATGTTTTAAATTAAATGTACTGCGTAAAGAAAAGTGATAAACTTTGACTTTTAAAACAATTTTTTTTTAAAGTATATGATCATTGTCTGTTGGAGTTGAATAATTATCTGCATGATATGGAATAGTTTATAAATTTGACAAATAACTGCTATAAGTTCAATAAATTAAAATGTAACTTAAAAAGAGAGTGAAAAAAACTAATTACATTACATTACATATAGAATTGTTGAGTAGAGGAGAAGCATTGACGATAAGAAGTTATGAAGATTGTTTTTTTGCATTCAGTTGCCTTTCTTGTCTCTGGGTGGCTATTTGACATCTCATTTTTGTTTTGTCTGAAAAATTGAAACAAGTAATTAAAATTTATCCATAATATAATTATATAAAATTTATAATTTATATTGAATGTTAGAAATTTGCAAAAAAAATAATACATTATAATTTTCGTGCAATGAAACGAGCCGTAAAATGAACTTACCATAAATATGTGCATGAAAATGTGTACTGTCCAATTCCATTTCCATAAGCAGCTTTTTTCATCATGGAGTAAGATCTGAAAGCAACATAAAATAAGTAAAAGTTTCAAAACTTCTTAAAAAAAATTAATATTAATATATCATTTAATCGCTTTTAATTAGTAATCAAAAATTGTATATTTCTTTATTTATGATTCAAACGCAAAATTACATGTATTGTATTATTTCTTGCAGTTATTATTTTGAATTGCATTTCACACTGCCTGCATAGCAATGTGGAATGCATGTCCCAAAGGGACAGACTAGTTCTAGGTACCCTAGCTAACGCAGAGCGCGCTCGGAGCGCGTCAGGTGGGAAAAATGATTGACAGGTTGGCGGTTGGTCATTACTCATTATGCTTTCGGTAATTTAAAACCAACCCAATGATGCTTTATAAGTTGTGTGCCTTAAGTCCCAAAGTTTTAAAAGTAGAAGGGAATTTTTAATTCCGAAACGTTTAACCACAACCGCATATATATAACTGAAATAATAATAAAAAGAAAAATCTGGCGTCTATAAATCCCTTTTCATTTGCTTAGGAGTCGGTCAATAATTCAAATCAAAATTAAAATTTGCTGAGAATATTAAGAAATTTTATGTCGGCTTACCTTTCAACTCAGGAAATCCAGTTTGCTGGTTTTGCTGCAAAAATATCGTTTGATTTGTCGCTTGTGTATATTTGGTGTGGGCTTCTTAGTCACTGCTTCTCCCTCGAATGAGGCGAGCAAACGCGCGGACCGTCAAGCAGCCAGCGGGGGCGGCTTTTCGGAATAAAGTACATACCTGAAGGTGGTTTGGCAACACGGCAGGGTCGCGTTTAACAAAAAACAAACTCTTTTCGCCCTACACTCACAATCAGCTGCAGTCGCAGAGCAAACAAACTCGATCTCTTGGAAAAATATGTATCCGAGTAAAAATAATCATGCTTGAATAATCTTTTTTTTTTAATTTATTACAAAATGAAAATTTATTAGTTTTAAGTTTGAAATATATGTGGCAGTTAAATTGAGTTCGGAGACATCATTTTTTTTACCGCAATCAAATTCACAATTTTCAAAAATCTTTCAGTGAAGGTTTTAATTACTACTAATTAATTTAATTTCATAAATACTGGAAATGATATTTACCAAACTAATTAATCGACAATTTTTGGAAGTCAAACTGAAAATATGGAAAATTAATTTTCTGCATCCAAAATGGTGCATGCAAATTATAATTTAGCAAATAAGCCCATTTTATTTAAAAATAATGAAATAAACAAGGTATTTTTTTAATTTAATTTATTTGTGTGATCATATCTTAAAAAGAATTTTTAAGTTCCGATTTTATTTCATTATATGTATGATAATTAAAACCAGTTTATTGTAAATATCTCACCGCCAGTGCAGTGGAAATCAAAAAAGTTAACGGCAAAATTTTTAGTATGATAAAATGTAATCCCTTTTTCAAAAATCAAAATTTTATTCTCAATAGGGACAAAGCTACAAAATTTTGAATTCTTGCTCGATTGAAAGGAAAATCTCAACCATCACTCATAGTAAGAGCGCACCCAGTTTTTCGCGCCGCTTGAATGGGGCGTGCCAAAAGTATTAATTACTTATATCTCAACTTCTATGAAGCTAATAACCTCAAAATTTCACAGACTTATATATTTTGGCCCTGTTAACCTGCTCAAATTAATTGAGGCTATTCTGTCCCAAAGCAAGCAAGATATTCAAAAAAATCTAAAAATTTTAGCATGTTTAGGTTAAATTTGCATCTTTTTACTGTCAGTAATATTTTGAAAAAAATCTCTAATATCTAGCATTTATCTGCGCGTAATAATATGTGCCAAAGAAATGTGTAGCCTTTCCTGATTTTTTAAACTTAAATTCCAAATCAGAAAAAACACGACAAAAATGCACAACTATAGCACGTGTTATTGAGAGAACGGCTGGCGGGAATGTTTTCAACAAAATTTTATCCGCTTTTGAATACAGACCTTCAGAATGTTCAATAGTCATTAATGTAATATATATAAAAAATCATTATTTTTGTTTTTTAAAATGACTTCTAATTTTTTTTAATAATTGAAAAATCCAGATTTAATAGAGAATTTAATTTGGAATTTATTGATGTAATTCCCATAAAAGTGGCTTAAATAGAACAATGGCAAATAATTAAAAACTGAATTTAATTTTAACGGCACTCCCGGTATGATCTCCAAACCGAGAGAAGAAATAAAATCTTCCTCCGCGAGGCCTCTCCTATTTTCGCTCAGTGCCCTGAAGCTATTTCTATTGTCTCCTTTGTCACTGTCATCTCTCGCTCGCTTCCTCCCCTATTTATGTGGGTCAAACAAATAAACTGCATCGCCAGCGAACAGAGTGAATGAGCGCAGCGTTGCAACCTACTCTCAGGTAGGAATTGCATCTGACCTTTCAGATGCAGCACCGCCTTGAGGTGATTTCAGGCACTTTCTCATATTATTCTGTTTTTAACAAAATAAACATTACCACCCCCGTTCCCTGATGCGCAGGCAAGACAGCAATGCACCCTTGTTATGCATGTTGCATATCTCTAAGTAAAGGTTTACTTAAAAAAAGTTTAGATATTTATGTCAAACTTTTGATTATGTAAATTTGAACTCTAATATTTAATATAAATTTGATTGCTTGATCCTCATAGTAATTTTAGGAAATCTGACCAATGTGCTTTTAATTAAAAATTTATAGGGTATGCAAAATAACAAAATTAATACAATTGTTACTTTTGATAATAAATAGCAGTGTGCACTGTTAAACGCGCACTTAGCACTGCGGAAATTAGTCAAAATCTAGATCGCGAACGTGGCAACACAAAATTATTGAGCGCACTCATATATGAATAATTGCGTCGTTTAGGACAATAAAAATAATTTCTTGATAATATAAATTTACTACAATAAAAAAAATACTAAATAATACCCTTTTCTATACATTTTCCACATTTTCTATACATACTAGTAGTAGTCACACTAATAGAGAAATTGCACAAGCGCACTTGGACATTTTGTTGTGCGTCATCATATTGGCTTCCGCATTCATATAATACTGATTTCAAGATTTTATAAGGGTAAAATAATATTTGTTCAAATACTGCTGGAATATTTCTCTTGGAATGTGCCTAGAAGAATAGAATAAAGTTTTTTTAATAGCTCACAAAATAAGGCGTTCATAATATGTTAGTCGAAGAGGAAAATAAAATGAGAATAATTGCACTTTAATAACCCAAAAATAAGGTGTCTCTAACATATTTGTCAAAGAGGAGAATAAAACGAGAATAAGATGTTGACATCGGGGGCACTAGAGTAGGCAACCTGCATCACACGAAATAATACTAAAATAAGGTGGCTTTAATGACACTTTGCTAGAGACGGGTGGAAAAATAATGTGTCAGAATACTACAATAATGTTACTTTAAGCAGAGATTCTCACTATAATATGAGTATAATGCGTCGATAATTTTAATATAATAGCAGTTCGTTTTCTGGGAGTTGTGTATTGATTTTCAATTTCAATTGAAGTTAATTCAAACATATATAACAAAAAATTGTGGATCCTACGGAAAAATTCAAATTCAATTGATTTTTTACAATAAAGCTTTGGACAGCGGTTAAATAGTCCTATTAGAATTTTTAAACTGCAATAAGCAGCATTAGACATCACAATTTTCCATCCAAATTTGCAAGCGACAGTGGTTACTACTCTCTGTTGCCCCTTGCGCCCTTAGCCATAATTCAGATCATTTTGTTTTTCTTTCCAATATATTAAAATTATAAAATTTATTCTCACGCATTAGAGGTACTTAAAAACTAAATATTTGATTTTAAAATCAGGAATGAATTTAATTGGACATTTTGTTTTTCAGTAAGAATATATGTAAATATGCAGGGATAATTTTTAATTCAGTTATATTTTGCCAAATTTTGGAATTTAAAACTTATTTGTAATTTATTATTTAAAACATGGTTTTAAATTTAAAAAATGGGCAAAGAAATGTCCTTACTTCTAACAATCCCAAACGCTTTCGTTAAAAATTGACCCCAATACAACAATCCGCACTTGCATGTTCCTCATCGCCAGTCTGATATTTGATTGATTTCGTTGAAAATAATGTAAAAATATGATAACTTTAAACAAGGACCATAAAAAGAAAAATTTTTAATAGCGTTGTTCATAAGCACGAGATTAAAACTAAAAATCTTGAATTTAAGAAGTCTTGTCAGAATTTCCATCATAAAGTTTGACTCGGCCAAACTCAGTCAGAATTGTTCTGACAAAAAAAAAACGCATTCTGAAAACCGCTTTTTCCTCACAATGAAGAAAACATATTTTCATATCAAATTTTAATTTCCATAATACCAATCACAATGAAGGCAAAACCAAATTAAAAAATTTTTCTTTCAAAAATTTAAAAATTTGTCTAATTTTTAAATAAAATTTATTAACAGATAAATCCAATATTGAGCAGATATTTTAGTTTAAACATTAATTAATACAACGTTCAAAACAAACAAGACAATTCAAAGTCACAGCTCTTGAGTTGGCAATTCGAGTGGACTTGGAAAGAGGCTAGTTTCACTTTGAGGTGCAAGAGCGCGGTTCAATTCTGCAAAACTGGATTTTTTGGAACAAGTTTGTTCTTGTCGGCCTCGAAAGCGGAGAAGCGCGCGCGCCGATTGGCCGAAGGCAGAGGAATGCGGCCCAAAGGAAAAGTTCCCGCGCGCGAAATCCAGCAAGTCCGAACCTGCTTATGTATCTTCGCAAAAGGCGACGCAAACCGCCTCAGGCTGCCTCCAGCCGCCCCCGAAATTGGGTTGGCCCGGTGTCGCCGCGCAATTTCTTTACCGAAAAAGTGCAAACGGCAGCCAAAATTCGCCGGCTACAAATCAAAAATAGCCATAAAAAAAATCACCCACACTTTCGCGCCCTTTGGGGATTATATGCGTCATGAATTTTACCCGCATATTTCACGAGATCCAATAAATTTTCAAATTGTAGAAAAAATAAGTTCAAAACATTTTCGGACGAGAAAATTTCCAAAAGTTCTTATAAATTACCCGCGTTTTTCAGAATTATTACAAACAGGAGGACTTACCAAAAATACTGCTTTGGACGAGTTTTGATCGAGAAGTCTGCACAGAGTCGCAGCGGATCTTACTAGAGACCTATAAAGCTAATGAAGCACACTGCGATCTGAGGAAACACCTTGGCCGTTGAAAAAATTTGGCTGAAAGAATGGCTTGCGAAAATGCAAAAGCTAAGAGAACGAGGAAGCACTGACAACGTCCACGTCTATCGTCGCTATGAGGGTGCGGAGCGGGCGCGAATGGTTTTGTGGGGCGCGACTCCGGCGCGATGCTGCCGCTGATTGGTCCGTTCTCGGCAGCGCTCGGCCGACCTGGACTTTGGACTCGGGGCACGCGCTGAAATAATCCGACACCAGAGAGAGAAAACTTGGTGAAAAATGTGTGCAAAAGAGAAATAAATGAGAAAATCCGACATTCCTCTCTCCTCTTGAACCTTGACACGTGCCGATTCTTCATTAATTTTCGGATACGTCGTCGTCGCAAGATTTTAATAATTCCCAGTTTTTTTAGCCATCAATTTCTCATTAAATTAATGAATTAATTCTAGAATAAATCAAACGATTCCCCTTTTATATAAAATAAAAAGCACTAATTTTATTGTCAGAAAGTGAAATATTATGAATGATATTTTAATTCTGCGCGTAAAATTGCAAATTATCAAATTCAAATTTACATGTGCGAGAAGTTAAATATATTAAGATTAACTTAAATTTATTTTTATATGCGCGTATATAGATAAGACTTAAAAAAAAACATTATGCAATGTCATGTATGTATGTCTTTCATTTTACCATAATTTCTGTAACAATTGGGCAAGATGATTATTTTTTATGCTTAAACTAGATTGGTAAAACATTATTATTCAATTTAAAGGTTAGATTTTTTTAAATTTAAACTTTTTTATTAATTTGCTAATCAGGATTGGGGAATCTTGTAGATTTTTTTAATTACGAGAGAAACCACAGAAAACAATTATATTTTTATTCAAATTAGAGGTCAGGTATATTTTTATTGATGTCAGATGTTCATGTAATTCTTGAATAATTATGGCAAAAGTTTGTTGCATACAAGAATTTATATTCCTGACTCAACTTTTATATTTGAAATTTGCTTCAGGAACGCAGACACTTTTCTTTTAGATGGAAGAGTGAGCAGAAGATTTTCATGTACAGCAAACAACAAAATTTCATCATCATGCTGATTCTGGAGCATAATGGAGAGAAAAATTCCATCAGAAATTAGATTTTGCGTTTTGTGCTCTTTTCTCTCTTTTACGCTGCACGAACATGTTCAGACACGACAAGAACTGGTTCTGGCAAGGATCGAAAATCCGCTCACAATCAGAGACTCTGCTGCTTCACTAGATCCACTTTCTTGCCACGTTGCCAGCGCTATTATTCTAGATCGTACACATTTTTTTTCTATCACTGCATAAAAATTAATCAAAAAATAACTTATAGGAGTGATAGGCTTTGGAAAATATCAGTTGACATTAAAAATAATAATAGTTTACGTCTCTCCAAAAAGGATTCTGAAAAAAAAATCAATTGATTTCCGATTAATGTATGAATATTTTAAATTAAATCCGCATTTTAATTTGTGGGAGCAAAATTATAATTTGGAGATTTATCAATTCATGAAATAAAAATAGGAAAAATTGCAAAAATTTAACCTTTCAAATTAAATAACAGGCTACATAAAGTTTTTTTACTTAAAATAGTTTTTTATGTCCAAAAATAAACCCCAGGCCGGGATGAGTGCCATTGATAGGGGCATAAAATTAAAAGTCCAATTCTAAAATTTAACAAACATCATTTCACTATCAAAAGAAAACTTGTGAAATTGAACTCCTGATATTTTTGCAATTGAAATATATGCAATTTGTCGTGAAATAAAATATTTCTCAGAAGAAAAATATCAGCGAGGCTTTAGTTTTTAAGACGACAAAATCAAGAGCCATTATTCAAGACATTAAAAAGAGGTCCCTCTCCTGAGGAGGGGATGAGGCAACAAGTTACTGCAGACACAACTTACCTGACAAAGCGACAAAAGCTACAAGCCGGTGCTTTAATGTTTGGAAAAAAAATATTTGTTAAAAAAATAATAATCTCTATTAAAATTTAAATTAAACTCCCAATAACTTACTTTTGTTTAATCACATTCTTTTAATTACAATACCACCAATCAAATTTATGCCAAACTTTCATAAAGTAATTTGTATATCTTGAACATTTGATTAAATGTACACTGACGCTGCACATTAATTTAAAGAAATTTCCGTGGAAATCGAATTACCTAATCGCACGATTCAAGTCGGTAGTTACATCATGATGTCGTGCGAGTAAGTAAGATGTGGTGGCGCACCAGCTGGAAATGGAAGAGGCTGTGGGTGGGAAGAAGTCGGTCCATCTGAATCTCGGCCAGCTTCCCAATCAATCGCCGAGCGTCGGCCGAGCTGCAAAGAGCTGTTGGCGCCATGCGTCTCTTAGCGCTGCTCGCCACCCTTTGCCTGCTCCAGGTGGGGCTCGCTATGAGCATAGACGATGGTAAGTCTCACCTTTACATTTTAGAACAATATAAATTTTTCAAATTCATCAATGATCATATTTACGTCAAGTTCCTTTTTGAAGCTTTTTATCAATTTTAAATCAATTCTTTTTTGGCTTCATTGTTCACTTTTTTAGAGAAAATTATCCGAGATCCAAGATCCGAGTTTACCAAAAATTACTAAAAATCAATAAACTTTAATTATTTTTGCGGCGTCTCCTTTTTATTTAATGAATAAGACATAACTTGAAGTATTTATCCCCAGGTTACATTGTTTAATTTTATTCTATTGGGCAAATTCTTTTTTAAGTTGCTCAATTTTTATAAAATTCATCATATTCTGTTAAATTCGATAACCAGATTTTGAGGATCGGTAAACACGTGTGCTCAACGCATTCTGGAAAGCCGCCTTTTATTACTTTTGATTAAAGTTCAGTCCGCAGTGTCAATTTCTCATATAAACAAATTGATACGAGAGCAGTCACACGACCAACAAAATAGGTTAATTTGATGATATCAAAATTTCACTGCACTTCCTTGATGCCACTTGGAGGTTAACAGAGTTCAATTAATTCGCTCCAGTTTCTCGGCGGGCACAAGTTTGTTTTTGAACTCATGATTGGCTAATTTTTATTCCATATATTTCATTAATAAAGTGCCTTGTCATCTTGAAAATCTTATATTGTAATTTATTATTTTATTTTTAATATCATTTTATTTTACCAAACACATCCATTGACACATTTCTGTATTTTAATGTTATAAAAAATATTTATTTATTAAATTATTGAAATATAATTTAAACTTTTAAAATGGGATTTAAAACTTTTTTGGAATCATCTTTTCATACCTAAAATAAATATAAATTCAGCTTCAGTAAAAATGTATTAAAAACCATACTTGATTTTTTTTGCAGTGAATACATTAATTTTATCTCAAGGTTTATTATAACAGTGATGTTTATTATTTTCCTCTCTCTTCCGCAGGGCTGACCAAAAAATTAGAGGAAGCATTGCAAGGGGCGTCTTTCGTCGTCAGCCTGAAGCATCTGGAGCCACGCAAAACCAAGCAGCAGGAGCCGCTCTTTGCCTTCGTCTTCTCAGGCTCGGACCAAAAACTCGCCGTCCTTTTAGACAGACACGCCACACAAGGTAAATTAAAAAAACAAAAAACAATCAATCGTCTGTACTTTTTTTAAAAATTTTCAATTGATTCGTCCTACAAAAAACTGAAAATTTGAGAAATTGGAAAATTCCTAATGATTTTCATGTGCGTTTTTTCCTGCAATAGCAATAATTTGTAAATTATGGAAGAGTTTCATTATTTGGTTGAAAAGGCTCAGATTTGTAAGAAGAAAGGCGCAGACTTTTATATTAATCGGCTCAGGTGGGGCTCAGTCGCGCTGGTGTCCATCTAGGGCCTGGTGGGCCGCGAAGGCGTAAGTGTCGCCCTTGATTCAAGGCCCACTCGGTTTTGTGCAGCCGATTTAAACTCTTTTTCAATAATTTATGAGCGTCTCGCTCGTCCGTGAATAATATGGTAAACTCCGAATCTTGCGTGATGTGCCGAAGAAATACCATCAATAATAAATTAAAATAATTTTGCAAATACGCTGTGCAGTCCTTTTTGCCTTGTAATACTTTGCGGTCTCATTTGCATCAATGAAAAATCTTCTGCAAAACCTTAATTTTACTCTCTTGATGGCCATAATATTAAATATGATATATGTAAAGAATATTAGATGCCGCAGAATCTCACACAGAATTAATAAATCTAAAATATTTGATTTTTTTTTTATTTAAAATTCATGAAAATGATTTTCTGGCCGAATCGCCGTTTTGAATCGAATCACAATTGCAATTAGGGGCAGAGAACCCGAACTAAAATAATAATAAAAAAATGCAGCTGGAAAGACAGAGTGAAATTGTATGGAGCCAAGTGTTTGAGCTCGGTCGTTTTTAGTGTGGGTGAAAATAGCTTTTCTATGGATGGTGACAACAAATTAAGACCTTCCTAAAAAACACACGCGTGGTAACGCTGACAAAGTATGTCCTCTCATATGGCTTAACCGCGTCTATTTTTGTCTGGAATTAATACCACTGCCAGCAGGAATAAATAAACAACGAAAAGTACCCATAATACAGAACCACAAATACCCATTAAGTATCAATTTTGTATATAATAGGTAAACTGATGATTTTTTTTTATTATTCCAATTAATATTTCTTTTGAAGACATTTGTGGAGAGTTTAATGATTTAAAACAATTAAATTTGAAAAACTGAAATAATTTTTTGTCATTTTAATTTCAAATTTTAAATTATTAAAAATGCTTAATTTTTTTGTGTGTTTTGTTAAAATGCGTTTGTCAATTTGGATTTTAGTGTTGGTTGAGACGAGCATCGGCGGCGAGGACACCATCAGCAGCCGCTTTGCAGCGACACCGCACTTGGGCGAAGACGCCGTGATCAAGTCGGTGGTGCTCGAGGTGCAGGTCGACGGCGCCCTCACCTTGTTCGTCGACTGCCACAAGGTTGGCTCAATCGCCCTTCCGCGCACCATTGGCCAAATGTTCCAGCGATCGAAGCGGCTGCATGTGGTGAGTTTTTTTTATAGAAAACGATATACAAACCTAAAATAACTCCGATTCATTCAAAGATGCATTATTAAACTACAAGTTTTTTCTTTATTATTTGATTTCATAAGATTTTTTTTATTAATTTTTCTTTCTGCCTTTCAATTTCTTGCTCATTTTATTGAATCAATAGAGTCATAAGCATAGTTGCCGGGAATTATTGAATATCAATCCACAAGATAGATTGCAGTGACTCATTTTTTCTGTTGCTCCCCGCGTTTCACAATTGAATCGAGCAAGTCCCACGCGGACAGAAGCAGATGGTTTTGAGAGAAACTCGGGTTTAAGGCAGTGCTGTGGCTCGGCGGGCCGGACACAAGTGTGCGTAGGTTCCACGGAGAGGTTGCCTAATTAGGAAAGACTTCTATTTTTTGGCTCCTTCGTAACGCTTACTTATTTTCTCTCAAGTCTTTCTCGCGCAAAACTTACTGTTCAAATTAGGCAACAAAATAAATATAAAGTTTAAATAATATCTGCCTTAAAATTAAATAATTGTTCTAGATAAAAAAAAAATACTAATTAATGCTTGCGAAAAATAATTTCACTTTTTTTATTGGTGATCGTGTTTATTAAATAATAACATACTTTTGAATAATATTTATGGAATTAAATCTCATTTATAATAGATTTTTTTAATTAATTTTAAGTGTATTAAAAATTTCTATTTCCATAATTATTTTGCTTAATGACTGTTGGAATTTTTTTAACATTGATTGCAGACTCGGGACAAACGATTCAAAATGGCGATTCACACGGAAACGAGCGTGGACAGCGTTTTGTCCAAAATGCACTGCACTTCTCAGCATGAGAAAATGCAAGGCGACGAGGTGCTGCCAGGCAACAGCGTCTACACCTACAGAAGAGGTGCAAAAATCAAGATTTCAATTTAGGAATTTCTGAACTTTAAAATTTTTTATTGCAGGAGACATTCCTTTGATGCACGAGATTGAAGAGAAAGGTATTTAAGATTATTTTCTGAACTTTTACTTTTGAGGATAAACTAGAAAATTTTAATGTGTAAATTTGTAATTCTTAGAGTCTCTACTTGTGAAGGCGCTTCTAGAATTGATAACCGCCGTCAAGTCCCTCAAGGGAGAAGTTGAACAACAAGTGAGTTATTTTTATAAATAATATTTTCAGAAATTATTGGAATTAAGAATTAAGTTATTTTCAAGGGAAACCTTTTGAACATTCATTAAATTTTGAATTCAATCTAGTAATCTAATTCTTGATTCTTTATTGATCCTCAGAGAGGCGAACTGCGAAATCTGAGGGACGTCATGGAGAATTGCGAGATGTGTCGAGAAGGTACGTACTGACGAGAAGATCAGGCGACCACGTTATCTTTACCGGCGGCATTTAACAATTCAGGGATTCAAAGTATTTAATACTCTGCATACCTCACGAAATTTGAATTTTTTATATTCAAAGTATACGAAATAGAATTTCCATTCTCTCAATAAGAATAACATCCTGATGTCTTATTTAACATGCAATAAAGCGTACGTTTTTCTCATGCCTAAACTTTGGCCTTTCATTGAAGACACTTGAACCCTTAGACCAGGATGCTATTCTTTCTGGAGAAATAGCAAATCTTTGCCAGTTTGTTTTCTCATAAACTGAAAAATTCAATATTTGATGTTTCATAACAATTATATTGTTATTGAAGCAAACGGATATTAAAATAAATTTACCAGGATTGGAGAATAATTGAAATTTTTTGCAAAATTTAAATTTTTTATTGAAGCTTCTGATTGACTTAATTTTGCCAACTTGATTAAGGAGACATGAATGTGATTTAGTGAGGTTTTTTTTCAATTTTGAGGAAAAAATTTTATTCATTAATAAGAGACAATTTTAATTTTCAAAAATTCAATCATCAAAAAGAATTTGTTGCAATGTTTGCAGCGCCGCGGCCGAAGGTTCCGAGGTGCAGCGACAACCCGCCGCCGTGCTTCCAGGGTGCGCAGTGCCAGGACACGGATCAGGGTCCGGTGTGCGTCAAGTGTCCGCGGGGCTACGTGGGCAACGGGCGGCAGTGCCGGCCCGGCCAGACGTGCGAGGATCGGCCGTGCTTCCCGGGCGTGCGTTGCTTCGACACGGTCGACGGATTCCAGTGCGGCCCCTGTCCGAGCACCCACGTCGGCGACGGCGTCCGCTGCAAACCGCGCAACGGCTGCGAACAGAACCCCTGTCCGCAGGGCGTGCGCTGCGAGGCCGCCGACCAACCCCCCTACTACCGCTGCCAACCCTGTCCTCAGGGGTCGCAGAGCAGTGATGGAAGAAACTGCCAAGACATCAACGAGGTGCGTCAAAATTCTTTGCAACCTTCAAATTTTTGTTTAAATTTTTTGATTATTAAAAACTAGTGTAAAATTTGACGTTTTATTTTTTAGCTTTGTTAGATTTTTATGAAAAACCATTGGAATTTTTTCAGCAGTTGATTGATTTTAGAAAAAGAAAATAAATGCCAAATTATTCCAAAAAGCAAGAGAAATTTACCTAAAATTTTTATTTTTTACTCTAAAAATCAATCGGGATGCATTTTTTTAAAAGATTTTTCAGATAATTTGCTGGATCAAATTTCCCCGAAACCAAGATTTGATAAATTATTGAAATAATCATTCAATTGATTTGACCAAACAGTGTGAACTCGCACGTCCTTGTGATCCTCGTGTGCGTTGCCACAACCTGAGCCCTGGCTTCAGGTGCGACGCGTGTCCCACCGGATTCACAGGCAGCGGTGGTGCCCAGGGTGTGGGGCTGGACGACGCACGCAGGGTGCGGCAGCAGTGCAAAGACATCGACGAGTGCGCCGACGGCAGAAACGGAGGCTGCGTTCCCAACTCGCAGTGCGTCAACTCGGAGGTACCTTTTTCCCATTAAAAAGATTTCAGTAGGTTAAATAAAAAAACTTTCAGGGCTCGTTCAGGTGCGGTCCTTGCAACCGCGGCTTCATTGGCAACCAGACCATGGGATGCCACAACACCCCCGGCATGTGCATGGACGGAACGGTGTGCCACGAAAACGCAGAGTGCGTTCGATTCCACGGCCAGAACACTTTCTCATGCAGAGTATGTTGGAAAAATTAAACTATTTATATATAATATAAATTTAGCTTAAATAAATTTTAGTAGAGTTAATTCAATACATAAAATTGACATATATTTGAAAGAAAAGAAGGACCAAATATTTGTGGATATATTTTCTTTATAAATTTGAGGTTGAAAAATATTTCTTCCCAAAATGAATTTTCAGCGAAATGCGATTCCACGGAAAAAAACCTCTTAAAAAATTTTCTCTGGTGTCTTTATTAATCCTATTTTAAATTCCCAAATCGCATTGATCTGCAGTGCAAAGTAGGCTGGGCTGGTGACGGAAGAGTTTGTGGTCAGGACAGTGATTTGGACAGGTGGCCGGACAGGGACCTCGGCTGCGGCGACCCCAAGTGCAGGAAGGTTTGTCATTATATCTTAAAATGAAAGTTCGCTGCTAAATAACTTTTCCTCACAGGACAACTGCGTCACTGTGCCTAATTCAGGTCAGGAAGACGCGGATGGAGATCGAATTGGCGACGCCTGCGACGCTGATGCGGACAATGACGGCATTTTGAACAATCCGGTGAGAACGAACCCTCAATTTTCTCTTTTATATGTGCATTAATAGGGTTCGAAAAATTTAGATAAAACATTTATTTCAAAATAAAAATTTCTTCATAAATTTAAATACCGGATTCAAATGTGTTTCTAATTATTCTTATATTTGAAAACAAAAAGTTGGAGAAAATAGAAAATATAAACATTTTTTTTAAACGCAGATTTTCCTTGTTGAATTTTTAAAGACTTTTATATTGTTCTGCACATTTTTATCAGGTGTTTGCTTATTTCTCCAGTAAACTTAACAATTGCGAAAAAATTCATTAACGTTTCAATCAGTTAAAAAAGGAAAAAGCTGTTTCTACAAACCAGTATTAATTTGGAAGCATAAACTATTAAATTTGAATATTTACTAATTATCTTAAAAGATTAAATATCATTTACTTTCAACTTGTTTTTGCCACAATTTTCAATATCAATTCTAGTTTTGTATCTGATTTAGTCTCTTTTATATAAACAAAGTAAATTTTGGATATTAAAATTTTAGGACAACTGTCCGCTCGTTCACAATCCCGGCCAGGAGGATTCCGATCCGGACGGCGCAGACCGTCAGGGTGACGCGTGTGATAATTGTCCCATGGTGGTCAACGTCGACCAGGAGGACACGGACAAAGACGGTCTCGGAGATGCTTGCGACCCCGACATGGACAACGATGGTGCGTTTTAACAAAACATAAAACCATTGATTTTAACGGGGGTTTCTTTATCAGGAATTCCAAACCAGCAGGACAACTGCCCGAAAAAGGCGAATCGCGATCAGCAGGATCAAGATCGCGACGGCGTGGGCGACGCGTGCGACAACTGCCCATCAGTGCCCAACCCTGATCAGTCCGACAGTGACAACGACTTGGTTGGAGACTCGTGCGAAAGCAGCCAGGACAGAGACAGGTATTTGACCTATTTCAAAATAATATCTGGGCCTAATTCAGTGAAATCGATCTTCCTTGAAATACTGAAATAGTGGAAATTCAGCTAAAGCTTCCTGGTGTGTAATTGCAAATACACAAATTCATAAAAAAATTAAGATTTTCACAATCAGGGAATAAAAAAAAATACAGCTCAAAGTCAAGAGTCTAGAATTTAGTAGTTCTATTATGTGCATTTTGCCCTGTTGACCTTGACCCCAGGTAAACCTCCCATATGATTAACATTGGCCGTAAGAAATACACGGGCGAGGACCGCGCGGCATTGCGCGCTCTCTCCCACTTTGTCACAAAGAACTATTCTATTAAATTTGAACTTTTGACCATAAGACTAACACGGGCCTCCCATTTGAAATAATGCAGCACCAGTTAATAATTAATTAACCATTTTTAATAAAATTAACACTTTTAAAGGAAGCACGAGACGCTGCTAGGCGTTCGGAGGCGTTCTCCGATGCCCAATTCACTCGGAGGCAGCCCGAGACGGTGCTAAACCTAGCAGCGTCTCGTGCTTCCTTTAAAAGTGTTAATTTTATTAAAAATGGTTAATTAATTATTAACTGGTGCTGCATATGTCAAATGGGAGGCCCGTGTTAATCTTATGGTCAAACGTTTTAATTAAATTGAATATTTCTTTGTGACAAAGTGGGAGAGAGCGCGCAATGCCGCGCGGTCCTCGCCCGTGTATTTCTTACGGCCAATGTTAATCATATGGGAGGTTGACCTGGGGTCAAGGTCAATAGGGCAAAATGCCCATAATAGAACTACTGAATTTATATTAGTTTCAAATTTTTGAGATAATTCATGATAATTGTACATAATTTGTTAAAATCTAAAAAGATAATACAGCCTAAGAATAAGAAATTTAAAACCTTTTTTTATATTTCTGTAGAGACGGCATTCATGATGACAAGGACAACTGTCCGCGAGTGGCAAACAGTGACCAACTGGACACTGACAATGACGGCAAGGGTGATGAGTGTGACACAGATGATGACAACGACAGCATCCCCGATCTGCGCGACAACTGTCCCTTGCGCTACAATCCCGGCCAAGAGGATTTGGACCGTGAGTATAATAAATCATTTGGTGCCCACTTGAAATTGTTTTTATCAATTCTACCAGGAAACGGAGTTGGCGATCTTTGTCAAGATGATTTTGATGGCGACGATGTTCCCAACTACTTGGACAATTGTCCCAACAACTCCAAAATTCACTCTACTGATTTCAGGTAAACTTTCTTTTATAATTTTTTTTTTTAATTTTAATTATCTTTAAAATTAGAACTTATCAAACGGTGGTGCTCGACCCTGAGGGCGATTCACAAATTGATCCTAACTGGGTCATTTACAATAAGGGTGCCGAAATTGTCCAAACTATGAACAGCGACCCTGGATTGGCTGTTGGTATGAAACTAATTAATTCAAATTTTCAATTCCGCTAAAAATCCCAAACTACAGGCTATGCTGCGTTTGGAGGCGTCGATTTTGAGGGCACTTTCTTCGTCGACACAGAAATTGACGACGATTATGTAGGATTCATTTTCAGGTTTTTTTCTCAACAATCAATCAGAAGTTTCAAATTTAAAAAATTATATAAAACAGCTATCAAGACAACCAGAAGTTCTACACGGTGATGTGGAAAAAGAACACCCAGACCTATTGGCAAGCAACCCCCTTCCGAGCGGTCGCCGAGCCTGGCATTCAACTCAAACTGGTCCACTCGAGCACCGGCCCAGGCCAAATGCTGCGAAATTCCCTTTGGCACACTGGCGACACAGAAGACCAGGCAAATCAATGCAAATTAGTACTCGAAACAATAAAACATTTCATTTTTCAGGTCAAACTTTTGTGGAAGGACCCGAGAAACGTGGGTTGGAAGGAAAAGGTCGCCTACAGGTGGCTCTTGTTGCACAGACCCAAAATCGGCCTGATCAGACTGAGGATTTTTGAGGGCGAAAACATGGTGGCCGATTCGGGGAACATTTTCGACTCGACCCTGAAGGGCGGCCGCCTCGGCGTCTTCTGCTTCTCGCAGGAAATGATCATTTGGTCCGACTTGGTTTATCGCTGCAACAGTAAGTTTTGAGAAATTGACGGGGAGCGTCTCTATGACCACGTCCACTTTTCAGACAACATCCCAGAGGCGATTTACCGCGAATTGCCACCGAGGCTGCAGCAGGAGGTGGAAATCGACACGACCCTTCCTCCCCGGCGTGTGGTCGTCAATTAACTTGGAGGGAAATTCAAAACCTGCCAAAAGCACCGCTTGTGTTTCTTATGTATTACTTAACACGGAGTTCTTGTCGATTAAAATCTTTCGAGTACATTTAACGCAAATTTATTATTCATAAATCTTCTATATTTAAGGTAATACAGTTATTCTCTGCATATGAAAATAGCGATATTATTTAATCATTTGAGCTCCAATGAATTTTTAAAAAGAGGCCACTAACTTTTGTTTGCTTAACATAAGAATTAAAATTAACAGAACCGAGTTCAATGCAGTTACCTGGTACGAACTTAAATAAATATTTATATACACAGTGTTGAGTGCGAAGAAAGGGAGAGAGAGAGCCTTACAATGAAATCACCACAGGTTATAGGAGAACAAGCCACATCACACCATCATTTTGGTTCCTCCCTCAGATTTTTGGTTGTTGTTCAGGTTCTGCTCAAAGTTCAGAGGTCTTCTGAAGAGTAGTATGTGCGGTTCTGAAAATTGAGTTTTGCTTAATATTTAAGCGTCTCTTTTCTTAATTTATTATGGAAAATACATTTACTTTTGTAAAAAAAGCCAGTTTGATATGATAAAATTTAAGAATTTTATTTTATTCATCTTAAAGTCGCAGGATTTTTTCAAAACGATTTCATTTTAAATATTATATATGTCTGTTAATTTTACTTATTTGTTAGTTGGATTGAAGAATGATATTATTTTGGCTTGCAAAATAAATAGGTTATTTATTGAGACGAGTGAGAGTTTAATTGCAGATCTAAGGGCCAAACTAAATTAATTATACCCTTTTTGATTATGTGTATGAGATTTTTATGTATTTATAGAAAATTATTGGTAATAACAATAGCATTGGAGCTTTGAGAAAATTATGGCTTGAAGATTTTCCATTGCATAAGTTTAAAAAATTAAAGATTTAAAAATGGATTTATTTTAATTCTTCTCACCTGGTTGATGGAACATGTAATGCACCCATCCCTTACTCTGCTGGACACCAATGCCTCTCCATTCCTCCTCAGACATCAAATGACTCTTAGGCACCAACTTTGCAATTTCACGCGGCAAAACGACGTGCCTGAAACGCAAAAGTTGTGTAAATATGATCATTATCTTGCAAAAAAAGTGAAAACCAGAATTTCACTGATCATTTAATCCCGCAAATTTGACAAGCAACATGCGAATTATGTGTATTACCTGTACTCATATTTATCATCGCAATATTTGTCTGAGTAAGAAATGTTTTTGTACGACATTTTCACCCTCTTTTTCTTCCAAATTCCAGTAAATTTTACGACGATTGCACATAAAAAAACAAACACACCGGCTGATGCGCGGGAACAGGCGGAAAAGGAATGAGAAATTTCAATCGAGAGTGATGACGTCATCGTCAAAGCGCTCGCCTATTGGTTGGAACAAATACGCTTTGGCGCAAAGAGGACGTTTCTGATTGGTTCTGTTGAATCATCGATCATGGGACAAGTTTAGCCTTTTTCACATGTTTTTGTTTTTAAAATAATAATTGTTGATTTTAGATCCAGCCAGGTGAAGCAGGGCGATTTCAGGATAATTTATTGAAAATCACGCCGTAAAACCACACCGAACATATTATATGCATTTTTAGTCAATTTTCTGGTGGTTTAAAAAGCTAATTGCGCAGCTCGCAATTTCTCTTGTTTGTTAAAATTGAAGCAAAAAATGATTAAATTCTCAACAAATTTCGCACCGGTTTGTCAGAGAGCCCTCAGACTTGTCGCGTTAAATTCGCATAATAAAGATTTCTCCACAACAACGCCAACAAATTTCGCTGCAAAACCGGGTGGTGGTAAATATAAATATTTTCTCATTTTTAAACGCAATTCTTAAATCACTTTTTGCTGTCTTTTAGTAAACATTGCTGGTCTTGGTGGCAAAGCGGCCAAAAAGAAACTGGGGAAACTTGGCCCCGCCACTGAAAAAATGGTTCTGCCTGTTGAAACCGACACGCAAATCTTGCACGACTACGTCTGTGGAACTAACTTGCTAAAGGAAGGCGGCGAAAACATCAAACTCAAGGAAGATTCGGAATACCCTGAATGGCTGTGGACCCTGAGGACAGGTGAGAACTACAAATGATAACACGGAACTGAAATTAATTTTTATTAATATAGGGAAATTCCCTGAATTGAGTGAGATGGATCCTGAAACTAAAGAGTACTGGATGAAAGTCAGAAGAATGGGTGTGGCAAATAACAACAAATTATTGAGAAATAAACGATTAAAATAAATAAAGAGCTTAAATTTTAGTATTGTTCTGCAACTTAAGTAAATGATTTTCAATTCTTTTTTTTTTAGCCAAGAATACTTCGATTCAATAGTTTATATATAAAAATCCCATTGGTATTTTTTACTACAAGATATACGATTATTAATATTATGAAAAATCAAATTGTTAAAAAAGAAATGCTTTAATTTAGAGGAACTATTGAATTCTAATCAATAACATTTGTTATATAAATTTTGATCTGATGGATTTTAATTGTTTTATCAAAGAGGCCTTATTACGGTTTAGCATCATCTACTTTTTATTGGTTAGGGCGTGTCAGTTCCAGTAAAATTTGACCAATAGTTATTCTTCAAGCAGACTCTGTTTACAAATTGGTGCCGGCTGGTCATGCCAAGTCAAAAATTAGCTTAAATTAAATAATTGATTATGAATCAAACCTGATGTGATCTCAAAATGTGTAGAAATATTTTTCTCAAATTGAAAATCAAGTATCTTGTAATATTCACAACGTTGTTGATTCTTGTTGCCTTATATCATGTTCTGAGCAGTATTTATCCTGCCAAAAACAGTCTGAACAAACAGGACGAAGGTATGAATATCCTTATATTTATGATCAACTCTTTTTATTCAAGTAAGAAAAATTATTGCAGAGGTCACCATTCCTACTCTGTTGTGGTGGACACCTTTTACTGGAGAAGATGGGATTGTCAAGAAATGCAATGTAGGAAATTTGGAAGCTTCCTGCTATTTTACCAACAACAGAAACATCCGTTTGAATGCTGGAACAAAAGTGGTATTTTGTAGCAAATTTAAAAGTTTTGATTTTGAATTACATCTCATCCCTTTTTTTAAAGGCGCTTCTTTTCTACGGAAGTAGTTTCGCAGCTTGGGACCTTCCCGAGGTCACCATTGGGAAAAAACCGCTTTGGGCTCTCCTGCACGAGGAGTCGCCGAGGAATTCTGCACTTCTTCAGCACAAGGACGCACTGAGTCTTTTCAATTTTTCGGCCACATTCAGTCGGCACAGCAGTTTTCCACTCACACTCCAACATTTGACGAGTTTAGAGGACCTTGTTGGTAAATAATTTTTTTCTGTTGGCCACATCAATAAAAAAAAGTTATTTTTTAGGGAACGAATTTTTCGTATCTTGGAAAGCTAAAACTGAGTACCAGCAAAAACTGGGCCTGGCCCCTGTGGTCTTCATACAATCCGACTGTGATACTTCCACTGACAGAGACACCTACGTGAAAGAGTTGATGAAATTTATCAAAGTTGATTCTTATGGTGCCTGTTTACAAAATAAAAAACTTCCTGAGAGGTGCGCTGACAAAAAAAGATTATTACAACCTTGATACTGATTATGTGTATTTAGCATTCGGGATCCGATGTTGGCCTTGCACAGCGCAGAGTTTTGGAAATTTCAAGCTCGTTATAAATTTTCTATTGCAATCGAGAATGCCGAGTGTCCGGACTACTTGACTGAGAAATTGTGGAGGCCTCTTATTATAGGCTCAATCCCTATATACTACGGTTCTATTAGTTTCCAGGTATTTTACAGCACAATTGCTTTTATAAAAATTATTAATAAAAACGGTTTATTGATGTATAGGATTGGATGCCTTTTGATAAAACAGCCATAAGTGTTCGTGATTTTGATACACCCGAAACATTGGCAAAGTTTATAGCAATGCTTGACAGTGATGAGGAAAAGTACATGGGATATCTGGAGCACAAGAAACGTGGCATTGAAGAGATTGAAAACAAAAACTTGGTTCGTGTTATGAAAGAAAGAACTTGGAGTGTCGGAAATCGGCTCTTTAATAATTTTGATGCAAAGACTTTAGTTGAGGAGTTTGAGTGTTTCGTTTGTCAAAAACTTCATCAAAATTTAGAAGTTGATTGGCACGTTGTTAATGTCAAGCACTGCGAGTGTCCTCCGCCAGTTTCTCCTCTTGAAAAGAGAGAAATGAATGAATCATTTTGGTATGATCAGTGGCATCAAGGCAAATTTGAAGCGCAACTTTTAAGAGAATTAGTTGAGAGCGGAGAAAGATTGAGCCAGGAGGAATTTTATGAAATTGTGGGTGAAAGGAAATACAAGGCTTTTAAAAATATATAAGATGTATTTAACATAGTACAATTTTAATCAAATTATCTGTTTGAATCAAACATATATTTGAACAATGAATTAAAATTGAACATTTTTTACTAATCAAAAATAAAAATATTATAATATGACTAAAACTAAGCACAAGCAATTTTTATTTTAATGAATAACAGCATGATATAATTTTCTGTTGAGTATATTTTTTATCTTTCGTATATTAAGGCTAAGTTCATAATTAGCTACAGGCCAAAGTGGTGTTGCTGCAGGTGTCGGAGGTCTTCAGCAGTCAATTCAACTGGTATTGACAGGTTGTGCTCGTCCCTGCCTAAAAGGACGTCCCCTTGATTTCTGCCAAAATCCGGCAGCAACAAAATTTGCGAATCACCATATCTGCTGAGGTCAGCCAGGTAAAGGGGTGAGTCCCTTGCTTGGTGTCTCTGAACAAACTCCTCCATCACAGAATCCTGAAAGCGGGTGTCTGAATCTAGAGAGCTGCAAAACTCAGCAGCCTGGAAATGATGTCTGGGCTTGGCAAGATCGAGGGTGACTGAATCAGAGCAAGTGTAGTTTTTGGGCATCTCCAGGTCTATCGGCTGGTCGTTCTGATGCGGAATGTACGTCAGGTCGTGGCCACCTTCTGTAGAGAGGTGCATGTAGTAGTGGCTGACTTCATCAGACACAATTGGAGTCGGAGAAAGGTCATCGAATCTTTCGTCAGCGTCAACAAGTTCTGCTTGCTCACTGGTTTTGTCAGGAATTGATGTCTGAGGCTTCTTCTTACTTTTGCTGCGCGCCAAAGGTGTCAAAACAAACTCCCCATTTTCATCTTTGACAAATCTTTCAACAGTCCGCACGACACTTTGTTCGTTGTGACATTTTTCTCGGTGTCTTTTTAGGTGCGAGCTTCGTTTGAAGGTCTTTCCGCAAAATGTGCACGAATAGGGGCGACTGTTGGAGTGACTCGTCATGTGCCGTGTAAGTTCGGATGCTCTTTTGAAAGTTTTCAAGCACTGGCCGCAGACGAAATTTCTTGTTTCCGAGTGAAGGAAAGTGTGGTGGTCTTTCAAAGCGGATAAGTTGAAAAACGCCGAGCCGCACAATTCGCAGACAAAAGAGCGGTCATTGAAGTGCAACTTGATGTGGCGGATGAGATTCGTTTTGAATTTAGTTCTGAAAATATCAAATTTAGTTTAAAAACTTAACCATTACTAAAAGTTTTGCCATACCTGTAATTACAAGTGCAGCATTCATATGCTTTCAAATTGTGTACTCGGTCATAATGGGAAGTCACAGCTTTTTTATTTTGGAAGCCTTTGGTGCAGACAGCACACTGGAACTTGCTCTCTTGAATGCAATTTTTAGCCTCCATGGCTAATTTGTGGCCCTCCAAGGTCAAGTGGTTCTCGTAGGCACTCAGGTTGGAAAACAATTCGTTGCAGGGTTTGCATTTAATTTTTTTATCCACTGAAGAGAAACACAATTTTTTAATTCCGATTAGGTTTTCAACATCAAATTTTGAATGTCCAACTCACTTGAATGTTTTTTGCTGTGCTGCTCAAGGGCAGAGACTCGAATGAATTTTTTATTGCAAATGCCACACTTGTGCTTGGGCTTTTCGGTGCAAACCTGGTGACCACTCTGCTGGTGCTCTTGCAACACCCTCCAAGCGGAGAACCCCTGTTTGCAAGTCAAGCACTGATACTTTTCATGACTCTGTGGAGAAAAATGAAACAATTTAAAATTAAAATCTAGATTAAAAAAAATAATTAAATAACCACCTGCAAATGAGCGTTGTATTGCTGCTTTCTGGAAAAGGTCTGGTGACACAGCGGACAACACATCATCTGACTCTCTTCGTGGGTCTGCTCGATGTGAGCCTCCAGTTCCTCCTTGGTGTCGCAGAAGTGTCCGCAGAAGTTGCACACCTGCTTGTCCTCGGCATGCATCTGCAGGTGTCTGTACAGGCTGTGTCTGCGGGTGAACTTCTTGTCGCAGAAATTGCAGTGGTGCACGTAGTCGACGAGTCTCTCGTTGTGCGTTTCTCGCATGTGCCGTTGCAGTTGCTTTCGACAGGTGAAGAGTTTGTTGCACAGCTTGCAGTCGTTCTTCTCGTGGCCCTGCATGTGCTTCTTGTAGTGGCGGGTCAAGGCGAAGGTTCGCTTGCACTTGAGACATGTTATCGAGTGCTCTCTCTGTTTCTTCAACGCTGGTGGTGGCTTTTGAGGGGTGTACAGAGGGGCGAATCCGCTGGAACAGGCAGGTCCAGTTACGTCTCCAACCTTTTTCCGCATTTCAAATTTCAGGCTAGACTGCGTGGATTGCTACAAAATTGAATTATACATAAGCTTAGATTTAGGGCTCAACATTTATAACGTAAACACCGAGATGACGTACATAATTTAGTTTATGATCATAAATTATTAATTTGTTCAAATCAAAACATTTCAAGACGGTTGCATATTTTATCGACTTTCTTTAAGCCCATAAATAAATTAATTACCTTAATAACAATATAAATAGGTCGAAAAATGAGAAGACGCACCAACCAGGATTATACATAAAATATAATTCAATCATAAAATAAATCCATGTATGTAAACATAAAAGAGGGTGTAACCAAGAAATTCCGGATACTGATCGCTGATTGGCTGCGTGCTACGCGCGCCTTTCACTCAACCTTCAAAATTTATGAATCCAATGGGAAGCGAAGCAATGAAAATCAATTAAATCAATCATGAATGATCATTTAATTCTTGAACTCGTGAAAATTGGCGGAACTGTTGGGTTTCCTTACCCAATATCAAAAGAGACATGGTCACCACGCAGTACCCACACTGTAGTGGAAAGAATTTAATTATAACAGAAAGGATTTGTGGCTCTCGCATATAATTGAAATGAGGAATCGTTTGTTATTTAGATGACATAAAAAATGTTCTAGCTTAGTTTAGTTGAAATTGATTTTAATAATACTAGAATACAGTTAAGTTTACACAATAATTACCAGCTACAGGAAAAACTATTCACATCATAGTCATCAATTAATTTATGCTTTCTTTGTGACCCCTATCCTTTCAAACTTAAGGGATGTGGGAGTGAGGATTAATTTGATAAACAGCCACAAAGCCATATAATAAGTAACTTAACTGAACGAACGTTGCGTTTCAAAAGCAATATCCACATTGCACGCAACCCCAAATGATTAATTTATTTTGGTTCACTTGCAATAATTGTCACTACTAATTAACCAAGGCAAACTTTGCCCCGTAATTGTAGTATAACAAAAATCATTCTATATAAATCAGTCTGCACGGACTGGTTAATGCAAAAATCTTGATGATTTTGATGTGTGTCTTGTCTCTATGTGTGTGAGTGGCAACCATTACATACAAGTACAAAATAAGAAAGAAGAGAAGAATCTGTCTGTCTGTCTGTTATTTTAGTTCTGAGGCCAGAAAGATGTGTTGTATCCCTGCTTGACGCTATTCTTGCTCTGCTGAGAACTTGTCTGCGAACGCTGTCCGGAACCACTGACGGAATCCTGCGAGCAAGAAAACATCCAATTACGATTTGATCGATACAGAAAAAGCAAAACATGATGATGCGAAATTTTTAATTGAAGAATTTCAGAATGCGATATAGTTCCCCATGAACCAAGCAGATAGAACTATTAAGAAGGGAATGAATTAAGTGACCGAAGTGACTAACAAAAGCTTAACACTCTAAGCCAGATATTAAAGAGCATGTATTGTGAGCAAAAGGTGGTAGCATGGAAATAATTAAGGTTACGGACAATACGGAATCAAGTCAGACACTTACCGAGCGTCTGGCCTGGTTCCTATACTCCATCTAAATCCAAATAAAAAATAGCCGAATAAGTAACAGTGTGTTTGTCGGCCTAGCTGCTTATTCCATGGGGATTTGGAGAGGAAATTGAACTGAACTGTAATTTTTGTGTCTCACCTGGTGCAGCGGCTGATGCATCTGCTGAGGCATTGCTGGAATGAAGAGAGGAGCAAACTGGGCTGTTGCAGTCGCTCCGATCTGGCCTGTCTGAGAAGCCGGCAAGTTGAAGGGCTGTGCAGCAGAATAGCCTTGCTTATCGTAAGACTGAAATAATGAGAAATTTCACAAATTTAATTGAAAAATATAAGCTATGATCTTCAATTTACTTACATTGACTTTGCCGAGGGCGACATGCGGCTTGCCATACATGTTGGACGCTATGTCTGATCCTGAGCCTGTGGCTGAGCCCGAAGAACCGCCGCTGCCAACAACGCTGCCCTTGCCAGTCTGTCCACCCTGACTGCTGGCAGACACGTATGCACTGCTGCTCTTGCTGTAGTCAGCAGCACCCTGTCCAGTCAAACTGTCGTAGCTAGTTCCAAAGCCTGTGTAGCCGGCTGGCTTGGCATACTGAGTGCTGTTGGAGGCTGCATGCGCATTTGTGGCAGCAGTTGGCATCTGAAGCAAATGCCAATAGAATCGAGGAAAATTTACAAATGGTTTGACATACCGGGTAAAGGGGAGCGCTGTATTGGAAGCTTCCAGGTACGACGTTGGTTCCGTAGAAGTAAGCATAGCCAGGCGGCAGCGTTGTTGGGTTGAGCATCGGCTGTTGGTGGGTTGGGGTGGGATTCTGCTGAGCAAATTAGTTCTATGCATTTCTTGTTCAAAAAAGATTCACGTGGTTCTTACTTGTTGCGAGAGTGTTGAAGAAACTGGGCTGGAATTGTTGTCAGTTCTCGTGTACCGACCGTCCCCTGACACTGAATAAGCCACACTGGTCATGCCACTGTCTCGTCCTAGACTACTGATGTCGTAGTAGCCACTAGGCGTTTGCTATTTATTCAGAACCACACTGAGATTAATAGATTTTACCAAAGTAGCCTTACCATTGGTACCCGAGATGACATCATTTGGTGTTGGAAGTCATCGAAGCTGTATATTGGTTGCTGCATGTTAAAGTATGGCACCTGACCCTGGCCCATGATGTACTGCTGATGACTCAGCATGGTAGGCGGAACTCCTGAGTAGATGAGAAATGCTACATTAATAAATGTGCTACATCTGAACTTGTCACAAATATTCTAATTTTGATGTTTTCAGGCAAATGCCAATTTCATCACAAATATTCATGCAATGTATTTTTAAGGTAGCTTGGAGTTTTTTCATCATAACATCGGTTTGAAGCATTCGAGAATTTCAATCTATATTGTACCTGCAGTTGAACTTGTGACTTTAGTGCTAGCGGTGTTGCTCTGACCTGTAGTGAGACCAAGAGAGGTCTGTGCTGCAGATCCTTGTATTGTTGAGCTCGAATTGGTACCACTGCTAGGGGTGTCAAACTGGAAAAGAATTAATAAAGATAAGATTGTTTTTTTTTTTTACTAAGCATTAAAATTTTCCCGTCTTGATACATACCTGAGCGTCCTTTGAAGAGGAGATGCTCGACCCTATCTTGCTGGCACTGACTGAACTGGCGCTGTGCAAGGATGAGGTGGTGGTGGTTGGTCCATTGCTACCGTAGCTTCCAGGGTATTGGGTGCTGCTGGCTGCAGTGTATGCAGTTCCGGAACCAGAAGTGATGTAGTTCTGAGGGTACTGTTGGTTGTAGGTGGACGAAGAAGCAGCCGACACATTCTGCCCCACAGAGGGGTACGCCTGGTAGTTACCGCTACCTGCCTGGTGGTATGTGCTCGTGCTGCTGGTCTGATTGTAGGTCGAAGTTGGCGCCCCTGACGAGGGGAACGATTGGTTGCCACTGTAGCCAGATTGGTTGCTACTAGAGTACGACTGGTTCTGGGACTGCCCACTTGGGTACTGGGCCGAAGAACCTTGCGATGAGTACCCAGTCGAGCCTCCGGTGGAAGGGTAGCTGGACCCGGACTGGTAGGACTTCTGGTACGAGCTTTGGTAGGTGGAACTAGAGTTAGTGCTGCTTGAGTAAGCGAGGTTGTCAGACTTGGCAGACTCAATGCCGGTTGAGCTCACAGGTGCCCGATACGACGATCCGACCTGTTGCTGCGCCTTATGATCGTTAACTTGTGCAGGGAATGTCATGGAATCAGTTCCTCCCAACTGAAAGGAATTTTTAATTTGAAATAGGGAAAAATACTATTGCAAAAAATTCATCTTACCTTCTGACTGTGAGAGATAACGGCTGTAAGGTTGGCCTGGCCCAAGTCCTTAGCAGAGGCAGTCTGGGCAGAGCTTGCATAAGCAGCCATGTTATCCTGGGCCTGCTGGCTCTTGTTAATGCTCATGCTGCTTAGATCAAGAGGAGGCCCTGCGCCACCGGAACCTTGTTTAAGGTCAGCTGAGGTTTTGTACTTGGAAGTAGGCTCAGGTGCATTCTTTGAAAACTCAAACGAGTTTGAGTCACTGCCGAACTCGAGTCCTCCAAACTGTACGTCCAACGCAGAGGTTGTTGTTGCATCACCAGGCATCTCCACAGCCGAGGATGGAATCTATCACAAACGTTAAATTGGGTATGACAGCAACAACACAAATCTACCTTGGAAGGCGGCGGCAGCCTTGGTCGCTGCACCTTTGGTCTGGATTGGAGGTTTTGTGATTGCGAGGCTTGCTTCTGCTGATGGGGCAACGCCTGCGAAGAACTCTTGATTTGGCTGCTGTAACTCGGGTTTTGACCGCCATAGGCTGTTGCCGAATAAGAAGCTGCAAATTTTAATCAAGTGAATTCCTGTTTGTCTATTTTAGTTAAGGATTTCATAGTAATATAAGTGTCAGGCAAATGCCAAAATAATCAACGGTAATCATTGTAGTTTTTAAGGTAGCTTGGGTATTTTTCATCATTTGAATTCAGTTGGAAAACATTTTGATCCGTCAACATACCCGTGGCCGAGTAGGATGCCGGGCTTGATGATTGATAATTGCCAGCGGTTGCTGCATAGCCTCCAGAATTGACAGCAGAGACGTACGAGATCGGTTCCTTGGGTCCGTTGGAAGACCCGCCAACGCCCACAACCGCCTTGAGGGTTTCCGAAGCTGCGGCCGCTTGCGTCAGTTGAGAGAAGTATTGAGATTGTGCTGGTGTCAGACTCTTGCTGGCCTGGGCTGAGGTCAAAGACTGAGGTAGCATGCTAGCTGCTGTGTCAAGGCTACTGGTCGGCCCCGACAAGCCTTTGGCCGCAGCCGCAAGTTCCCGATCCATGGCCTCGACAACCTCTGCAGCCGAAGGCCTCTGCACCACCGCGCTTGGAGTGAACACTTTTGTGTCAGCCAGTGAACCAGTGTACTCCTCGTTGTCCCAGTCTTCAGTAACAGGAAAGCTGTCATTCCACTCACCCATGCCATAATCAGCACCTGAATACATTTGCAATTTGATCAATTGAAACAAGTTTTTTAGATAAAAAGGTACCATTGGCATTAGTCTCAGGCTCGTTGTCCCCGTTAGGATCCCAAGTTTCTATGGACTTAGGGAAGCCACTCTTCTCTCCTCTGCCTTGGAAGGTTCGAGGTCCTGATCGACCTCCACCCCTCCCTCCTCTACCAGATCTTCCGGGGCCGTTAGACATCCTGCCCACACCTCTTCTCACTGCCGCCTCCCCCTTGGTTCCCTCTTCCTGCAGGTTTTTCTCATTTTCTTTGTTTTCTCTTCCACGCCCTGAAAATGAAGAACATGAAATAAATATTCACTACAAATCTAATTGCACTCACAGCCTCTGCTGTCCGATGAGCCACGGCCCCGCATTCGGGGAGGACCTCCCCTTGTGCGAGATCGTTCTCGGTCGGCCGCAGACTCCCCAGGCTCACTGCAGTCCCTGGCTGCACCTTCAGACTTTTCTCCGCGAGATGACGAGACAGCACCTACTTGATTGCGAGTCTTCTTCTTTTTTCCAGATGTTTCCCACTCACCCTGAATAGTTCACGAGTTAATATTTTTCATAGTAATTTAGGCAATAAAAAAAAAAAAAAGAATTACAGTTCCAGAGCCCTCAAGCAGCATGTTGACAGCCCTGTCAAGATCGTTGTCACAGTCGTGCAAGGCGGTGCACACCTCGTCCTCAGACTTGCGAGTGGCGTCCATCACCTGCTTGATTTTATTCTTCATGTCAGGGTCTTCAGATCGGGTGTCAATTATTTGCGCAAGTCTCATTTGTTCTGCAGTTGCCTGAAAAAGGAAAGGTTGATGAGTTTCAATCCAAGAGACCCGAAACTCTTCTGGTCTAGTTAGCAAGTTCTGGCCCCCGTTACCTTGTTGCCCTCCTTGATGGCCTGGCTGGTACGATAACTAGAAGCTATGTGAGCCTCCTTGTTATTTTGACCTTTGTTTATCCCCTGGTGTGCAAATCACGGACATTATGAATATTATTCCCAGTTTGTCATTTAATTTTGAATAACCAAAGAGAAAAACATGCTTTCAAAATATTTTCGTACCATTCTTATTAAAATTTTTTTATTTTGGTCAAAATAAAACACCTAACCGTGTTAAAGCTGCAACAGGCTGAACAGACTTGTTGCAGCTCTAGCCACTTAAAATGCGGGAAATAATAATAAAAAATAAAAAAATATAAACAAAAATTTCTATAGAAAAAGTTACCTTGGGAGTGTTGTCTGAAGTTTTTGGTGTGTCTGTCTTTGTGTTATCTGTCTTCTGTGCTTTGTTTGATGGAGTTGATTCGCCAGCAGATGGTTTGGCAGCACCTTTGCCGCCCCGAGGGCCGGCTCTGCTAACAGAGCTCATCTTGCTCTATTCTTCTATGTACACTTGCTATTTACAAGAAGTACTGCAACAGAAGGAATAAAGCAATTTTAGTAATTTGATAAGTCTAGAGTAAACAAAATTCATTCAAAAAGTGAACGAACTTAAAAAAGTGATGATAAAAATTCAATCTAATTCATTTCCAGCTTTATCAGAAGGAACTTATCAAGCAGAAATTAAGATGAACTATTTTAAAAAGAAAGCATCAACACAAGGCTGATTTGCCACTTTTGGAATGGGCCCATAAGTACATATTCCTTAAAAATTTGAAGACTTTTGATTTAAATTTGTTAGATATTAGTTGTTTAAATTATCCATTGGACATGTTTATGGATTAATATTGTGAGAATGGCAAGAAATTAAGTTTCACTTTAAAATAGAGCAAATAATTCGGAATAGAAGAATCCGATCTGCATGAAATTTGATGAGATTGCAATTCTTGTCTAGAAAGACAATTATCAATTCAGCGTTGTTGAGAACTTTCAACAACGCGTGACATCACCAGATCATCAACAAGAGACTTATAATCTTAAACTTAAGAAGGAAAAAAATTATAATTTTTTTAACAAAAACTGCTCAAATACTACAATCTGGAGGAAAATGCAATAGATAATTTCTTAATTTTTCACCCATTATCACTTAACGTGATAACATTGCTTGAAATCGGAGAAATCCACGATGTCCTTGAAAACCGCGTCGTATTAATGCCTGTTGGCTTCGTCTCAGGTTGCATCATTTTCAGAGCAATGATGGATTTCTCGAAGGACCCTCATTGCGATAAGTGAGAAATTCTAAACTGCTTGATTTGCGCGTGTAAATCAGGGTTCTTTTAGAGGAAAAAAACTTTGCAAGTTACAAGCGCCTCTTCCTCCTCTGCGCCGGCCATGACTAACATAAACAATCGTCGTCGGGTGGAAATTAGCGAGGAAATTCGAGTCGACGAGCGAAATTTCTGAGAAAATCGGAGAGGCAGCGAGAAAGTGAGGCGGAAAAGTGGGCTTGAAGGGCGAAACTGATTCGGAAAATCAAGTGAAGCGCCGGGTTTTTAGCCATGTGGGGGAGACGCCATTTCCATCTTTGAAAGAGACAAACTCTATGACATCCATCCAACGATAACAATGCTCGTTCGGCCCCGCAAAACAGATTTTACGCACCAGTGTCGGCGCTTCTGAGCGCCGGAACATCCCCGAAATGTTTTCCAAACAGATAATTGCAACTCGCAAATATTTAAAGGGCGAATAACGACCAAAACCGCGATGCACCTTACCTGGAAAATGCGCTCAAAAAGCTGTCGGTCACGTGATCACGAATTCACGACGGCGCCGAGTCTGCCCTCTGTGCGCATGCGTGGCGCAGCCAACTTTTATTGACGTCATAAACCATTTGAATTTTTAGGAGGGAAGTTTAGGAAGTTACCAAAAAAAATGGGAATAAAAAATAATTTAATTATAGATAAATTTTACAAATATTTCAGATACCTTCCATCAAATGCAATCGATTAAAAATTAAGAAGAAAAAGAGCTAGATGAATTTGAAAAATTAAAAAGATTCCACAAAACCAAAATTCTGCAATATTTATTCTTAGGAAATTAAAAAAATATTGAGAAATGACAATTTAAAAATAAATGTCTGCATGGCTTCAAAAGAAAGATTTTATAATTTATTATTTTAATTAAGCAAGTCCCTATTTCAGTGAGCTAGTGATAAATATTTGAAACGAACTTAGAATATAAAATTCTCAAAAATGTTTTCTCTTTAATCATAAACGTGATTTATTCTGCTGTATCAAAGATCAACAACAAATATAAAATTCTGATGATGAATAAAAGGAACGTCTGTATGAAACAATTAAAAAATAAAATTAATCGTCATGCTGGAATAAAATTTTAAACTTAAATATTGTATTTTTAGGTCATAATTTTATTTCTTCTAATAGATAATTTCATGTGCTTTTGTCTAACTTTTATTTACAAAATAACAATAACCCTCAAGGCTGCCTCATTTTGCTAACTTTTCGATTTGCTTGAAGATGTCATCGGCTCCAAGATTATTCAGAGAAACGCTGCTCTCCTTTCCAAGATCTGCAATTTTCAAAAGGTTTAATCATCAAAATAAATTGCATGTCCAGGTAGATAATTGCAGGCAACGACGAATATTGAAGATTAAAGCAGACTTTGTTGTTTTATTCTACTTTTTTTTATATGTCTATTCTGAATATTAATTTGTTTGTACAAAATTCCAGTTACAGTTCAATAATAAGCTGCAATAATAATGATATTTTTTAATTTTAATTACATAGATGTTAGAAAAAAACTATTATTTGTTAGTAAGTTAAATAAAAAAGTTAAAAACAAAATTAGTTTTTTTTTTCACTGATTAATCAATTTTGTGCAATTAATTTTTATAAATATTTATTAAACTTTGATGCAATTCTTGAACATTAAGAAATGAGTATCTCGTCTACGTAAATAATTAAATCTTCTATTTCTGTGGCCAAAAATTACAAATGGATTGGTTGTAACAAGGGAAATAATACAAACAGCTAATACCGAACTTCTCAGGCAAATAAAATTGAAAAAAAAATCTGGAAAAATTGTTGATTGCTACGTACCATATCTGGCATAAACACGGGGCTGGACACCACTGCATTCTCTGATCAAGATTGGGAAACGTGGATTCGACTTCTTCAGTTCGGTGTAGTGTTTTTCGACGAATTCCCTAAAAATATGAAAACATGATCAGACCAATATGATCAGAAATTCATTAATAATTGAGCTCTTCACCTCGCTCCGCGACTCTGTTCAGACTTCTGGCACAAGTGGATCCTCAACTCCTTCAGGGCCGAGCCGAATTTAAGCGCTCGTCCAGCCATTTCTGTGCAATTTAACAATAAATATATAATTTCTGCCAGACGGCTGAAAGAAAATTTCAATCAATTTTTCGCCTGTATGAACACGCCCCCTTCTTGCTTCCTGATGCGCCACTAGATGGCAGGCAACGTCAGTCTGGATTTCTCCTTTTCTCCTTGATAAAGAGGAGGGAGGAGGGGAAAAATAGAAGGAGAGAATCCAAGATGAAAAGAGAAGAAGAGATTTATTTTAAGCACACAAAGACAAAGTGTTGAGAAGATATCCGAGTATAAGAAAACTGAGCGTAAGATTTATTATTACGAGGACAGTGGAACTCGTTTGTGTTTAATTTTGTTAGCGTCGAAGGCCGCGGTCGGTCAAATATAATTCATCAAAGTCTCGCCGCCTCGGCAAAAAACACTAAAAAGTGACGAAGGCAGCTTTTGCTAGGAGCAAACACGTACTGGAGCGGGCGACAGATGCAGCAGCCAGTTGTATGCTCTGGACATGTGCGTTGTTTATAAGTTTGTTGTTTATATCGTAAATTGTTTACAGTGACATCGCGGCGGCGCCTCTTTCCAAAGGCTGGCTCGTGAAAAGGCTAGACGAGGTCAGCATGTAGCGACGACGGCGGCAGCTTCCAAGCAATGGCCAAGAAGCAGCTGAACAATGTCGAAGTGCAAGTGTTCGAAAGCGAACTGGCGTCCCTAGTGGTGCGAGAGTCTCTCACCTACGAGATCAAAATGGAAACCAGGGCCAAGAGCAAGTTGCGCGGCATCACCATGGTGTGTTTCGCCCTCGCCGTCTCCGGCATCATCTACCTGGGCTACTTTTGTCCGGACCAGGTGTGCGCCCTGTCCTCCGGCAGCAGGTCGCCGGCCGACCTGAACGCGTGGGCCGACTCGGTGGCCGACAGCCTGGGCCAACCCCTGTCCAAAGGTCAGAGTCTCAGCTACGACGAGGTGCTCAACGAGAATTTTGACATGAACGGACACGACGTCATGGTCTTCCTGCACATCCAGAAAACGGGGGGCACGTCCTTCGGCAAGCACCTGGTGCGCGACCTTGACCTCAAGAGGCCGTGCACCTGCCACCGAAAGAGGAAGCGGTGCTACTGCTTCCGGCCAAACAGCACCGAAAATTGGCTCTTCAGTCGATACTCGACGGGCTGGAAGTGCGGTCTGCATGCCGACTGGACTGAACTGACCAATTGTGTCGACTCCGAGTTGGACAAAAACGAGGGTGGAACCGTCAAGAGAAGGTGAGGAATTTTTTACAACATACAATTTTTTTTTAATCATAAAAATAAATAATTACACGATAGGCAGTTTTGTTTTGCAAGTTTTGTTCACTTTTTGTAAGATGTTATAAAATTTATTATCTGCATACTCGAAGAATTTTAATCTCATCTTTGTTTTGTCAATTCACACATTTGCCAGCCAAGATAGTTATCGCACTAGGCATAATATTTACATTGAGTCATAATTTTTCCTCTGCATTTTGCCAAATTAATTTAACCAACTCTGAGCTCAAATTCATCTACAAGGAAAGAGCTGACTATTTTTTATTTTTTATTTTCTAATGATAGGGGAACAATCTTTCTGCTTTGGTAACCATTTTTCTTGGTCAAAGTCCATCCATTGGCCTTGATCAAAGGCCAAGAGTATTGAAAACGACGTACCATGCCATTTTCATTCTCGTCAAAATTTTCAAATTATTTGTAAATCAACTGCCCTACATTTAATTGCAGAATATTTTATATAATAAAATACGATCAAATATCTCAAAACTTAAAATTTTACTCATTTTAGAAATTATATTTTTTTTTAAACGGCCACACTTTGTTTTGAATGATCTGAAAAGTGTCGTGGATTTCTCTACAAAAAATCAGTTGAAATTTACACATCATTTGAAAGATTGAGGCGTGGAAAAAAATTCCATAAAAAATTAAAACAGTTTCTGGAAAAACGCAACTGTGGTTTTAACATAAAAATTGAATATCTCTGGTTCAATTTGAGATACAGAAATTTGGCTGGAACAAAAATTTTCTTTTTACTTCCTCTTCAACTTAACTAAATAAGTTTGGATGTCAAGGTCGTCACACAATACAAAAATAAATTCTAGCAAAAATAAGCCACCTTCGATTTTTCTGCAATTTTTTTCTTGGATCACTTTAACATGTAGAAACAACATATTAAAATTTAAGAATAACATCTTTTAAAGTTTTTCTTAGAAAAATTTGCAGTAGTAAAAAAAAACCTGAATTTTTCACATTTTTTTAAACTTTATTTTGAGAATTAAGAAATGAATTGTCATAAGTAACGAAAATTTACCCAAATCAGATGCATAAATATAATTTGTAGCAGTAATATTCAGCTAAATGCTTAATGTTTCATCCGAGCTCTTTCCGTCTTTTTCAGGTACTTCTACATCACCCTTTTGCGCGACCCTGTGAGTCGCTTCCTGTCCGAGTACCGACACGTGCAGCGCGGCGCCACTTGGCGGAACGCGCGGCACTGGTGCGGCGGCCACGAGGCCACCGAGGAGGAGCTGCCCAGGTGCTACCCTGGCGAGACGTGGCAGGGCGTCGACCTGAGCCAGTTCCTCGCGTGTCCCTTCAACCTGGGCGCGAACCGGCAGACGCGCATGTTGGCCGACCTGGCGCTCGTCGGCTGCTACAACCGGACGTACCTGCCCGAGGAGCAGCGCAACACGGTGCTGCTGACCTCGGCCAAGCGCAACCTGGCGTCGATGGCCTTCTTCGGGCTCACCGAGTACCAGAAGGTCAGTCAGTACGTGTTCGAGGAGACGTTCAACCTGCGCTTTTCGATTCCGTTCGAGCAACACAACGCCACGGTGTCCGGCGCCACCATGAACGAGCTCTCCGAGCAGCAGTTGGCGCTCATCAAAAAGGCCAACGCCCTCGACATTGAGTTGTACGACTTTGCCAAAGAGCTCATGTACCGCAGGTTCCACCGGCTCAGGGCCAAGGACGCCCATTTCCGAGAGCGCTTCTCGCACTTGGGCGAAATTCCCGGCCAAGACTTCAACTGGGACCGCCTCCAGAAATGAATTCTTGAATTTGCCCCCAAAAATCTCCTATTATTTGTAAAGACCTGTTGCTCCAATGGACAGACAAGAAGTACGCACCACTATGTGTTTTAGCAGAAAAACCACCACCTTTGTAATAAAAAAACGGTGGTTTGTTGCGTGATATTTTTTAATGTTGGCATTACCAAGCAAGACTAAATTAATTCCAGTGTTGTTATTTAAAATGTTAGGGCTGAGAGAATCGTGGCTAAAAACGAATAGAGACATTTGAAGAAAATATTTTCCCCGTTTACCAAGAGCAAGGTTATTTTTTCGCACGAGTTGAAAATGAAATCGAATGTCAGCTGTGATTGTAAAGTTTAAACAAAAAACTGATCTCATCCAAAAGAAACCCCTAACTGATCCAAAACGTGGCCATTCTCAAAGTATACCACTTGGTTTTATGTCTCTCTTCTCCAATAGTTGCCCCTGAAAGATGCGCGCAGTGCGTGTTGCTTGGAGACAAATGGCTTGCAATTTGTAGAACTTCAAAAATTGTAAAAAACATGACTTACAAAAATGACGCCTATGACATAACAACATCAGTAGAATTTAATACTTAAGCAATTATATCATTCGGCAGCTTAGATACTAATCGAGTGATTTATTTTTAAATTGAACTTAATTGTATTATAAAATGACAATCTCTTTTTAAATATTTTCTTTAAGCTGGGTGGATTCTTGCCTAATTTCAATCATTATGGCTGATTGCCGAAAGCTATAAAATCGAAAAAAATTTATCAACTTAATAAATAATGAAGAGAAATAACCCTATATTTTTATAATTTTAAAATTGTGGTTCTTCCTTTGATATCTAAATAAAATCATTAACCAAAGTAATGGAAAAAAAATACTGTTTTTATGCAACAACAATTAATTATTTAAAGTTTGCACACAAGTTTAGTGATCTAATCAAGCTGAATATTAATTTAAGATACTACTTTGTACTTTTTTTACTTTATTTTATTATTACTTTTGTACTAACTGCTTCAGAAATAGTGGTGAACTTTGCAGCACCGCGCGCTTTAACCCAATGTTAATTAATAAACTGCAATATGTAATATTCTGCATTAAAAAAATGGCAACTCCTACAATTTCTTTGATGATTTACAATGTGTTACAAGAAAAAGTTTTTATTTTAATTGTCAAAGCAGCTCCATTAAAGTGTAGTCAGTGATTGTAGTGTTTCCTCCAACTAGCTCCTATTTCACTCTAGGTGTTACAAATTATTAATAATTACAGTTAGCCTTTGCGTGCTAAGACTATAGAGAATTATATGAATTTTTTATTTTAACGTTTATCAACATAATAGGGAGAGTCGTCTTTTTATAGGATGACATGAAGTAATAAAGCTCATATAATATATGCGTCATTTTAAAAAAAACCCCAGACACGCATTGCATTGTGCGACTTTATAATGGTAATCTTTGTTTCTCAAGTGCACATGGAGGTTCTTGTTTGTTATTTCTTCTTACATTTAATTGCATTGAAAAAAGGAGCATAAAAAATCAAATTTAAATTTTTCCTTTCATAGTTTTAAAATTTAAATCCAAATAAAAACAACTTACAATAATTTTAGGTGGTTTCCATAGTAAAAATAGTTTATGTTTAATTTTAATATATTCATTATCTTCAACCTCAATCAAATCCAACAATTTCTGCTTGCTGCTCTATTTTTGTTTAGTTATTTTTTTTAAATCATCCCATCTTATAGAGAATTATCCTCTTTCAGTCAACACTTTTGTTGAATGATGTCAATTACGCCACGCTTGCAATTGTTTGTTTTAGTGAAATTGCAAAAAGCGCAAGTTTCTTGGAAGAACCCAATATTATTTTGAAATTGAATGTAATTGTGAATATTTTGTGAAATAAAATAATTTGCTTTAGCTGGAAGGAGGTCTTGCACGCCAGTTTAAAGGCTTTGTGAATCCTCAATTTGCAGCGGAAAGCCATCTTCAAATTTATCTACTCTAAAAAATTACATATCATGCAATTATTTTTCTATTTTAAGGATCACATTTGAAATGCGAAAATTGCTCGCGAGTCCCAGGCGGGAGAAAAATTACTGTTTTTTTGGGATGGTTTTCTTTTGCAAAGGAAAGGATGGATTAAAAGCTTGTCCGCACCTGCCGGCTATTTAAATGTTTTACTTGTTAAAAGGACACAAAAAATATTATGTGTTTCAAGCTGAAAACGATTTTTAATTGAATCATTTAAAGCAATGAATGAAGTGCTGGAATCTTCCATATCTCCGTTTTCCTCAATAGGAAGGAAAATCGCACAGTTAATCTGTAATTCTGTAACATGAGAAGCGTTAGAAATTATTGTCTCTGCCGGACGGTTTTCTTCCTTGTTGCAGAGCCGTAAATTAAAAGGGTGAAAACAGGGTCAGTTTTATGTCTAATAAAACTTAATTGTTTTGTTTCTTCTTAGAGCGTGGACTTACAGATTTGTATAATAAAATAAAACTTCAATTTATGTGATTTACGTTCAATAATATTAATGAGATGGAATTGAGCCAGTGAAAATTTTAAAGACACCTTTCGGATAATTCATTATAATGGCTTGTCTTGTATATTCTTTTAATTATAATTTTTTCCCACTATTAATTATGAAAAAATCGCAACAAGTTAATTGTTATTCTTGAAAAATGATAAATATACGATTTGCGCCTTTGTGCAAAAATTTGTGAAGTGTGTAAATTTGTACAAATAAACAAAATATTGCCAAATGAATAATAAAAATAATACGTGAAAATGTAAACTCAAGTTTAAATTTGATATTGTTATACAAACCCTGACAAACCCAATAATATAGTTTGCAACAATATTATATTTTTTCCCTTCACAATTGAATTGCCTATAAAATGACTAAGTAAATTTTAAGATTGATATGAATTTTTATATTAGGCAGATTATTATATTGAGGCTTCAATTTAAATTAGTTATTGATCGCTGGTGCCATTTGAGAAGGTTTTGATCAACTCCTTTGATCTGCAAACTACATATTCATTTTAATATTGTTGTTCCTTTACTGGAGTTCTTGCAGCCGCCAATTGATAATTATAATAATAAACATTATAAAGACACCCATAAAAAGTCTATCTTTAAATAAATATGCTCGAACTCAATCATTCCTGCGAGTTCCTTGTCAACACAGTGATTAATAGTATACATGGCTTTTTGACCTTCATTCGATGTCCCCCAAAACTGCATATGTTTGGAAGCTGCTCAACTTCAGTGGTGACTTATTAGCATAGAATGGAACATTCATCGACCACTTCCTTACTACTTGCTTGGAATTGAAATGTGAGCTGGGACGTTCAGGGATTGAGCAACATAGGAAAAAAAGAGTTAACATATTTCATTTTACATTCTATGAATTTATTTATACATATTTTGTTACAGAGCTTGCTTTCATGGCACATTTCCCACAACATTATGTACACAATTCTTTCCTTCCATTAAAAAATGTCAATTTTTATACAGAATAAATTGTGTCAACTTAACTTTACAGCTTCGTCTTCTTCAACATAATGTGCGCAGCATCATAAGGCACTTTTCATTCAGAGATACAAAATAAATTTGATGCAGCAGAGCTTCTCAATCAACAAAGTATAACAGTTGTTTGTACTGAATATTTCGATCAAAAATAACAGACCTCCGTGCGGAGTTTACGAGTAATATTTGTCACTAGATTATTATCGTAACAAAATCAAAATTAATCAATTGCTTAATTTACACACGCGCGACGCACAGTTTCCTAAGTAAGAAGAGCTTGGATTCACCACTTAAAAATTAACAATGGAATTAGAAAATGCTTATCGTTTGTAAGAGCCCAAAAAGCGGACACTCGAGAATTTGATTTGTCAATTTAAATTTTCCACCACAACTGAAATGTCGGAACAATTTCTAAGTTTTGATACAACGCAATAGGCATTTGTGTGTGTGTGTGTGAAAAAGTGATTATAAATTGCCATTATACTTAATTAGACGTGATAAAAAAAATGTCTTTTCAAATAAAATTTGTGAGGAGAGAAGCAGATGTTATATTTCAAAAATTTACAATAAAAAAATGACAGCAATGCCTTGCACACAGAAAATGTGGTTTGTGATATCATTATTCTGGCATTTACTTGAGTGATGAATAAATTTCATTCATTCCTTTCGACAAGTATATTATTTTCAGAGAAATTGTGGACTCGGAGGACTAAATACTAATTTGCACGATCGCTTCTCAATGAGAACAAAAATGCCAAAAATCACTTGTCTTATCCAAGAAAAGGAAATAATAATTATACCATGTAAGTTGCTTTCGTTATTCTCTTATCTCTACGACATATTGGCTATATACAAGGTGCTCTTGGAAAATCATGGTATATCTTATTTTTATCCTCGTTATCTTTTATGTTGAATTTGTTTAGATGCTTGTACAAAAATGATTGCTCTTTATCATAGTAATAGTAGTAAAGGGTATATATCTAAAAGTCTAAAGAGCTACTTTTATACAACGGGTTTGGTACACTTATTCAACATGGAGAAACTTTTGAAAAATTAGTGTGTTGTAATAGTTGATTTTCGACCTCGAGGAAGATTGCAACTAGTTTGTGGATTTATTTGCAGCCGCCCTTCTCAGCGTTTCTCTCAGGGTCGGCTGATTGCCACTGCTGCGGCCACCCTTGCCCCTCTGAGCAACCTTCTTGTCCAAAGACCTGGTCCTCAATTGATACGACGTGTGCGCTTTGACCTCCTCGTCAAGCTCGTCCTGAAGCTGTTTTGCCATCAGGGCATCTTGTCTCTCCTGTTCCAAAGTACTCAGGTACTTAGAGTAATTTAGGCTGTCCGACCTTTTGTTTTTCGATAAAATTCCGTCAACGGAATCGTCGTCGTCACTAAGTGCGAAAGGGTCGGGCGAGTTGGAGCCGCGGTCAAAACTGTAGTCGTCGCCCACCAAATTCATCTCCTCCTCGGTCGACTCTCCGACCCGCCGCACTTTGTTGTGAATGAAAGAACTCGAAGGGCACAACTCCCGTTTGACTGCCTTTGGTTGGTAGCCTGAGTGGGGAAAAAGTCAGCAAATTCAGTTTTATTATTTTAACAAACGATACCTTTGAAAGCTGAGAACGAAGAATGTGGTTTGAAGTAGTTTTTAGGAGTTGAAGACTCTCGCTTTTCAAAGAAGTGAAGAGTTGAAAACTGTCTAACCAATGGTGGGCTGAAATCGAATCATTAAAATCCAAACCTTTTTAATTAAAGTAATTATGCAAACCTGCATGCAGGAGTTTCTTCAAACTGCAAGTGTTTGACAGGCGTCGCTCTAATTAGTGGAACTTGAAGCACTGCACCATCTAAATTAAAAAAAAAAAGAGTTTGATCTCTTCTTTCTTTGTTATTTAATCTTATCAAACCTGGTGACAACTTTGGTGGAGTTTGAGGAACTCTGTGAATAGGTGCAAACTCGTAATGTGGGAATTCGTTGGTGATACTATCGCATCTGCTAATTTTCAAACTTTCCCTTTCGTCTGGAATTAAACCAAATGAATACCAAAGTTAAAAATGGATACCATTGCTTTCTACCTGTAAAACTTCTATCAGTCTGCGGTGAGTTGCTTCGACTGTTGCCCTGCAGGGGCTTTACTTTCGAAAAGAAAACATCCAGGGGGCCTCGAACCGAGGACGCAAAAGCACCCAACTTGTTTTCTTTGTCATCTGTTTTTTGCTGCTCTCCGTTCACTTCCATTGGCTCCAATCTGCTATTTGATCCGTTGATTTCCTGCAAAGATAAAATTTGTAAAAAAAAGTCATTAACCTGCAATAATTGGACGTTGACAAAGTCTTATAATTGAGAATAGATTTTAACTCCTTAAATTATTATTTTAAGAATAATGATGAATGGATTTTGCAACAGAACCAAAATACATATAAAAAAACTCCCAGATTTCAGAAATAACTAAAATATTTGGCTCAGGGATATCAAGTCTATCTTATTTAAATTAAAATCCTCCTCACCAGCTCAATCTGAGACTGTAGCTCTCTGGCCAGTCTTTCGTCTTCGTCCTCTCTCTTCTTCACTAAGTCTTCCTCCTCCTAAAAGAAAATTTAAAATGAAACAACTGATTTTAATTCCCACCTGGACCACGGATAACCTCGTGGGCCGTTCAACTAATGACGCAGTATGTGTACCAATGATTGTGAAACAAAATTAAATCAATAGCACAAGTTTGCGGAAATAAGTGGCCGTGGATGCGAGCAAACTCACCCGCAGTTGCTTGATGAGTTCGGCAGACGCTTTTTCCTCAGCTTCCTGCTTGGCACGCATTTCGTCGTCCAATTTGGCCTGCGTGGACTCGAACTCCTTGCGAATCTCGCCCGGCTCGCAGATTTTGACAGGTGCGGGCGCCGATCCCTCGAGCACTGCAAACAAGGAACAAGGTCGCCAAGGTTAAGTGTACGTGCAAGGCTGAATATTATTATACGCGCTCACCATCTTCCAGACAATCGTCTTCGCCTTTTTGTTTCATAGCAACGTATTCGGCGTAGTTTCGCTGGATGTGCTCCCAGAGTTTGGCGTTCACCAGGCTGCCTTCTTTCCTTTCCTTGCGCAACCACGCGCCGACTCTTTTCCGACACATCGGGCAAGTGAGGTTGGCCATTTCCATGGAGCCATCGAAGCACTCAAGGCACAACGCATGTTTGCAAGGCAGCGTCACGGGCTCGACCAGGATGCCTCGGCAGATCGGGCAGATCAGTTTCTCCAAGCTGAGATTCTTAAACATCGTGCAGCCCTCTCCGACGCATACGGGCCCCGTCGATTTGCAAAATTATACTAAATTCGCCAAGCCAAACGTCACTACGGAGTTTTCCCTCCAGCTGGGGCTCTCTCGCTCGCTCACTCTTGCGCTCACTCTCGGGCTGTCTGATTGATAAACATCCGTCAAGCACCAGCAGCAGCAACAGCGCCACAAACACACGGAACGGAGCGCACGGAACACTCGGAATACGGAATTAAAGCCCCGCATTAGGATGGAGGATGGCCTTACTTTTCGTTGTTCGCGGCTGCTTTCGGTTTGTGACGCTTGGGGCGCCACCAGCCGGGCAAAACAAGGAGGTTGACATCGACTTGAGCGCCACTTTGCGAACGTGCCAAAATCAAAGCTGGCTTGCGCAGAGTGCGCAGACGCGAGTCTGTGGCTGCGAAAAAGTCACGTGACACGGCCCTGTTCTTCTTGACAAAATGTGGAGCGCGGTTGCACGGGCCTCTGCGGGTGTCCTCCGGGGCTTGAAACCGGCCCTAGGCGCCCAAAATGTTCAAACTGAAACGGCCAAAGCCCTAGTGGGCTTCTGCGCCAACAGTAAGTTCACTTTTCAGGCCTAATTTGTCGCCAAATTCGGCCGAAAATTGGTTGCTGGCACTCGCCGGGTCCGCCAGTCCTTCATGTTTGTCTCCTCCAAATCATAGTACAAGTTTTGTCTAATCTCTTAAAATCCAGCCTCTCTTAATCCTCCTAATGAACTTTGCAAACGGACCTGGAAAATCCCCTAATTTATACATTTTCAGAGGACTTTTCTTTCCACTTTTATTTTACCGGAAGTCCCTCGACGGCCATCTTGTGTCTGGGAAAGAGAATCGTTCTCGTCTTTATTCTTTACAAGTTCATCATTTTAAAATATAATTTAAGTTTTGATATTTTAATTCAAGCACGAGTATACATAAAATTTTAAATTAAATATTTAAATGCTCTTCATCTTTATCCTTCATTTGTATCTGCCACTGCCGCACTTAAAAATCTTCGAACCGGGTCGAACGAACGTGAATTTTGGAAAACAGCTGCTTCTATTAACTTTGTACTTTTTCACACAAAAAAAGACAATTTTAATGGCATTCGTTAGTTGAGGTTTAATTTCAGTGAGGATTTATAAAATTTTACTTCAATTCCCATTCACAAAGTCCTTTCATACGATCCGAAAAGAACTCCTTTCTCTTCCTACTCGAATGACCTCTGTAGGACATTTTTTCCACAATGAAAATAATTAAAAGTTCAGCCAATTCCCTGAACACTATAAAAATTAGCTATGTAGTAATTTTATCAATTTAAAGGAAGATGAAAAACTAGGTCAACTTAATATCGCCTCTAAATTTATTGATTTTTGTCCCAAACAAAATTATTTCTCTTTATACTATCTGATCTATGAACATTGAATTACAATTGAAAAATGTCAAAAGAACATGAAATAATAACTGTAAAAAATTTTTAGTTTGAAGATGAAAAAACTTGGCAAAAAAGCAGTGTTTGATATTTTTCTTCATTTAAACCTTCCTTAAAAATTTCCGTTATTAGTAATTCTTCATTATATAACAAGATGATTAATTTTGTTTCTTTTGCATTTTCCAGACAGAACCAGCTATGCCACACAGGCTGCTGGAAAGGGCTCCGTGGGTCGCGTGGTGGCCGTCATCGGCGCCGTCGTTGACGTCCAGTTCGACGACAACCTGCCACCCATCCTGAACTCTCTGGAAGTCAGGAACAGGTCACCAAGGCTGGTGCTTGAAGTCGCCCAGCATCTTGGTAAGAATTTTAACATTTAAAGTGTTGAAACACCTCACATGATGAGAACTCGACGGTCTTCTGAATTTTTATGAAAGAAAACCCATAACCAATTCCTCTGATAGCCACAAAAGTTCTGCATTTGTGCGTCCCATGCATTTAAAATTACTGATTTGCATTTTTTCTAATCTCGCAGGAGAGAACACTGTGCGAACCATTGCCATGGACGGTACCGAAGGTCTTGTGCGAGGCCAGGAGGTGCAGGACTCTGGCTACCCCATCAGAATTCCCGTGGGTGCCGAGACCCTTGGCCGCATCATCAACGTCATTGGCGAGCCCATTGACGAGAGAGGCCCCATCAACACCGACAAGTTTGCTGCCATCCACGCAGACGCCCCTGAATTCGTCGAAATGAGCGTCGAGCAGGAGATCTTGGTCACTGGCATCAAGGTCGTCGACCTGCTGGCTCCCTATGCCAAGGGAGGAAAGATTGGTAAGCATCGGTCACACCTTTTTAGACTCGGAAGTTGGGATTTATTCATGATGTTACCCGACGGTCTTCTGAAACAGAATGAACGAAGAACTTCAAACCATAAACCACTGATTTGGAATCTAATCATAAATGGCTGAGATGAACAAAAAATGGATGATTAATCTGGAAAATTTTCAATTTTCAGGTCTTTTCGGAGGTGCCGGTGTAGGCAAGACTGTGCTCATCATGGAGCTGATCAACAACGTGGCCAAGGCTCACGGTGGTTACTCCGTGTTTGCTGGTGTCGGTGAGAGAACCCGTGAGGGTAACGACTTGTACCACGAAATGATTGAGTCCGGTGTCATCTCCCTCAAGGACAAGACCTCCAAGGTAAATTTTCAAACGTAAACTTTAAACAAATGTTGAGGTTGAATTTGTTCGCAGGTCGCCCTTGTGTACGGTCAGATGAACGAGCCCCCTGGCGCCCGTGCCCGTGTTGCCCTCACTGGATTGACCGTGGCCGAGTACTTCCGTGACCAGGAGGGTCAGGATGTGCTGCTCTTCATCGACAACATTTTCCGTTTCACACAGGCTGGTTCCGAGGTGTCTGCCCTGCTGGGTCGTATCCCCTCTGCTGTGGGCTACCAACCCACCCTGGCCACTGACATGGGTACCATGCAGGAGCGCATCACCACCACCAAGAAGGGCTCCATCACCTCCGTGCAGGCCATTTATGTGCCCGCTGACGATTTGACCGATCCCGCCCCTGCCACTACCTTCGCTCACTTGGACGCCACCACCGTCTTGTCCCGTGCCATTGCCGAGTTGGGAATCTACCCCGCCGTCGATCCCCTCGACTCCACCTCCCGTATCATGGACCCCAACATTATTGGAGCAGAGCATTACAACGTTGCTCGTGGTGTCCAGAAAATCCTTCAGGTGTGTACTTTTATTTTTTTCATTTGATTGTTTAATCAAATTTCTCCCAAACCACAGGACTACAAGTCTCTGCAGGACATCATTGCCATCCTGGGTATGGATGAGTTGTCTGAGGAGGACAAACTGACAGTCGCACGCGCCCGCAAGATCCAGAGGTTCCTGTCACAGCCTTTCCAGGTTGCTGAAGTTTTCACTGGCCACGCTGGCAAGCTTGTGCCCCTTGCTGAGACCATCAAGGTACAATTTTTTAAAATTAATTTTGTCACTAGTACTTAATTGTTAATATTGTCTTGCAGGGATTCAAGAAGATCTTGGGAGGAGATTACGACCACTTGCCCGAGGTTGCCTTCTACATGGTAGGCCCAATTGAAGAGGTTGTTGCTAAGGCTGAGAAGCTTGCTGAGCAGACCTCATAAACGTGAACTCCCAAACTTCAGTTTTGTAGTCTCAAAATCATCTTCAGATTTATTTAAGACAAAATGGATTCTCTCTTCGCCAAAGCTCCGTTTGTGCAGCCCCCCAAAAAACAAAGGAGCTCTTGGCCGACAGAAATCTAATTTGAAAGCTGCTGCACTTAAAGTGTTGAAATTCAATGAAAGCCCACCCGGGACAAAACTAATTACTCTGCAGAACCACAATTTTTTTCTGTCTAAACTTTTGTTGGTACTTGAATTCCAAGTAGGTCGACTGTTTCTTTGTTGATATATTGTACAATTAAACAATTCATAAATATAGAAGTGGTGGAACTGAAAGCGCCCATGTAATTAAAAGGATGGAAGAAAGTGATGAAATGTTGAAGCGCTTGTTTTATTGTTACTGAACCCTTTTTAAAAATTATGAAAATTATATATCATGTCAAGGAATCAGAAATTAAAAAAGATTTGTTTTTAACAGGACAGTTTTGCAGCTGCTTTAAAATTTATTTCATCAAAATAAAAGCAACAAAAAAAGTTGCAATCATATGAAAAAGATTCATCTATGATTTCCAAAATATATTGTTTAATAAATGGTCCATCTCTTAAGTATGCGGAGTTATCTGTCTTGATCCCTCTCACTTCTTCCGGAGCAAAGAGGATAACCGTTTCTGAACGAATGTAGGAAGTGCAAAGGCAGCTCGATGAACCTAAAAATCCACATTTTTAAAATTTTTTACCCTATGGTTTTCAAAATTCTTACATTCTCATTATAGTACTTGAGCTCAAATTTATCTTTTTCTTCGTCAGTAAAAACCGTGGCAGGTATAGTGAAGTTAACATCCTGAGGGCAATTATTAAAATTAAAAATAACTCTAATATTAAGATGATAATCAAATCTGACATTTTTGAGCTAGTGAGAAAAACCTACTTGGTCTAGGGATCCGAGAACAAATCCGATTTGTCCAGTGGGGTAGGTAGGCACGCTGGTGAAGGCGTAGGAAACGTTTGGAAAGTGTTTACTGCAGTGGTTGACCATATTATAAACTAAATCCAGAGAGGTCCAAACTGTTTCTCCTTGAGAGCAGACAATGCCGCCGGCACGAAGTGCAGACTTCATTAGTTTAAAATAGTTTTCGCCAAAAAGCGCCTCAGCAGGGCCTGGAGGGTCAGAAATAATCCATTAAAATTCTTTATAATTCTTTAAAAAATTATATAAAATTAAATCAAAGTTTGGATTCAAAAAAGGAATTGAATAAAAATTATATACCATCAGGGTCAGACGAATCCGTGATAATAACGTCGAATTCGCCCTGGTGCTGGCCCATGAAGGCGAATCCGTCGCCTATGTGGAGGGACAGCTTTGGGTGGCTGAAGCCACTGCTCATTGTGGGCAGATACTTCTTGGCAGCATTGACCACCTCAGCGTCGATTTCGCATTGCACCACTTCCCTCACAGCAGGGTGTTTGACCACCTCTCGAGCCACCCCACCGTCGCCTCCGCCAATGATCAACACTTTCTCCGGCCTGGGGTGGCTGCACAGCGGCAGGAACGAGATCATCTCCTGATATGAAAACTCGTCAAACTCGGTGCACTGGATCACCCCGTCCAGGACTAGCATGCGTCCGTGGTGCTTTCTGTTCAAAACTAGATTTCATTAATTAATAGGCAAAGGAAAACAATAAAAAAACAACCAAATCACCAGGCTTGTTAATTAAAAAAAAAAAAATGTGGTTTACATAATTTTTTTGAACCTTACGTTTGAAGCACTTGGACTTGCTGAAAGTCTGAAGTGGTCTCGTGCAGCAACGAGTCCACCTCTATCGACTGCACCATGCCGGGCCACATGTCACCAATTTCGCTGAACCAACCTTTCTTGAAAGAGTCCATATTTCCCTTTAATTTTGCACGGCTGGCACTTGGTGTGTCTTGCAACCTAAAATTAAAACAAATAATACATAATAAATTTTATATACATAAAAATCAAAACTTATGTATATATTTCCTCCACACTGCGTGGCGGGATTTAAAGTGGCAATGAAAATTTAATGACTTAGTGAATATCGTTAATTTAAAGATAATTTTAAGAAATAAAAAATACAAACCATGCACCAAAAAGGCTGCTTGTCCCGTCAGTGTAGTGTGCAGTTCATGCCGTGCATGGTAGACAGATTGACCGATTTTGATTCTGCAACCAAGTCTGCAACGTTGTCATATGTAGGAGGTGTGGCGCGGCATTAAAAAGGGTACGTGACGTGGCCATCTTTAATAATGACGCCTAATGACTCTGCATGAATTTTACGTACCTGTCATGGCGGCGATGCTTTCTGCAAATCCTTTATATTTTTATCTCAATGTACTTCCGTAGACATCCGTAGCGTGCGTAGCGCTTGCTGTGTGTTCTTTTGTCTTTGTAGAATGCCGAATGCCGACAAAATCCGGACCATAACATAACTGTTACTTTAAAGCATCGACCCCAGAACGGCCAGAACGCTGTAAGGGCGACGGAGCGGCAGCTCTCAACCTCTGCACTTGCCCAGTCCGGTGTCCGGTCACCCTGGTCCTTCCTTTTCCATTCCAGTACGTACGATGTGTAGATTCTTGCTGCGAAAGAGACTAGACGCTTCTTGTTGTCGCAATTTTTGCTTTCAATCAGTTTGAAGCAATTTTATCCCTCTCTTCGCATTTGAAACTTTTTAATCGTAAATAAACCTCTTGTTTATCTAATCTTTCCTAATTATTCCTGAATTTAAACTGTTTTGATGTCTCTCATGAATCTCTTTATATGTAATATATTTTCCATTAATTTTTATTGCTGTTTAATTCCGGTGATCATATTCAAGTTTTGCCCAAAAAAATTGTGCAAACTGTCTTTTTTTTAATGAATATAAATTATATAATTAAAAATTATTTTACATGAAATTAAGAACTTCACCATATTTTGACAAAAAAATTTATGGAATAAATTATAAATACTTATCTAATATTTGTTTACTTGCAGGTGTTTAAATGCTAGGGTGCCACTGAGTGGTTGGTGCGTTGGTCCTTCTTGTTGCTGCAAAAGTCAATGTCGACAATGAGCATATCAAGTGACGAGGTCAACTTCCTAGTGTACCGGTATCTGCAGGAGTCGGGCTTCCAGCACTCGGCGTACACCTTTGGAATCGAGTCTCACATCGCCCAGTCCAACATCAATGGCGGCATCGTGCCCCCCGCCGCCCTGCTGGCCATCGTCCAGAAGGGGGTCAAGTACACCGAGGCCGAGATCATGCTCGGAGAGGTATTTGTTTTTTTTACTCACAAGTCGCAAAGGAAACTAAGAAAGAAGGATTCGCAGGACGGGGTTGACCAGCGGATGATGGAAAGTCTGTCTTTGATTGATGCCGTGATGCCAGACATTGTCACCACTCGTCAGCAGGCCCTGCAGCAGCAGACGCAACAGTCCGGGACCGTTTCAAAGGGCTCTTCAGGCCTCATAAAACAGGAGCAAGAGGCAAATGGAGAAGAAAGTGCGTATTAATTAATCTAAGCATTGGAAAACCCCAATTTTTATTGAGTGAACAAAAATTCCAAAATTTATTGAAAAACTCTTTTGCAGATTCAACTACGGCTGGAAGTACCGTCACTTCGGGCATAAATTATTCATCAAACTTAACCAGTGGTACAACCACTGAGCCTATGGACGTGGACAGCAGCATCGAGATTCCTGCAAACAAAGCCACTGTTCTAAGAGGGCATGAATCGGAAGTGTTCATTTGCGCCTGGAATCCGACGCAGGACCTTCTTGCTTCAGGGTTTGTAATATTTTTACTTTGACAGTCTACTGCTGTAAAACTAAAACTCAAATTTTATGATTTGTTTGTTTTTCTGCCTTCTTTGATTTTCATAACAGAAGAAAGCTGTAATAAAATCTTATTATCTATTTAGATCGGGTGACAGCACAGCGCGCATTTGGGATATGAACGACAATTCGACCACTCAGCTACCAAATCAGTTGGTCCTGCGGCATTGCATTCAAAAGGGTGGCACCGAAGTGCCCAGTAATAAGGACGTAACATCACTAGATTGGAATGTAAGTTCCTTTCGTTCATACAATTAAATTACTTTCTTCGTCAACCAATCATGATTTGATCAAGATCAATTTAGCAATTTTCCTTAAATAATCCTGGCTTTCTCGAAAATGTTTTAGTACTCTTAAAAACTAATTTTATATTTTCATCATCCATAGAAAGCTTGTTTTTCTTTATAATTTCCTATAATTAACAAAAATTTTCTCTGGCAGTGCGATGGAAAATTCCTGGCAACAGGCTCTTACGATGGCTACGCAAGAATCTGGACGACTGAAGGTCGTTTAGCATCGACGCTGGGGCAGCACAAGGGGCCCATATTTGCACTCAAGTGGAACAAAGAGGGCAACTACATCCTTAGTGCGGGCGTTGACAAGACGACCATAATCTGGGACGCTAAGACGGGCCAGTGTACCCAGCAATTTTCATTCCACTTGGCTCCGGCATTGGACGTCGACTGGCAGAGCAACAACAGCTTTGCTTCGTGCAGCACTGACCAGTGCATACACGTGTGCAAACTGCACGTGGACAAGCCCATCAAATCCTTCCAAGGTCACACGAACGAGGTCAACGCCATCAAGTGGGATCCGACAGGCACCTTGCTCGCCTCCTGCTCCGACGACATGACGCTGAAGGTATTAGATGCAAGTGGAAAATTGAATTTTGCGATAACTTTATTCATTGTGCAGATTTGGTCGATGAAGCAGGACAACTGTGTGCATGACCTGCAGGCGCACAGCAAAGAAATTTATACGATCAAATGGAGTCCGACTGGAAAGGGGACGGCAAACCCCAACATGAATTCCATCTTAGCAAGGTATTAAAATAAAAGAATAATTTCCTATTTTAGCTTTATGAAAAGCTAAATTAAAACTGAAAATGTAGCAGTGATAAAACTTTATTTCATCGAAACAAAAATTCAATATTTTTTTTGCAGCCTAACTTACTGAGAAATCAACCAGACCAAATTTTAACTGATAATATTAAATTTTCAGCGCCTCATTCGACTCAACAGTTCGGTTGTGGGACGTTGACCGGGGTGCGTGCATCCACACACTAACAAAGCACACAGAGCCGGTGTACAGTGTTGCTTTCTCACCAGACGGCAAATTTCTCGCATCTGGTAGTTTTGATAAATGCGTGCATATTTGGTCTACTCAGGTAAAAAGTCTTGCCTTCAATTTGTTGAACAATTATTAATTGTTTTTTTTTAACAGAACGGCCAGTTGGTGCATAGCTATAAGGGAACTGGTGGAATCTTTGAGGTGTGCTGGAACTCTCGTGGTGACAAAGTAGGCGCCAGTGCCTCCGATGGAAGTGTAAGTTGACAATTGATAATCAATTCGAAATAGGATTGAATCCGATTTTTTTAGGTATTCGTCCTTGATCTTCGTAAACTGTAAATATTTTATTCTTTCTCTCTGGGGGGCGGACTTTAAGAAGAAGTTAAAAGAAATGACGCTATTAGTTCAAAAGGATCAAGCCAGATGACAGTGCATTAAGGGTGACAGTGTTGCTGGTGAGTGTACTTGTGACAATGCTGGAGGCAGTGTGGTGCACCAAGAGACGAACCCTTTGCGAACGCACCAGACACTTCTTATGTCTTTTTGCAACCCTTTTTTTATGCTTCTCATTTTTTTAAAAAACAAGAAAATTAGTAGGTGGAAATCAAATGTTGAACTATTAACTGGTCGAGGAAAGAGAATTTAATAAAGTGACAGTAAAGATATATTCATCAGGGATTTCCGTATTAATAGTTGATTAATTCTACACAGTCGGAGACATTTCTTTTTGCAATTTTTGCTCATTTTTCCAAATGTATTTTCCTGATAAAAAAGTTATCTGATCAAAATATATTTATTTCAGGACTACCTTGAAACTAAACGAAAACTTCCAAAATTTCTTTTGTGAAAGAAAAATGTCACTTATTATTCTGTTCCATTAGCCACTTTTAAGCTACCTTGGTACAATTAGAATTTTTTAAATGTGACAAACAGTTGAATAAAACACTAACAAATTATAACAATTAATTTTGTTTATATAGGGAATTTCACTATAACACATTATAATCCATTTTGACGTTAAAAGAATTTGTATTTTAATATGAAAATAACAATATGAAGGATATATACATATATTTTTCATTTACTTATTTTTGATAAAAATCCATCAAATTAGTTTCCTTGAATATCATTTATGACTGAATACTCTTGAGGATTATCCCTCATAAGCCTCTCACAATAAACTAATCCATGGGTTCCTTGAGCAGAATAATCTTCAAGGAATGGCAACTGCAGCAAGTCATCCCTGAATTTTTCAATGATGTACATCCAACACATTTGCTCTGTTCCATCATTAAGATGAATTAGAGTTTGCTTTCTGTTATAAAAAATAGGGTAGTCTTCAAGTTCATCCAACCGATTCATCATAGCGCTGTCAATCTTATAAATTTCTCCTGCAACATTCTGTATGAAAAATTCTAACTTGAGTATGAGCGGATTAAATTTTTAATTTAATTATAATTCGTATAATTCAGTGTCATACGTACATGGCCCAATCCGGGTCTGTCCAATACAAACGGAATGTTATAACGGCTTGCAATTACTAGAGGAAATTTTAGTGCCGTCTTTCCACAACCTACAAACGAAAACGAGCCCGCTTCCCATTCACTCATCCATTCATGATTTGGTTCACCCTTCTTCAAAGTTCCATAAACAAATACGAGTTGCGTGTCGCTCATTTTGGTGTTCTCTAAGTTATAATTATTAAAATTTATATAGGAGCTAATCTATATTATGAATTAATTGAAAATTACACAATCACAACCTTTCAAAATTGCAAAATATTTGCTGTGTCCGTCGAGATAATCATTTGCATGTATAACTTGTGCGGTGAGATGGAATAGGCGATCCAATGGTTCACGTGATTCACACGGCTCGGGGTGTTGAACGTCGCAACTCGGCTCTCGCGGTGGTGGGGACGTCGTGCTAACATAGAGTGGGAGGGGAAACTGCGTTCGGGCGATTCCGCCGAATCGCTGACGAATCAAGGCGAGGTCGCCCGAACAAAGCCGCAACTTCTCCTCCACCTCCCCTACAGTGCCAAAGCGCCGGATTTGCTTTTACACAGCGATCTTTTCGTGCTATGTACGTATATATGTACTTCATTATGTAGTTGACAGACCGGCAGCCAGACAGACGCTAGCATGTATGGGTATTTAAATTTTCGGCCAATTACTTAAGCCGCCAAAGCGCGTAATATTTACGAGGTTTTCGCGGTCTGTGAAGTTGCTCCTTAACATTCCTACGAGTTAATTTGCTTGTAATTGAACAGCTCAGTGTGTTATTTGTGTGATTTTTTTTTAAGTCCACACGGTCACACCCACAAAAATTTCCCGACGGCGTCCAAACGGGTCCATTCGGCCCAAATGTGTGTCTTTGATTTGAATTCCCGTTGAGATTATTAGGCCCCACGCAACTAAATTTAATTATTAACTACATAGAGCAACGGCATTCTGATCCAGAAAAATATTATTCGATTTAAATTGTGCAACATAATTTCATTATAATTTCAAGGTTTCCTTGCGTTTTAGCTTGTTGTCAAGCAAACTTAATTTCGCATAATACTTCATATTTCAATTTTTTTATTATTTTAATTTAACGTTGACAGGAAATTTTTTTGCAATTTTTACGCTTCCTATAAAAAAAAAGAAAACACTTAAATAATAGAACCAGCGGAAACATAAAAAGTTTAAAATTTTTAGTTCACGCGCCGACTGTAAAATTGAACGGACACATAATATATTTTTTTAGATATTTCTCTGCTTATTAAAATATAAATAAAAATGATCAAAATAATTTTCCTTTTATGAAAAAAGTATTATGTATTAATAAAAAAATAATTTTTGCAGGCTCCAATTTTAACTGCGGCTTGATTGCTATTCAGTAGAAGGAAAGATGGCTCACTGGAGGTTCAAAGCTTCCAAATTCAAGAACGCAGCACCAACAGTGCCCAAGCCAGAGGCTTGTATTCGTGATATCTGTGTCGGGTCTTACCAGTCCTATGGCAACAGCATTGCTGCCTCGGCTGCCTTTATGGCGTTCAACGTTGACCACAATGGTAATATAAATTGTCACTTGATGCGCTCTTATTTTATACTGATCAAAATAAATAAATGCAGGTTCCAACTTGGCGGTTCTCCCAATCGACGACTGCGGTCGCAAGAGCAAGACGATGCCACTGCTTCACGCACACTCGGACACTGTCACCGACATGGCATTCTCTCCGTTTCATGACGGGCTTTTGGTCACTGGATCCCAAGACTGTTTGGTAATTCATTTCGTTTTTTATTTCATCTTTCAAATAGTATTGTAATTATTTTTTACTCTTTACAAATTGCAATCTACTTCACATTTTTTTAATCGATTTATGCTTTTAAGTCAACAAATAAGATTAAGAAATTTACAATCAGTTCTGTCAGCAGCTCTTGTGAATTTATCTTTATATACCACTATAAATATGAACTGTTTAGGCAAATAGTATTCCGTCATAAAAGAAGGCAATACATTAACTTTTAACTCTTGTTTATAACAGGTGAAAATTTGGCACATTCCTGAAAAAGGATTGGAGGAGTCTCTGTCTCAGCCAGAGTGCGTCTTCTCGCACCAACAGCGCAGAGTTGAGACGGTCTCTTTTCACCCTACTGCAGATTTCCTCCTCACAACAACTTCGTACGCCACTGTTGCACTGTGGGATTTCAATGAGGAGAAAGAGCTACAAAGTAATTTTTTAACTGTCTCTTCTTTGAGAAATATTAGTTGATTTTTGTATGCAAATTGTAAATTTGGACAGATACCTTTTTTTTTATCATAAAATTCACTTCATTGTTTCATTGCAGCAAGCGCCGAGGGTTCGGACGTAGTGCAGTCGTTGAGTTGGCGAGGCGACGGTATGATTTTTGCAACCACCTGCAAAGACAAGCAGCTGCGTGTGCAGGACCCTCGCTCGAATCTAGTCACTCACAGTGCCAATAGCCACCAGAGTCTGAAGGATTCTCGTGTTGTGTGGCTCGGAGACCCCAACTGGATTCTCACAACTGGATTTGATGCTGTATGTCTATCTCATATTAATTCTCCCTTGAAATGAATTTTTTTTTTGTGTTTGTGTAGGCTCGTTTGAGGGAGGTCATCATTCGAGACATAAGGAAATTTGGTGATCCTGTTAAGATTCTGCAGCTTGACAGTTCTACAGGGTAATTTAATGCTCATGAAATTGACTGTTTTATTAAAGTTTGAATTTATCCTTGGCAGAATCCTTGTTCCCTTGTTTGACGTGGACACGAACATGCTTTTCTTGGCCGGAAAAGGTGACACTACGATTCAATATATGGAGGTGTCTGAGAGAGATCCCTTCTTGATCGAGGGGTTGCGGCACTCGGGAGAGCAGACAAAGGGTGCTTGTCTGGTGCCAAAACGGGCACTTCAAGTCATGCAAGCCGAGGTTAATCGAGTGCTCCAACTTACATCCAACTCGGTCATCCCGATCACCTACCAGGTGCCCCGAAAGGTGATTATCATTAATGGCTGTTTGCTAATTTTATTGTATTTTGCCGTTGAGTAAATATTTCACTCATCATTCAATTGTGTTTCAGTCCTACCGGAACTATCACAGCGATCTTTTCCCAGACACTGCTAGTCCATTGTCTCCTCTGCTTTGCTCTCAGTGGATGGCGGGAGAAAACAAAAGTTTGTCCAAGATCAGCTTGGACCCAGAAAAAAGACAAGAAGAATTGATGCAGGTAAAATAAATCTGTAAAATATGCATCGAATTAGAATTAAACTTGCCTTTTCAATTTTGTGTCTTCAGGTTCACCGAGGGAACTTGGCAGAGATGCGCGCCTCTGCTTTGCAGAAACAGTCAAACAAAATTCATGTGAAAGAAACTCCTACAAATGGGGTGTCGATGCCACCGAAACCAATGCCCCGCTCCAGAGGCTGCATTGTCGACACTCCAAACAACAATCACGCAAATGAGCATATTTTGGTAGAAAACACACCTCAGCCGGCTGCTCGAGTGACCAAAGCCAACAATGGTCTTGTAAACTCAAATTATAAGGCAAGTTTCACTAATAACTTTTTTTTTATTAATAATTTAAAACATGACAGCTTTTGTCAGAAGTTACAAAACTTTGTGTTACCAACAGTAAATTTGGTAAATTTTAATAAAAATTTGCAGAGCATGCAGCCCCGTCTCGGACCTCGGCCGTATGCACCACCCAGCTTCGGGAAAGAAATTGCGTGCACAGAGACAAATGGCAAAGGTGCAACGTCACCTGATCCAGCAGATAAACCAATTTGCGAAGTGGACAACAAGGATGTTGAAGAAGCTGAGGAGCTACCACAGGCCAACAGCAAGCAGGAAGATCAAACTAAGAACGACGAAGAATCGGTCAAGGTGTCTGAGGACGCAAGTGAAAAGTTAAGCATAGCGGAAAGGCGTCGGCTCTACGAGACACGCTCGGCTTCTGTGCAAGAGGCACCTGGCTCTCTGTCACCCACGCCTCTCAGACGACGAAACTCTTTAAAGACCAACCACAAACAGCCTGAGACCATCTGTGAAGAGCCGAAAGTTGTTGCCGCCAAGAACAAAGTAGTGGAGCAGGCGGCACGTGCACCAGAAAGGACTTCGACTGTTTTTGGTAAAACTTTTCTTTCAAAAATTATTGATAAACTTCCACAGAAGTTTAAGCATTAAAGTTTTCCTTTATCAATTTCCAAGAATTTACTAATTTATCAAATCTTAATTGTGAGTTATTTATTTGCAGGGCGCGTGTCAAAGTTCCGCCACTTGAAAGGTACTTTCATGCCCAAAGCGTTCCACATTGAAAACATAAGGAATATAAGCCAGCAACTGCCAAAAGAGTGTGACGGATTTCATGGTTTGACGTTCCAAATATTTTAGTGAATGAAAATTATTTTAAATTCTTATTTATAGCAAATCCTATAAGGGCAGCAGTACCCCTGAGTGGTCCAGGTGGAAAAATAGCAGTGTTTGAGTTGGACAAGACCGGAAAACTGCCTGACGGTGTGATCCCTGCTCTCGTCAATGGCTCCAGTGTAATCGACTTTGCCTGGGATCCTTTCGACTACAGCCGCTTGCTTGTTGGTATGTTTATAGAAAAATGTATAAATCTAGAAAAAAGGCTGAGCAATATTTTTCATCTTGTAATAGCATGTGACAATGGAACGGTCAGGGCGTGGAACATATCGGACGGAGGTCTCTCCGAGTCTACAAACGAACCAACTTTAATTTTGCCCGGAATTGGAGAAAAGATCTCTTTCATCAAATTCCACCCTTTGGCCAGAGACGTGCTAGCCATTGGCTTGTTTGATTTAAGTGTTCGCATCTGGAATCTGAAGGAGCAAAAGGAGATCCTTCAGATAAGTGGACACACAGACCAGGTGACCTATTATTTCTAGCATTAAAAATAAAAATATTTTATTTACCCGCCCCTTATTATTCAGATTTTCAGCTTGGCTTGGAGTTCATGTGGCAAATTTTGTGCCACGGTGTGCAAAGACACAAAGATTCGTGTTTTTGAGCCTCGCAAGAGTGTTGAGCCACTTCGTGAAGGTGTTGCCACCGAGGGACTGAGGGGTTCGCGCGTTCTGTGGGCACTGGACAGCTCTCTGCTGGTTGTTGCTGGATTCGACAAGATTTCCCAAAGGCAGATTCTTGTCTTGGACGCCATCAATCTTTCAAACGTTCTTGCTACTGTCGGCTTGGACGTCTCCCCTGCAATTCTCATTCCGTTTTACGACGTAGACAGTTCCACCCTTTTCCTGACCGGGAAGGTTAGTTTCAACATTTATTATTTCTATTATATGTAATTTGAATTTTTGTATAATTATAATTTATGTGAATTGTGAATGAAATTAAATGAGAAGATCATTAAAATTTTTAGGGTGACTCGACGGTTTATGTTTTTGAAGTGACAAAAGAGGCACCGTACCTTTGTGCGCTTAGCCATCATCGGATGGACAGTTTGCATCAGGGGCTGTCATTTTTGCCCAAAAATGAGTGCAACATATCAGCCGTTGAGTTCGCCAAGGCGCTGCGTCTCACTAACAACAGCATCAAGCCAATCTCGTACACTGTCCCACGAATCAAGGTGCGCCTATTGAATTTTTCTCTATCATAATTTTTTATAATCTTTGAGTTTTGCAGACTGAGCTGTTCCAAGATGACCTGTTCCCTCCGACCAGAGTCACTTGGGAACCAGCCATGGAAGCAGGTGAATGGTTCAGTGGGGTCAACAAACTGCCACAGCTTGTCAGTCTCAAGCCCGAAGGAATGCTGTCACGTAATATTGCAGAATTAAGTGCCGAATGGAAATTTCAATGAATTTCTTTAGTGTCGGACAACCAGACAAATAATACGAACAATGGTGGAAGCAAAGCAAGCCATGTGAGCACCAAGATCAACTCGTGGGAGCAAGAGTCCATTGCCGAGACTCGAAATAAGGTAAATTAGATATGGGGTTTTAATTGAGTTTTGATTATGTAAATATTTGGCTCAGATCCAGATGGCGGTGAGCAACCGAATGGAACTCTGCAAGAAGTTGGAACAGGATGACATGGAGGGTGTTGAAGCTGAGGAATGGGTATTTATTATGATTCGACCATTGAAATTGAAACTGACACAGAATTTTCCAGGACGAGGAATGAACAAACCCAATGAACACCTCAAACAGGATTTACCTTTGAGAATCTGACATCGAGTCAATAATCCAATAACACTGTATAAGTATTTCTAGTCTATGATCTGTGCATCTGATAAAGTATGACATAATATTTGATCTCACTAATGGATGGGACCAATTGAAAGGCACATGTGTGTTAAAGCCACATTTCAAAATGCCGCACCCATTTGAGACAAATAATATGATGCTGGATATATTGTGCTTTTGACGCCCAACCCCGCTTTTGGGTCTATTCTGGCATGCATATAATTTGCGAGTGGTCTTAATTATACTGTACGATTTGTAAGGCCGACAAGTGTTTCTTTTTTTATATCTAAAATCTAAAATACAATGCTTTTTTAACATAACAGCTGTAAGTCATCTCTCTATTTTATAATATTACTAAAACAATTAGAATTAGTGTGAAATGTAAATAACTTTGCTCTTTTTTAAGGTTAAAGTTCAGCAAGTAGATAATCATGTACAATTAAAAAAAAATTTGCTTTTGAATTTGGTCATGAACTTACTAATTAATAAGTTCTTTCTGCTACAGCTTGTGGCAAATTCTTTCCCATTGTTTTTGATTTTGATGTAATTTGGGAGAGAATATATTAATTTATTGAATCCCAAAAAAATTGGGATCCATTGGGGAGGAATAATTTAATTTGAGTAATGCTTAAGTGACGAACATCACTTAAAAATTTATCCTAATTAAATTGATTGAATAAGTGAAAAAGTAAAAACTTAATTTTACTTTTTGTGATTTATATAAAATTTTCCTGCATTTGATAAATGAGCTTTTGTATAAGCATCTCATTGTGTGTTGTTAGTGGCAATAAAGCAAAAAAATAAACCAATTCTAAATACTAAATTTTTTTATAGGAATGATACCTATTTAAATTAATTTTCTGGTTTGATTTCACAGTTTAGTTTAAAAATAGGCCGTAATAAAAATCTGTTTAAAAAGAAAATTATTTTAATATTCAAAGCGCCCTCAAGTTTTCTTGGAGTGAAAAATACTAGTTGAGAATCATTCAAAGTTATAAAAATTATATAGTTGAATGTTTCTTTTTATTCCTATTTTCACATAAATAATTTTTTTTCCAAAATTTAATATTTTTTCTTGACTTATTGTTAGTTTCAGGTGCAATTTGCTTTCGCTATTAATTGATGGAATATTTGAAATTGAATTACATAACAGCAATTGCGGAAAAATAGCCGAAAAATCGATTGGTTTTATTCATCAAGCTATTTTCCCGCACCCCTGCGTACATTCTGCTCTAGGCAGCAACAGAGAGGGTCTAGCGCCTGCAGAAGCAACAGAGCTGCAACCCGCACTGCACAGAGGCTTCACAGGTTGCATATGCAAGTCAAAAGAGTTATATTTCTGCATCCATCGTATTCTCATTTCCGCTCGTCTTGTCAACGGGTTGGAAAATTTAAACGCCACTTTTCCGTGAAATTAGCCCTTTGAGGACGCACTTTGCGGCGCGATCGATGTGGTGCGCTGGTTTGCGTTGAGATGGCACGAGCAAGGGCCCGGCAGCGAGAAATCTGCAGTGAAGTGAGCAGCCTGCTGGGGATTAGCTGCCGCGCTAGTGGGGAGCCCAATCATTTTGTATTTGTGCCGCTGCGTGATCGGACGAGGCGTTCGCGATGATGTGAAGCGCTAACTGCAATTGGGGGAAATCCCCAAAATCTGTCAGTTTCGGGGGGTCGACGAGAGAGATAAAAAGCGCGAAATGAGTGCGGTGCTCAGTGAGTCTGCTTCGGACAGGGACCTCAATAAGTACGTAATAAGACTTGGACGCTTTGCTTGCAATGGTGGCGGTGCATCTCCTCTCGCTTTCCCGGCAAAAGTTTTTTCCGACGACGTCAATTATTGCTGAGAATATTCTCAAAAATGCACCCCTCTTTGAAAACAGCCGTGTCGCCGATGGCTCTGGAGCCGATCATCGAGCCCGAGGCGTGGAGGGTGGCCCAGTTCCTCAACTGGCAGGAGACCACCAGCTTCGAGCCCTACATTTGTAAGCAAAATCGATATTCGTCCCATATATAAACCCCGCTTTCAACCCCTCGCTTTATTATTTATTTTGTTATAGTCGCGACTTCGTCGAGCAGGGCGGGCTCGACCCCGACCAACAATGAGGGTGGCCGGCCGTGGACCTTTTTCTCAGGGCTGGCCGCCGTCAAGCACCTCCCCACCAGGTACGAGTTCCTCGCGGGCAAATACCTCTCCAAGTCGACCGTGTTCGGCATCAGGGACGTCTCTTTGGGCAAAAAGGGCTGGGTCTTCCGCTTTGACAGGCCGCACGTGGGCCACGAGTACAGCCACCTCAACATTAACCCCAAAGTCACCGGAGTCGCCGACCCGCACATCCCGCTGCCCGGCGGGGCCGTGCCTGTTGGCGAGGCGGCCACCAAGGTCATCAACGTAGCTGGCAAGGTTGTCCTTGTGGCTGCGGTGGCCGTCGACAGTTACAGGTAAATGCAACCACTATTCAATTTAACAAAAATAGAAAAATTATTTAACGAAATTTTGAATTAAATTTCATGACGTTTTTGGTGAACAATATAGAAATTTCACACCTTGCGGTTTATTAACATTTAAATTTTTTGCAACTAAATTTAATGATTTATTTATCAAAAAGTGTTAACTGGAATTAATGCAGATCGTTAAATTTTTATTCATAAATCAAGGGTTTTTTAATTTCGCGGATTTTGAATGTAGCGGATTTTCAACAAATTTTAAATAATTTTTCGTCGCAAATGGATTATCGGAAATTATTAGAGGCCAGTTTTGACTTTCTGTGATTTGAAAATTAATTATAGGGCTCCTAGGGATTAAGATTTTTTTAAAAATAGTTTTGATAAAATCAATCATATAAATGACTTATATTGAATAAATATTCATACAAAAAATAGTTCATAACGACGATATTAAATTTTAATTTTTCGGCAATTTCTTTATTTTAAATTTTTTCCTCGCACATGAACACCTCATTTATGTTGCTTCCAATCCAGTAATATTCTGGCGATCGCGCCTGATTGGTACGAGACATGGCGTAAAGCGGCCCGGCGCTGTTGACGTACTGAACGTCAGGAGGAGGACTTGTCCTGAAATTGTAATTCGGGTGCAGCATTTTCGGCAGAAACTCGGTTTGCGTTTCGCAATCAAAGCTGTAGCCACTTATCGCGTCGAGCACAACCGCGTTCAGCATTGTATACGTCCAGTTAGCGTACTCTCCGCTTGCAACTGTCAAGAGAAGTACTTTTCAATTAGGGAGGTTGTTCATATTTTTATATAAACGTACTCGCCGCCGAATTTATGCAGGTAGAAGTTTTGACGTAGTTCTGGGGCTGCAACAATCGCAGTCCGCGCTCGCAACAATACCTCACTGCATCTTGATGAGTGTAAATCTGTCTCCGAATCATAAATTAAGGGTTTGCAGTTTTTATCGCTCGGCTTACTAATCCAGCCTTGTAAAAAATTAAGATTTTCCTCAAATCGCTGCATTTGCAGACCCAATAATTAGCGTTGTCATAATTGCACGACATAGGGCCTAAAAATCAATGGAAAAACTTAAAACCAATTTTGGTATTCATATATTAAAAAATACTTATATTTATCGAATCGAACACGTTTTTCTCAGTTACCTGAAGACATTAAATTAAAATCCTAAAAACTATTAAGTATTTCTGATTTTCACATACATTAATGGGACATGGAACTATGTTGTGACAGCCGTACCCCTTGGAAATCAACTCATCGTTCTGCAAATTATTTAATGATGTTGATTCAAATGCGGTTAATAAATTTCTACAATTGATCACCTCTGAATCTTGAATGTTCAAGTCTTTGACGACTTGGTCAAAAACCGCTGGAGACTTGTCCCTGGCACACTTTGCCAATTGATAAACTTTGTCGCACTCGTCCAATCCACCTTATTAATTTCTTTCGATCTTATCACACTAACTATAAAACATTTTAATTACTAGATTTTTTGTTGCACTCTTGCATGATGGCCATGTTTTTTGAAATGTCATCCTCATTCAGCAGAGCCATGAGCTCGAGAATTGCAAAGATTTCGCTTTCCACGAATTTACCACCAAGCACCTTTTTTTTAAGTAATTAAATTAGCAAAAAAATTACGAATTATACCAGTCCCGCCGCCTCTCCAACGCATTTCAGGAAGCACTAGATTTTTTTAAACGGAATTGATTTTTTTTTTAAATATTCAATCAACCCACTTTCATCCGCGTATCAAAATTTGATGCATTTTGAAGTAAGTCGATTTCAACTAAATTTCAATAAAAACTTTAAAATACTGATCAAGAATATCCATAATGTGTAATGTGGACATTTGGTGTGCAAACAACGGGATGAGTTTAAATGCGAAAAAGTGTAAAGTGATCGACATTTCTCACGCGCGCGTCCCCCTGTATTTTATGTACACCCTTGGCGAAACCGTCCTCGAGTACGTTAACCGGCAAAAATTGCTCGGCGTCAATATTTCCAGCGACCTTCGGTGGCAGGTCCACACAGATATCGTCCGGGCAAAGGCGGCGCAAACCCTCGGCTTCGTGGCCCGCAACCTGCGCGGCTGCACCCCCCGAGTAAAAAGAATCGCGTACCTCTCCCTCGTAAAGCCAGGAATGACCTACGGACTCCCTGCATGGCACCCGACGACGCAGGTTAACTTCAAAAAGCTCGATAGAGTGCAGAAACGGGCGCTGCACTTTATTCACGGCCGCACCCTTCCGCCGGCAAACGAGCAGAGAGTTATGCCCCTCGACATGCACCTCAGGTACACCGACCTTCTCTTTTTTAAAAAGTGCCTGAGCGGCGAGACTGATTTTGACGCGCGCGCCCGAATCATCGAGGGCCGAGTGCTGCGAGGCGACAATAGTCAGCATCCCCGCCTCCAGCCACCCCCGGTCCGAAGTGTGTTCGGCCAGCGCGCTTTTTCCTTCAGGGTCGTCAAGCCCTGGAATGACCTGCCACCGACCCTCAAAAACTGCCCAACCAGCAATTTTCCCTCCCTTTGCAAGCAGCATTTGTGGCAGCAATTTTAAAGTGTCGTGATTGTTCTTTTTTTTTTTCGATAGTGTGGGTTCACGCGGTGGCCGATCTCTTTTTGATGTCGGGCGTTTTAGCAGACCTCTGCTAGTTGTGATACCCTTTCTGCTCATTTTTCCAATTTAATTTTTTTTCATGTATGACTTGAGTAGAATAAACAACAATAATAATAACTTTGGGAAACGTTGTAAATCACACTGCATTCGTCGATTATCGCTTGCTTGCCACTCTTGGATTGTGGATTGCGTCTTTTCTGCAAAAAATAAATTTTTCGGTAAATTTTCCATTGCAATTCGGCGATGAGAACCTCGCAGATATATCTAAATTTGGTGCGACCGTCATAATCAGCGAGCAAAACCTGTCGCTGAGAGCGCAAAATGTTGACCGCCACGTAGTTTTCTTTTTGTCCTGCGTTGTCCGGCTGTCCAGGGAGCCACTTGGCCTCGTCGCCAAACAACCGTTTGGCCGTACAGAATCCAAAAGTAGACTCGCAGCCCTCGTCCGAGCCTGAAGTCCAAAACGTCATGTTCTCCGGTGCTATATATTTTTATATTAAAAAAATATATTTATTAATTTCCTTCTGAAGTTTTTGCCATAAATCATTTCAGGGGAGTTGCAAATGTTAGCCAAAGCTTCGTATTTGTGATTTCCATCCAGACTTAGCAAAGACATGCCCAAAGCACAACAAACTTTCATCGCTTCCAAATACTAATAAACACACAATATAATTATTGTTCAATTAAAAAAAAGCAAGTTAAAAATGTCTACAGTTCTGGTATCGTTTTCAAAACTGAGGAGATATTGACGTAGTTTGTCTGTGAACCACCGGCCATGCAAAGTGTGGTCTGAAATATTTAACACATCAAAATTATTTTGACTATAATAAATTAAAATACATAATTTACTCTTAAGAACTGAAGATTTGTTGTCCGAAGTGAATAATAGTGGCTGTGAATTTTAATTGAAGTTTTGCTTAAGCTACTAAGCTGTTATTTAAAAGAAATACGTCTCTCTGGCAGGTAATATTCGGACAAATGGGACCAGTGCACTTAGGAGCCGTCGTTGGTGGTCCCTGAATAAATTTAATTTAGTTTTTTATTAAAAATTTGAGAAAAAAATATATTTAAAACCTGGCAAGCAAATATGATTCTGTTCGAACAGCGTTGATCGCTGATTGAAATTGAACCGTTTGTTTTTGAAATTTTCATTCGGACGCAATTCTGATCGCTGGCCAAGTTGACCAGCGGCAGGATATCCAGTAAGGGCGAAGTGCCGTTCGTCGAGCACCAACCAAAGGTGCCACTCGCCAGATCTTTGGTGCCGCCAGTCCAGTAGTTCAAATTGAACTTCCAGCTCTTGGCTGAAAGTAGAATAATTCAGTTTTAAAAATTTTATAGTTCCAACTGTACAAAACCTTGAAGTTTCATGCACTCTAGTTTTTCGCGGCTCTCAAGAGCGAATGGTTGCATATTTAGGCTGAAACATTTGGCTTTGTTTTCTTGCCAAGTTCCCTAAAAATTAACCATTTTGTATTTAATAGGCAATATTGCAAAATGTCATATTGATACCAGTGACTTTCCAAGCAACAGAGTTTGGCCGCACGCGTCCAGCCAGAAACCGTGCAGATCTGGACCTAATTAAATTGATATTTAAAATTGCTCTTTTGCGTAGCTTTGATTTTTCTTACCCGCTAAAGCCCCGTTGGTTAAAAACAGGGAACGCTGATTAAAAATATTAATTAGGTGCTTCACTAAAAGTGTGAGTTTATACGTTCACAGCATTTGCTTCCACAACACATTTCCCAATCAACTCTGGCTGCAAAATTGTTAGATTTTTGTTAAAATAAAAAATGGAAGCCAGAAATTTTAAAATGATTTACAGCAATGGTTGTTGTAGTTGCTTCTTTGGTTGACGTTGTTGTTGCCGAGAATGTTGAGACAGAAAATTTTGACGTAGAAGCTCCAGTAAATTGGTTGCTCGAGAAAGAGGATGCTCTATTTGTCTCAGGAAAGTGAGTTGGCGTGGTGGAAATTTCTACCTCGTTGTTTAAAACAGATTTTTCTGCAGCAGAATATGTGGTTGTTATGATGGGTGTAGTCATTAGTTTCTCATCTGATGAAGTTAAGTCCAAAAATGATGGACTCGTGGAGACGGCCGTCTTAAAAATTTGACAATTCTTTAAATACCCAAGAATATAAAAGACACTTACATCCAAAATTGAGCCAGGAGAGTTTTGCTCGTTTAATCTTAATGACACAGCATCACTCCAGGTTTGAGTTTTGCTTAATTCAAAATTATTGTCAAGTTGGGATAGGGTTGAGCCAAGATCCGAATTTATAGATTTATTGGGTCCTTTTTGCTCAGCAAAATCGGAAGTTTTCTAAAAGTTTTCATGGCTGAAGGTTGATGTTAAAAATTATATGAAAAAATCACCAGAGAGCTTGTTTTGAGCTGCGTGCTAATTTTTGGCTGTAAAAAACACGATTTTTTGCCGCAGCACCTGATAATTTGCATACGTTTAACGATTCTTGGCGATCGATCTGTGATTAAAAAAGTAAATAATTTGCCAATTTATTTAAGTTTTGATCATCACCTCCAAATTTTCTCCTTCGCCCAACATGACCCGGATAAAAATTAATTAAATTTTGATATATTGTCTCAATTTACTCACATTAATACTTCCTTGACTGACTGACACAACTATTATACAAAAAATTGATAGCAGAAAAAGCTCCATCGCAAAAATCACTGTTCGTTTCTCATAATCAAAACGCTAGAATGCCAATTTATATTTGGGACACGTGTTTTTCTTTTTTTTTTTTGTTATAATGTGTCAGTTTGCGCACAAGCGAAACTTCCTGCCTGCGATGGCGGTTTCATCCTGTATAGTTGCTTGCGTATTACGCATTCAGCTAAAAGAAAATCTATTTTTTTGACTTCAAATTTTGATTTCACTCAAAGTTTTTACCGATGCTTCACTTCTGAATTAAAAAAAAAATATATCCAGAGTTTGTTTGTGACTTTTAATAGTATGATTCTACAACCATAACACATACGTACTTAAAAGTCTTCCACCCCAGGAAGATCTGAATCAATTTTTTAGGTACATTAAACATAAGTATATAATTTTTTAGTGAATGCTACCTTTCATTTTAAAAATTTAACAAGAATTAGTAAATGAAATGTGTTAAGAACAATTGGAATTAATTTAAAACACTTTAGTTTACATTTCCCATATTTAAATAATTATCTGTCACGCGGAAGCAGTTTATTACAAAACTTCATTGCTCTCTTTACAGTTGTAAGCTGCAATGTTTTTACGCAATTTACATTTTTTTATACCGCGCTTTCTATGCAATCAAAAATATAAGATAACATTTCATTTGATGGATTTAAAGTACTTAAAAATTCTGCGTTGTAATAAGACAAAAAAAATTAAGTTATTTCAAAACTTTTTCCCATTTTTCCAAACATAATAGTAATAATAATAATTTGTTTGAAGAAGTTGACACTCGAGGAGATGATCATGGAAATGAAGCGATCGGGCTTTCCCTCGTTCCAGAAAAATTGTTTTTATTCAAAAGCCATTTGTTTTTGAATAAAAACAATTTTTCTGCAACGAGGGAAAGCCCGATCGCTTCATTTCCAATAATAATAATAATAAAAATGCTTGATTTAAGGCTTTGTGGAGCGGTGTACAAGGATGTGCAAGAAAAAGAGTCGCTTGGGCACAGAACGGCCAAAACCACAGCTTCGGTTGCGTCTGGCTGGGCTGGAGGGTTTGCTGGAGCGGCGGCTGGCAACAGCGTCGGCACCATTGTCGGTAATGACCTTGTTTTCCCACGTCAATCCCCGCGCGTTCCACAAAAGAGGCAATTTTATTTGCCACATTCGTTGCCTTTTGCCTTTTATTTCAAAATTTCGATATTTTCTTCATTTCGTGTCATTATGAAACAGAAAATTTATTAAATTAAAAAGTAGTAAAGTTCTTTTTAATTATTTCCACATTTTACTGGAAATTCGTCGTTCCTATTCATAAATAATGCCCATTTCTACCAAATTATGCAACGACGTGTTCTCGGTTGCTATGCGTGTTGCGTTTGCTTGAAATATGGTTGCATCAATTTTTGATCAGGAGGGGCGATCGGCGCCGCTTTTGGTGGAATCGGAGCCGTTCCTGGAGCTGCAATTGGGTCCATGGTTGGGTGCTTGCTCGGCGGAGTTACCGCAGGTGTTGGCGCGAGCACAGTTGCTGAAGTTGTCGTCGAAAAGCTGAGGTGAGTCAATATTTAATAATTGAATTTTTAATAACTATGTATTGTTGTTGGAAATTTAAAATATTTGATTATTTGTTTTAAATTGATAATATTTTTATTATATTATTAATGTTTGGCATTGATTAATTTCTGGTAAAACTTTCGCAACTTTATTGAAAAACAGCAGCTTTGGTGCTCAGATTAGTTTTAAAACCAACTTTCGCCCTAGCTTAATTAATTTTGTATTAAAATTTTTAAAATTTTCCACCACCTTTTAGGGGAAATTTGCAAGGCGTTGTTTCAACCACCGAGGACGGCCACGTCGTGGTCAAACCTTCGTTCACGCCCGAGAGCGAAGAGCAAGAGGACGAGTGGCTCGAAATTTTGCGGCTGGTTGTTTGTCTGGCTCTGAACAAGAGACACATGAGCATCGTAACGTACCAGCCCACCTATCAGGTATTCCCTGCCGAGATTTCCAACATCCTGCAGCCGGAGAGCATCAAAAGCGACTACCTGCACGTGACCGAGGCGATTCTGACGTGGCCCATAATCAGGGAGATTTGCGCGACGCCGCAGTTCTTCTTCTCGGCCATGGCCCTCACCCCCGTCCCCCTTCCCTCTGACATTGAAACGCTTAGGGGCTGTGTCGAAAACAAAATTCCCGATTTTTCCATTTGCGAGTACATGTGCATGAATAGTAACGGAAGCGCTCTCTACTGGCTCAACCCTCAGGGTAGCGCTGAATTTGCCTTAGATATTCTAGCCAAGCAGGCGCCCTATCTGCAAGTCAAAACTTTTTAGACTGTTTCCTTTCCTCAGACGTCTTTTTCCGTTTTAAAACAGGCGCGATTCTAAAATTATAAAATCTGCTTTCCTTTCATGCATTCAATGCAACCTGTCTCTGGGACGAATTTAATCTCTTTCTCTCAATCTTTGACCTGAGCAGCTGAACCACTTGAATTATAAAACAAGATGCCAGGTAGCCAATCTCTCCTGACTCCTGATCATACTACACTTGCCTCTAGATGATGTAACTATCGCTCAAAGAAGTCAGTCAATATTGCAACAATCTTATAATGAGACATATCATGGTACTTTAACAAAAAAAAAAATACAATGTTTTTGGCTAAACGAACATTGAACATATCGATCAGAATGAGGGACGATTCACGGAAAACGCTTTCGATTGTATTATTATGAATATTATATTATAAAAAGCCATTGGAGTTTCGTAAAATTATAATATATATATAAATCGATATGACTGTAGTTCCAATTGTGCTTAGATTAGACTGATCAAGTCGTGCCACATTAAATCCCCAAACATCTAGCTTGAATTTTCGCTGTTTTTACTAAAGATTGTGTGTGGGAAAAAAACAGGTGATCACTTGTGGGTTTGCAGGACCAAATCTAAATTTTGCATTTCATTTTTTGTCAAAGAAATGACGCACAAACAGAGCATTTTACATAATTATATATATCTCGTCAGTAAGGAGGGTAAAATAAACGAAATTACGACCACAATAAAAAAACATATCAAGATCACTATTACGAGCTTTATTAATGCTAAGTGAATTAACAATTTGTTGTTTTTTAACGTTTTGGTTCCAAGTTTCGGATGACACGTTTGTTATTTATATATATTTGAACTGAATGCAGCTTTTTATACATATGCAATGCACAAACACATAGGCCTAAATAAATTTCAAGCAGCGTCACGGGGTTTAATGTGCTTTGACTTGTGTCGCGTTAGTGCTCAAAAGAATTAGGCAAAGGATGTCAATTTGCAATTTGTACGTACAATTATTGGAATTTGAAAGAAGAAAAAAAGAATATATTATAAATATTTAAATATGTCTGTTCCTACGCTATCAACTTGTTAACATAAATAATTGTGCACAACTAGAGAATTTATAAAATATTTATAGAAAAGTTGCTTCCAATTGAATGTTATATTTATGGCGTAGCTGTGCGTTTATATATGGCAAGTACATATTTTTCTAGAAATTGAAGCTTACATTGTTAGTGCATCTGTGATTACAAATTATTATTAACTGAACATATTTGAAACGTTGCAATCTGCTTTATCACATTTTACTATGACACTTTTTGCAAAAAATGCAGCTTCATTTTTTTTATTCAATTAAATAATGGGAGAAATGTGAAATAAGATATTTTATTTTCGCCGGCAGATACTTTGTAACAGTCCTGGGAGCGGTCTTCTGGAGTGATTGACCCCCAATAATTATTTCACAGTACAAAATATTGAGAAATTATTGTTTTTATTACAAAAAATTTCAATAGTGCAAAGCAGAGTTTAATTTTTAAGTATTTGTATAAATTGCCACAAAAATCGATGCACAAAATTGTTAGAGTTGATTAAAATGTTAGGCCTAATTAACTGCTCTCTCATTGAAACCAATCGCAAAGGCTTTTTCAAGTTGTGGAAAATAAATTATTTGCTGAAGCATTTTGAAATCTCTATATATTCCAATGCTTGTTTGGGTCCTGTTTCGCAAAAGCATTTGGCAATCTAACAACAAGTTGATACAGGTCAGAAAAAAAGCCATTGTTTGGAAATGACTGAGCAGCAAACTTATAAAACTCAGAAATGGACGAAAGTAACTTAAGAATATATCACACAATTCATGTGTTGTGTAGAATGAATAAAAAAAATGAAAGTGACAAATGTGATGTTTTATTTACTGCAAAACATGTATGAATTATTACAACACATACTCAGAAAACATAAACTTAATTATATTCAAAATGAAACTTTAATACCTCACAATCTTATATCAAAAATATTTTTGGGTATTAATGAAATAAATCAAACAAAATTAATAAAATAAAATAATGATATTATAAAAATAATTTGAAAATGAATTTATTAAAGATAAATATATTTGTCTTGAATAAATTATTTACGAATTATTGTGAAGAAAAATACATTTTGCAATAAATTGTTAAAACCGCAATCATTTTTTAATTAACAAAATCCAGTTTTAAATTTAAGCAGTGATGCAACATCTGTCTAGAAGAAAAAAACTTGCATTTTACATTGTTGTCTTCAACATTTTAATGATGCATATTAAAAGGTTAACTTTTTCTACAAGGGAAAATACAGATCTTTTACCTTTATCTATTATTCAAGCCAAAGTTCATGCCGATTCTAACAGACGGTGTAAACATTTTTTTGCTTTTCTCTAAGATAATTACGATTTAGATGCTCCTTGTTGCTCAATTGCACCAATACATGCAAAATTAAAAATTTGAAGTAAAAATATAACGTCAATGACAGTAATTATAAGTGCAGTTTAGTTTATGCTGCAGATTATAGCGAATATTCATGTTTTAAACTTAGTGTTATGCGGGTTGCAGTAAATTGTTCAAAACGTTTGTTCCCAATAATTTCTACGAATAAAAATATACCTGATAGAAAAACTCATTGCCAGGTGGTTTGTATTTGGCAGAGTGCGCTGGCTGCGCAAGTGCGTTGATATAATTGTTGCAGGACAGGTATGGGTGCAGCCGTGGGTCCAAATTCCGCGGCGCCGCGCTAGATGGCAACCGCACGGTCGAGGCTCCAAAGGGCTAACGGGAACTGCGAGTTATTGAGCGGCTGAACATCTGGCCGCGCGCGCGAGTGCCGCGACTAGTCACACTCGCCGAGTGGCCGCCCCGTCGTTCGCACCGGTCCGATCTCGTCGACGTCGACAATAAAATGCCTGCCCGATCGGCGCCCGTCGCCGCCTGAGCGCACAACCGCCGACCCTTCGGCGCCCTTCGAATTCATGTGAGTCGCATTCACCCATTTTCCGCTCCGAATCGCAATAAATTCGGCAAAAAATTGGCGAGGCGCGCACCGGGGCGCCGATTTATTGATTTGTTTTCCGCTCTCCCTCCGACCCTTTTTCGCGTAAATTCTGTTAAATTTGATCGAATTTTTTGTTGCAGGAGCTGTTTCGGCGCGAGGCGTCGCGGCCTCTGAAAAACATGCGCGCCCTCGTCGTGGCGCTGCTGGCCTTCGGCGCCGTCGGCGCCGCCGGCCTCGCCGCCAACAACGTGCACCTCAACCAAAACCTGGCGTCGCAGCGCGGCTTCGACCTGGTCGAGGACAACACCGCCGCCTCCACCACCACCGAGAAGCCCCCCAAAGAGCACCAAGTCCACCGCTACCCTGTGGCCAGTGTCGAGTTCGCCAGGGTCGAGACGCCCTTCATCATCGGCTTGTGGATCTTCTGCGCCAGCCTCGCCAAAATCGGTCAGTCAAATTATCCCTATTTTAAAAACTTTGATCAATTAAGAGAGGTTTTAAGAAAATAACGATAATTTTAGAAAAAAAAACCTTTGGCGATTTTCCCATCTTCGATTTTCAAGGCCAAAATATTTAATTTACTTAAAGTCTTGAATTTAAATCTTTCCAAAAGTGCCTTGTTTCTAAACTCCTGACAATAGATGAAAGGAAAGAAAAGATTGTATTATTGATGCGAATTGGAAAGGCGGAATTAGAAGTGACAATTCGTTGCACTTGGCGTTCACCTACGATATGAACACGCGTCCGTTCAACCTTGATTTTATTGAATAAAAAAAGCCTCCGTTTGCCGCTCTTGTCTGCTCGCGCTTTGAGAAGAAGAAACAAAGTGCTCGAGCTGCGTAAAATGATTTAGTGCGTCCGAGCATCTCTGATTACTCAAATGGCTGTGATATCAAAATGATGAGTTGGCTCAAAATCTTTGTATAACATTTCCTTCCTCCCGTTTTTTTTTGTAAAGATAAATTGATTAAATAATTATTTTATGGAGGAAGTTTAAATTATTAGACAGTGAATTTTTATTCCTTTGTTTAGATTTAAATTCAGATTATTATTTTTATTAATTTTGTTAATTATTTGATCACACTATTGTATTTGTAGCAATGTGAGAAAGTAATTGACGGTGAAATGATGATAATCTAGCTAAATATATATAATTATACATTCATATTGACTTGTTATTAATTTTTTTAACAAAAAATTTGCCATTTGGAAAAATGTTTTAAATCGTTATGAAACAAAATATTGAAATAAAAATTGGTAAATTTATAAAAATATAAAATAAAAATACGAAATTATAAAATAATATAATAAAAGTTTTATAAAACAAAAATTTATAATATTAATTTTTTTTTAACAATTCAATTTTCCATATTTTACATTTTATTAAATAAACTGCTTCTTGTCAGAAAATTGGCAAGATGTAGAAGAAAGATTTTTAAAATTTTATGCGCAACTGCAATTTAATCTCCAGTTTGTATGCAAAGTAAACATTTAGAGTTCAAGTAATTACCAATTTAAATAAAATTTTGTTTCTATGCAATTTTGATTTCATAATTTAAAGAGCAACCACATAGCTTTGTTCCATATAAGGAAGCAGACAACCAGCATGCTGAACAAAAAATTGACAGCCCGCATGAGCATTTCTTTGCGAAACAATCACCCACTCTGTTGTAGTCCCGCTGCGTTTGTTCGCCGGCGGAGTTGCACTTTTCGGAAATATTAAATGGGTGTGTATATTAATATGAGGAATGTGTTGCATCCGAAAATAGCGTCAACGTCACATCCAGCTGTATTAGTCGGCCGCGTCTAGGCATATTTATATACGCACACTTGACGCAGCGGCGGCGGCGGCACCAACGAAAGACACTTCTGGGGCCACGCGCTCCTTTTCACTCCATATTATAATGATCGTCAACCGCACAGCGACAAAATTAAAATTTCACCTGCTCACGTGGCGTGCCACGCGCACTTATGATCAATAATTCATTTCCGAACTTCTCTCGCAAAATCGCACGATTAGGAAAAGAAATTAAAGGACTGCTGTGAAATTTTTTGAAACTAAAAAGGATATCTTGAGAGAAAGCTTATTTTTTGGCAATATTCCAAGATTTTAAGGGCTAATTGTTGGCGAGTTGGCTAAATAAAGTCTGGACCACAATTTTCGCAATATAATTACATCTGACTTGACTTGATATACAGTTTTCTTTGAAGACGAATAATTTCTTCTAATTTTGAATTGACTGATAATGACTTTGCGTCTAGACATGTGCTTTGAACCCCGTAATATTCGCAGCAGCTGCAGATTTCTCATCCTCAATCTAATCTAGATTAGCGTGTTGTGATTGATAATGCCGCTTATTAGTTATTACAAAAGTAATCTACCAATGGAAAACACGGTCACGCGCCTTTGATAGCATTTATTGAATGAAGCAACGCACTTAATTAAATCTTGAGTGCCAATATACAGATCTTTGATATTCTTTTCACTTTTTAAACGTGACTTTTTTTACGTTCTGCTGTTTAATTAAGTATTAAACATAATTTTTTAGTTATTATTGAACACTTTTGAAAATAAAACACACTTATTTCTCCTTTTTTCCTTTTGTTTGTTGAAAGTAATTGACTCAAAGTTAATAATTATCTATTTAATGTTTTCATATTTTACATAATTGAAAGTGTTTACAAGGAAATTAAAAAAATTAATGCATTTAGTATTGGAGGTAAGATATCAATTTGTTATGCAAAATTAAATTTCAATACAGAAAATTGATGGTTAAAGTTTTTGTATATATTAAGTAAAGGTCACAGTGTTTTGTAATTATCTTAAAAGATACATTAGTTTTATCATTCATTGATAAAAATAATGAAGTTGAAACCGTTTGTAAAGCCACTACTTCCTTTCAACCTTTTTTTCTAGACACAATTTTCGAAATTTCTCATTTCAAAATCTGCTTGTCTGTCAACGTCTCTTATTTATAATGATGAGTCAAGAGAAGCTGCGATAAAAAGCTCAAATATGCAGAGCAGATTTATCTCTCCTTACTGCAGGCTTGCTCCATATTTGAAATTGCTGCAGCGGGATTAAAGCATATGCACAAGGATCAGCCGCGTTTGTGATTATGCGTGTGTGCCGAGAGCGAAAATGCACACAACTTCCACGGGGATTACTTTTAGTGAGAGAAAAAAGAAATCAGGCCAGCGGTTCGCCTCTATATCAGCCAGATTGAGCTGCAATTGCTGATTAATTTATGTTTAATCCAAGTTGAGCCCTTCGATTGAGTCGACTGATTTTCATAAAAACGAATCTCTCTGTGAAAGCGTATAGAAAAAAGTTACATTTGAGAATAAAAAAAGGAAAATAAATCAGTGCACGCGCCACACAATGCAAAGCTTGTGTAGCCTTACAAGTTCTCCCACAAGTTGAAATTCTAATCGAGACGTTATTGGAAAGTATACAATAACAATTCACGGTAAAATATATTTGCTCAAAAAATCCTACATTCGTCTTGAGGGGCTATCATGATTTTTTAAATAAAGTTGAACCCAAAAATTAAAAACAAAAAAATTAATTGGGTGGTGCCTTCTGTACCACCAATAAAGGGCACAGGCCGACAAGACTTTGTCTTGGCCTGACCCTAAAAAAAAAAAATAAAAAAAAAAATTCTTTCTCCTTTCGGTCTCTTAATAATTTGAAAAAAAGGATGAAAATAAAAATCTTGGAATGTTCGGTTGTTAAAAGTTTCTGATTCAGACTGTAATTAAAATTTAAAACTTAAAATAATACTTAATTTTCCCCAAACGCACAAATAATTTCCCACAGGTAAATAAAATAAAATTTAGAGGTATTTAAAATCAGACATTTTACAGAGAAATTCAGCCACCTATAATGTTACCTGCTTTTTAGCTTTATTTATTTGTTTTTCATTATAAAATAGCTGCTCCATAAATTTTAATCTGGATTTTTTAGGGATTATTTCAGTCTCATTTATCGTTGAAAAACACGAGCGTGTCACAATAATTTTGACTAATTTTAATAATCCTATTTGAAGGGTAATTTACTGTGTCTAGTTGGGTGGTGAGTTTGTTTTTGTAATGGAGCGATTTGTCTCATTATCAGTAATGATAGTGTGAGCGTTTGTAAATTATATAGGGTTGCGTGCGTGAAAATTATTATAATCATAACGACGCTAGGCGAAAAGCTTTTCAAATAACGTGGAAGAAAACAACATCAAATGTTTTTTTTTTTCAATTATCCTCTTTTATACAATTAATATAATGAAACATTTCAATGAAAAATTTGAATTTTTTTGTGATTATTTTTATCACAAATAATTTGAAATAAAGCAATTACTAGAGAAACCGTGATTAAATTTGAAGAATATTTGTGTGTGAAGGTTAACAAAATCTAAATATCTTCTTCTTCAAATTGTAATTGGAAATCTACACAATTGGCAATCTCGTATTAAAAGTCGTGATCACTTCTCGTCCTAGTTCCTGCTGCAAAAATGCGCTCTCAAGCGTTTTGTCGTGAATTGAGAAAATTACCTCAGCAGTTGAAGGAGCGAAGCCTTAAGGCTCCAAAACAGAAATTGCCATCATAAACAATAAATTGCACAACGCGAGACGTTTTGTTGTGGCTGCGTGCGTCGTTTCGGAAGCTCCCGTGATTACTTTTTTCAGCTCCGTTGGCGTCCTTGCGCGGCAGCTGTCAATCCAACTGAAAAATAAAAAGCGACACATTTGTTGCGTCGCTCACAATGAAAGTCAATTTCATTTCAGACGGTGAATCTGAAAGAAAAATAATAATATATGGGAAACTGGTTTTGCTAATATGAATTGAGGTCAGGAATGAGAACTGCACTCACGTCATTCTGCCTGCAGCGAGAGATGATTTGACGTTTGCAACTGTTGTGAATCTCAGTGTGTACTTTCAAAAGTCTGCGTCTCACGGAATGTAATTTGTTAATTTTACATCTGGCCTCTGCTCTAAAAAGGTACCAGACGCTTGGAGTTTTTTTTTTTAAATCCAGCCTAATTTATTGTGTGTAGGGATTTTTATTTTGTGAACTATGAGAAAAATCAGCGATGTTTTCCATTTGTTGTAAACTTTGAAATTATTATTTACTGATTGATCAAAATCTTAATTACTTATTTGAGAGAAGTTCGAATTTTAAACATGAAGGAACCTTCGTAAGGAACTTTTTACGTAATTTGTTTGTGAATATAAATAATCAAATTTAAATTTGCTTCAATCTTGGATAATACCTGGTTAATTTGATTAAATTTTTTATAATAAAATTCCTTCTGTCTCATCTCAAAACATTTGGCCAAAGAAAGGGATTCGTCGAATCTCCTGCAACACGCGTAAAATTATTCTGTACAGAGATTGATTGACATAAACCTCACTTGGCCTGATGTAACTGTGGCTAGACCATCTGGAAAAAGAC